CCAATAAAGTTTTGTAGCAAATACAATGTATAGAACCATTTACACATAAAATACAGAAGCTATGCCAAAAATGTTATTGAGACTAGAGTTTAGAAAAAAATATAGAAAATCACCTCTAGTGGTAGCAGCAATAGAACCAAGTATGTCGTATTATTACCCCCCCCCCCCCTTCTGAAAGCCGTGTGTGTGCGTGTGTGGGGGGGGGGACTATACGACCTACTATTCATCCTCTAGTCTAAAAATGATACACAGTGTGATTATCTTTGTAAAAATGTGCGAGAGTCAGGAACAATTCCAATTATACAAGTTATTACTCAAAACAAAGGAAACAAAATGAAATACACTTTTTATGGATTTTGTGAACATTTCGATATAAAATAACCCACGATTTTCTCACCAGATATGAAGAGACCCATGTCTGAACTAACCATAGTGAAAGGGAAATTATCCTGAGTGCCCTTGCAAGTGGCATTTTGGAGGGTTAAAAATGGGGTAAAAATGCAGTTTTGCTAGTTGTAAAAACATGTTGTATTGTAGGGCCTATTAACAACATTAATATAAAAGTGATTTTTCAAAAGTGTTTCTATTTTTTCTTGTTTGTTTGTTTTAATTTCTATTCATATAAAATCAAGAAAGAATGCACAAAATGATACAATAACAAAATTAACTATACAAATACTATATGTGGAGCAAAATAATTATATGAATGGAGGTGACATTCGAAAGAAGGACAAAGCCTTCTGTAGAGGAGCACCCTAGACTGCTGTCAAATTACAAAAATTTATGCATGTAATTATACAATCTATTTCGGTTGCATAACTTAAGTTGAGATGATGTTCATTTCCGGGTTTGATAAATGCAAAGTAACGGATAACAAATAACAAATACTGCCTTGCTCATTATGGACAGGAAAAGCAGTTAAGATTGGCACAAAGAAAATCCCTGTATTTGTCTAAATAAAATTCTTTTAAGTGCTTTATAAATACCTTTTTTGACAAGTTAACTAAATCGTTTCTTAAAAAGGGTGGGAGTAAAATAACAATGGTAGACAAAACATGTCTATAATTAGCAGATACAATGTATAGCCTACAGGTCGTTTGCAAATGGATTGCCTTGACGAGTCTGAGTATACGAGTGAACATCTTGTTTCAAGGAAAAACAATCATCGCAACTTAATTTTTTTGGAAGCAATTTATGAAAATAATCATAATACATGTAGTGTAAAGCGATCTAAAAATTATAAACTTCTTCAAACTTAAGAATTTTAAACTTAAAACAGAGAGGTGTAAGGAAAGGATGATACTTTGTCGTGATACAGTTACTTTCGTGACATTACTTCGCATTTTGGCTTGATTACTTTCGAAAATAACGCACATAATTAATTTTTGCAGCCTCAAAAGTGCCCATAAATGCCCAAAACACAATGGCCCGTTACCATGGCAACGGCAAAAAAAATCGGTTTGAAAAGTCTATTTTGGTTACTCACTCCCCAAGTCCTTTCATCCCACAAAGTATTACCCAAAAAAAAACAACAACAACAACAACAACAAAAATCGAATTTTTGAGCGTGTCTATATTTTATTAGAACGATATCACTTAATGAGTGTTAACATTGTGAAGGAAATTGTCGCGTTTTAGTAACAGTGCAATTTTTCTTTCCCTCTTTAGATGCTGAGCAACTGTTTCCCCAAACCCAACGCAACACAGAGTCCTCCCATATAAATGCTATTCCATCGGCCTCTCCCAGTCCCAGTAAGACGACAGATTTTCCATTGGAACTTGCCTTGACAGTACCCGTCCTTTCCCCGAAAGAAGGAGATGCCGTCCGACACCAGCCGCTAGACTACGAGTTTGTCGTCTCCCATTACAACGAGAGGCTTGATTGGCTGAAGCCACTTGCCAATCACAGTCACGTGTACCACAAGGGAAAGGACAAAGCCCCGCCCTTCGAGGTAAACAAGTGGGAGAAGTTGCCCAATGTGGGTCGAGAAGGTCACACCTACTTGCACCATATCTTACACAATTACGACAACCTCGCCAACGTCACAGTCTTTTTACAAGGCGCGGGGCCTCACCACGACAAAGTATGGTGCTTCCCCACCCCGATGGATTTCGTCAAACAGGCCGAAAACAGCAACTTCTGCAAAAAATTGTGGTGACCTTGAAATCTTCGGAACACATTCAATTCCCGCGCGGAAAGTGGCGGAAGTTCCTGAGGAGGGGTCAAATGCGAAAGGCGAGATGTACCTTTGGCGACTATTACAAAGCTGTGTTTGGTACCCCGCACCCCCTTCCATTCCAGTGTGTTACACGGGCTGCATATCGGCCACCAGGGATAATCTCCGACGGCACCCGACGAGTCTGTATCAGAGGGTCATCGCTTTTCTGGATGATCACTCGAATCCAGAAGAGGGACACTACATGGAAAGACTCTGGGCAACTGTCATCAATATGAAGTAGAATCCCTCTTCGGGGTCTTGTTCACTTTGGAGTCAACACCCATTAGTTTATAGGCATAAAGGATCAATCGCAACCACTCAAAAACGAAACGAAAATATTATGAAATTGGCCGCGACTAATTTTACGAAAGATTCGTCAGATATAGTCAAAATCTTTTGGTCTGGTTAACTAGACTAGTACAGATACACTGTATATAGGGTTAAATGGTTAGAGGGCGGTCTCGCTATCCGAGGCACCGGTCGTTCACACTTGACCAATGTATGTTACATTGTCATTGACATTTGTCATTGAACAAAATCAATGAAAACAAATCAACATATGAATGGAAAACAAAGTATTTGCCCGCTTTGAAAAAAATGGTGCCCTGTCGGCACGGTTTCAGATATGCATATACGCTCAAGCTGTTTAGTTGATACAACTATATTGTAAAAGTATAGCAATTTTTGCTTATAATAGTTGTTTTAAATATAATGAAGTCTTGGCGTTTTTAAATTAATCATGTTAAATTAATTGGATTAATTTTATTTTTTAATCAATATAGAATTATTTTACATTTTAATCGTATGAAGTTTTTAAAGCAAATAACGTTGTGTATAGGTTTAGCTGCAATTCTGCATTTCTGATGGGAAAGTTTTCGCGAGATAAAGCACCTAACTGAATTAAGTAGAAACTGGTGTCGACTTTTCCAATTACGCAACGTGCGTGGCGGGTAAAGCAGGAAGAGCGCCCCCAGCGACAGCTTGTTCTGTTTTTTGAAGTTCTGAAGTCCATACAAACCGTTGACGCGGTGCAAGGGTTATGCAAACAAAAAGTCTTTACGAAATCCCGGCTTTGTTTCGGCGTCAGGAGATTGTAAGTCTTAACTCTGACATGAGGGAGTCGAAGTATATATTTTGGTGCATAATGTGCTTCACGAACATTACATTGTATGAGACCAAGCGATTACAATATTTCCATTTGGCCAAGTTGCAGAAAAAAAATGTTGCAACCTGACGCCACGTTTTTTCTTCATATAATCATCTCAATGAAGGTCAGTCATTGCAAAAAATGATGATAAGACATGAATCTGGGACTACTTAGGAAATACTTAGAAATTTTCTTGACTCTCCATAGACTTTGTACACAACCACTGCTGTGGCGTCAGGTTGCAACATTTTTTTCCCAAGTTACTTCTCGGTGATTCGGAAGACGGTGATTGAACCGAAGCTGAAGACGAAGTAACGATTTCGAAAACCCCCAACGTCAACCAAAACTTGCGTTCAAACGGATGATAAAATAAGTCTCGGGGCATGGGCGTCGCGAGGGGGGGGGGGAGATGGCAAGGGGGCGCTTGCCCCCCCCCCCCGGAAAAGCCCACCCCCCCCCCCCCCCAAAAAAAAAAAGAGGGAAAAAAAGAAGAAAAAAGAGGCGCGAAGTCATAGTGGTGTAAATTTAAAACTGAGAAATCGAGAATATGTTGAGAAATACAGGATTTGTTTGGGAAAAAATATGTTTTGCCCCCCTCTAGAAAAAATCCTAGCGACGCCCATGTCTCGGGGGCTGTTGTTTCACGGAAGTATTCTTGGCTGAAAAGGTATCAAGCCCGATAATGGAAAAAAAAAACGTAAATGGTGAAAAACAAAGAGGCGTTATAAGGGCTGGCGAAGCGGGAGGGGGGATGATATGGCAGAGAAAAGTTTGTTTTTCTTTTATTACAACAGAGATTGGAGAGAAAGGTTTTAAAAACTGTAATTGTTGTAACACACTCCTCCCCTTTCCTCTACGGATTCGTGAAATATGTATAGAAAGAAATTGAAGAAAAGAAAAGGGGAAAGAAAAGCACCCCCTATCGCTATATGAGTCCACCCCCCACCCACACACACATAGCCACATCTGGCAAATTTGCATTTTTCGGCTGGCCAGTTGGGCGGTCATTCCTTCAATTTCAAGAACAATTTCTCGAACATTTATGTCCATCTCTTCACAACATTTGGTTATAATACAAAACTAAAGAAAAAATATACTGACGGAGGCATGTTAACAAAAACCGAAGCTTATAACATAAAACATGCCTGTACACATACCGTCATCAACACCACGAAGTTAACACCCATGTATATACCAGTAAAAACTAGCAATCGGAGAAAACGGCATCTAAAGTTGAACGCCTTCTAAAACAACGATTTGCGTCAAAACGGCAGAGTATTTTCAGTTGGGTTTCTTGTTATAGACACTTGATGAATTGAATTTATTAAATCGGCTATTTTTCAACCGTTTGTGTATTTAACCGACAAGAAATAATAAAAAAAATGTGAGTGTCAGTTCGTGAAATCGAAAAGGCTGCGAAACTGCAAATTTTCGTTTTCACGAAGTAACACTCTTCAATGTATACAGCACGAGGAAAGTGCAACTTCAGGTCAGCGCGCGCGCGCTCATACGGGGAGTTATAGAGGTACTTGCTTGACCTGACGGGACTTGCTCGACCTGACGGGACTTGCTCGACCTGACGGGACTTGCTCGACTTGACGGGACTTGCTCGCCTTCACGGGACTTGCTCGCCTTCACGGGACTTGCTCGACTTGACGGGACTTGCTCACCTTCACGGGACTTGCTCGACTTGACGGGACTTGCTCGACTTGACGGGACTTGCTCGACTTGACGGGACTTGCTTGACTTGACGGGACTTGCTCGACTTGACGGGACTTGCTCGCCTTGACGGGACTTGCTCGACTTGACGGGACTTGCTCGACTTGACGGGACTTGCTCGCCTTCACGGGACTTGCTCGACTTGACGGGACTTGCTCGACTTGACGGGACTTGCTCGACTTGACGGGACTTGCTCGACTTGACGGGACTTGCTTGACTTGACGGGACTTGCTCGACTTGACGGGACTTGCTCGACTTGACGGGACTTGCTCGACTTGACGGGACTTGCTTGACTTGACGGGACTTGCTCGACTTGACGGGACTTGCTCGACTTGACGGGACTTGCTCGACTTGACGGGACTTGCTCGACTTGACAGGACTTGCTTGACTTGACGGGACTTGCTTGACTTGACGGGACTTGCTTGACTTGACGGGACTTGCTCGACTTGACGGGACTTGCTCGACTTGACGGGACTTGTTTGACTTGACGGGACTTGCTCGCCTTCAGGGGACTTGCTCGCCTTGACGGGACTTGCTCGACTTGACGGGACTTGCTCGCCTTCACGGGACTTGCTCGACTTGACGGGACTTGCTCGACTTGACGGGACTTGCTCGACTTGACGGGACTTGCTTGACTTGACGGGACTTGCTCGACTTGACGGGACTTGCTCGACTTGACGGGACTTGCTCGACTTGACGGGACTTGCTTGACTTGACGGGACTTGCTCGACTTGACGGGACTTGCTCGACTTGACGGGACTTGCTCGACTTGACGGGACTTGCTCGACTTGACAGGACTTGCTTGACTTGACGGGACTTGCTTGACTTGACGGGACTTGCTGGACTTGACGGGACTTGCTGGACTTGACGGGACTTGCTTGACTTGACGGGACTTGCTTGACTTGACAGGACTTGCTCGACTTGAAGGGACTTGCTCGACTTGACGGGACTTGCTCGACTTGACGGGACTTGCTCGACTTGACGGGACTTGCTTGACTTGACGGGACTTGCTCGACTTGACGGGACTTGCTCGACTTGACGGGACTTGCTCGACTTGACGGGACTTGCTCGACTTGACAGGACTTGCTCGACTTGAAGGGAAACTCGGAAAAGACTGGACGAAAGGGGTCCTTCAAAGGATACATCTATACCCAATCTGCACTGCCTGCCATGCAGTTGATGAAGTCACGTACAAATGTAGATACGCAAGGCTTTCAACTGTCCAGTGTGTACTCGATATGCTTCTTTGTGATGTGCCTATAGAGCAGGACAGAGGATGAATATATGAATATGGCAGGTTCAGTTGGAAAGTTACAGAGACAGTGGAGCTGTGTGCTGCCAACTGCCTGTCTCTGTTAATTGTCGTTTGGTAGTCAAGTGAAGGGAAAGTTCACTGGCCAACGAATTTATACAGTTCCTCCTCAAGGACTCGCTAAAACAATATTGCACTCGTCATATAGCTCGTGCAATATTTTCTTGTATCCCCCTCAAAGCCATCCAATATTATATAATTATATGTTGGCAAAACAATTGTAAATAAAGCTGTTGCAAAAAAAAGTTGTCGTTAATAATGACATTACGTTGACAAATAGTATGTAAATAATGTTGTTGCAAAAAAAAAAAAATGACATTACGTTCACTGCGTTCACAAAGTATTTGTAAATAACTATATTGCAATAAATATTTGTAAATAATGAGATACATAACGTTACAAAGTTATTTGTAAATGATGCAGTGGCAGCGGAAAATGAATAATATCGCAAACTGCCAAACGATTATCTATACATAATTGTCCAAGAAGAAATGCATGATATGTATCTAATGAATTATATATAAATAAATAAGCTGAACTGAAAACTGAATTATAATAAAAGGTGAATTATATATAATAGTGTTGTTAAATAATTTAATTACACGTGGTGCTTCATACCTTCGCCTCGGAAGCGGAACTATTGTGCACCACCTACTGGCAAAACACTGGACAGTTACTCAAAATGCGACGATGCGACAATGCGATGGCACGACGCGACTATGTGACGGCACGACATGACTATGCGACGGCACGACGCGGCTATGCGACGGCAAGACGCGACAATATGCGACGGCACGACGCGACTATGCGTCGGCGCGGCACGACGCGACAATGCGACGGCACGAGGCAACTATATGCGACGGCACGACGCGACTATGTGCCGTTGGCGGCTTAACATGGCTGAGAATCCAAGCAACAGTGCCATACACATGCGCCGCGTACGTGGCAGTATTGTAATTCCATACAACAGAGACCGAGATATCTTTTTGTCCACGCACTTTAGTATTTTTTAGATTGCAAAATCTGATGATTTAAAATCTTTGACTGAAACGATGCTAAGTACTCAGATTACTTAAAAGTAAAGCCGCAGTTGCAAAAAAGTCGAGGTTGGGTAAAAAAAAGTTAAGAGATGTATACACAAGTACAAACGTTTACAGGCAACACTTGGAAATTTTCTCCGAATCAAATCTTTACATTGATTATAGTTGTCGAGGAAGACTGGGATCAGATTCACTCAACCCTCACTCCCGTGGCTTCAGAGGTGCTTGGAGTACGCCGCCCAAGGAAGAAGCCTTGGATTTCATATGCTTCCCCGAGCCTTGTAGACCACTGCCGGCAATCTATAGGTTTCACAGACCCATAGAAGTCTACCGCGAGTTTAGCAGACAAAGAAGATGAAACCTAAGACATGACCGCACCTTCTGGCCACATCGGATCGCCGACGCAGATGAAAACAGCTTTCGGTCAGGAAATCTTCGACCAGCTTTCAAGTCCATCAAAGAGCTTAGCTGCCAGGCCTAAATCAACGTCAATCGCCCCCCCCCCCCCCGGCTCGCTGACAACGGCACACTGCTTATTGAAGCCTCAGCCAAGCTACATCGATGGTGTCAACACTACTTCAGCGTTTTCTGCAAGCCTCCGCCTCCTCCATCCAACAGGCTGCAGACGTTTGCCAACTGGGGCACCGCGGATGACCCCATCTCGCTCGAACCACCCTCTAGCTCTCTCAATGAGATCGCGGACGCCATTAGGAAGCTCCCAACCGGTAAATCCCAAGGCGCCGACGGCATTTCTGGCGAAATGCTTCAGGCAGCAACTGATCCGATCACTTCCCGGCCACAACAGATGTGCTGCCGCATCTGGAAAGAAGAGCGAATCCCGGCCAAGTGGAAGGAGTGTCATCCTCTCACTTTACAAGAACAAGGGAGACCGGCGAAATACCTCGAGTTATCGCCCCATCACATTGCTCTCCGTCCCCTCTAAAGTTGTCACGGCCATCGTCATCAGACGAATCCAACCCCTCCTGCTAGCCAAACGTCGCCCTCAACAAGCCAGCTTCACACCAAATCGCTCCACCACAGACTGCATCCTTGCCTGAGAGTCCTGACACAACAACGGAGGTCATATCGCCAGCCACTGCACACAGTGTACGTCAATCTGAAGGCAGCCTCTGATTCCCTGGATAGAAACGTCCTTTGGCTGCTCCTCCAGGGTGACGGAGTCCCTCCTAAGTACATCCGTATCCTGCGGGACCTCTACACCAACACTACCTGCAGGGTGCGAGCTGAGGGCAGTATGTTGGATCTCTTCCAAACTACATCAGGAGTCTGTCACGGCTGCGTTGCTGCACCAAACCCCTTCAATGTTGCAGTTGACAACTGGTTGGACAGAATGATGGAACGCTGCCCTCACCTTGGCGTGGACTATCACTTCCACCTCACCGACGTCTGCTACGCAGATGATGTTTTGCTGGTTGCCATGTTACTGGACTCCTTGGCTGAGGCTTTGGAGATTCTCGATGAGGAAGCCTCGCCCTTAGGCCTCACCATCAGTTGGACCAAGACAAAAGTTCAGTCCTTATCCACCTTCCTACCGCCACCCCCACGGGAGATCAACATCAACACGTACCGAGCGCGTCGAAGTTGTGGACGAATTCATCCATCTTGGCTCCAAGATCACCAGCGATTGCTCTTCGGAGCAAGAGACTATCCGCGCCACCCTCAAGCCACCCGAGTATAGCGAAGCAGCAAGATCTCCACAACCACCAAAGTCCGCATCCTGAACACCTGCGTCCTCCCTGTTCTCCTCTACGGCTGTGAATCATGGTCCCCCTCCACCGCAACCTTTCGCCGCCTCGATGCCTACCACCTGTCTTGCCTACGTTACATCCTCGGCATCTGCTGGTACCACCACATCACCAACGACGAGGTCTATGCTCGAGTAGGTGCCCCCACACCCCTGTCCACCACCATCTTGAGGAGCAGACTGCGACAACTGGGACGTACGTGTTGCGCGATATGGCGACGAAGTCCCGGCGACTGCAGCATCCCTTCCAGCCCGGCTGGCGTCGCCCCGAGGACGCCGCCACATCACCTGGGAATCTCAAGTCGCAGCGACGCGCCCATCGGACGACCTCCTAACATTAGCACAAGATAATCGAGCTTACAGACATCTGATCGCTACGGTCACTTAAAGCGGCCATGTGACATTAAGTAAGTATGTATAGTTGCTTTTCCGCTTAAGGCATTGTTTTTGTTCTGGTTTTTTTTTCTTATCTTTTCTTCTTTTTTCCCCTTTTTATTCCACCCCAAATACCATAGACTTTGTACACCTTTTTTAACCGCTGAATTTTGGACCTTAAACAAACTCGTATTCTAATAGAACCAATAACCTATGTCCTAAAGAGTGACGTCTGGGACTGAGAAATGTTTCTCACTCCCAGATTCATGTCTTTTGAGGTAATGGAAAACGGCGTCAGGATGCAACATTCTTTGCTGCAAGTTTTTCCCAATGACCCAAAATATATACACCAGCAGAAATTTGTGGCAAAACGACAGTAAGTGAGTTTTGTTAGTGTACATGTCACCTTACCGTATAAGTGAAATACAGCATAGACGATAGAGGGCGATAACCTCACTATCCACAAGAGAATCCGTATCCAAGGTGTCGGCAGTTTAACCACCATGATCATGAAGACAATGATATCCGCCAATGCATCCGGTTCAGAAAAAGTCCCACCAAGAAAAGCAAATATATGTTATGGAGAATACACGAGAAAGTGTGGATTAGTAATTTAAGAATTGACGAGGCGCGAAGCGCCAAGTGAATTCGTAAATTAAGAATCCACACTTGCAAGTGTATTCTTCGACTTAAACCATCGCGTCAAAAGAAGTATTGTCATTAAAAGTCCAGTGAGTGGAGATGAAAAGATTTGCCAATCTTGCGTCGAGTCGTGGCCATTATTAGGGTAGTTTACAAGGGAGTTTTTTTTCCGAGGCTCTTATACGTAATCAAGCATTGTGGCGTGTTAAGTATGTGTATCGCCACACCCGTACAACCAGGTAATTTTGTGTGTAGGTTCCTTACGTCAACATTGATAGTTTAGACGTCGATTTCTTTCTCACTCAAAATTGTTTTTTAAGTGAATCTTACAGTGAAGATGCATTGGTAATTTTTGGAAGGAAAGTTTTCATGCAGACGGTCCTTTTAATGCTCAATGTGGAGAACAATTGTACGACGTGTTCAAAGTGTGGATTCGTAATTCCGAATCCACACGTTGTGACCAGTGTAACAGATTCATAGTTCCGAATCCACATTTTTTTTACAATAGTGTGACGTCATAGCAATGTTTTAAGTTTAAGCGAATAATATTATTCGTATTATTGTAAATATATACTCTACACGCTTTGAGGCAAAGTTAACCCCACCAAGCCCCTATTATCCTTTACCTTATACACACTCTAGACTATACTGTTGCCTCACACATCCCCCCTTAATATCTCAAAAGAATTCATGAGAGTCTGAAAAAAAGAATAATCGTGCCTTTCGTGTTTAAAATGAATTTCGAAGTAGACGTATGCGATTCGTACTTCCAGCTGAACATTTAAAAGTCACACATTGAGTGCCACTACAAATGGATGTTATAACTTATGATTTAATTTGTGGTTGCACACAGATTTTAGCAAAGTGACACATTTTCTAACTTTTCATTTAATAAGAGGAATTTACAATTTTATAAAGAAAATGTTAAATATTTCAGTAGAATTTATGTTCCTGTTTAGAATTAATCGATATTATCGCAACCGGTGGTCTCGATATCAGCATAACATAATTTCCAAAATTGGCTCATTAATTAAAATATACAATATTCTCATTTTTTTCTCTGTATTATTAGTAACGGTTCATGATTTTCCAACAAAGGGCAAATTCGGACGCTAACTACACAGTCTACCATAGTTCGACTAAATTCGCTCGAACGCAGGATGGTTGAAATCCTCTAGTTATATTGCACAGGAAGAGGACCACGAGGCACGGTTGCATCGCTGGTTACCAATAGCTGCGCGCACCTCAAAGCACAACAGGGAGCCACGACTCTTGACATTCGCTGGATTAGAGCCGTTTCCTTGTTGTTATTTAGTGCGCAGGCGTACGTAACGTCTCAAACCAACCACTTGTCGATTAACTGACGTTCCTTGCCCCAACTTGCTCATAAATAAATTAATGCAGATTCGTTCTCCATTCCTGAAAGTCAGGTTCACTAATTATTTTTGTTCAAAATTTTGGGGATTAGCCAAACTACACATTTTTGGAATCTTCCGAGAATTGGAGAATACTCAATGTTGGCATATGTGTACACACCTACATGGCGGCCATCTTGGATTTTCAAATTGGCCGCCATGAGGGTTAATAGTATTTACCAAACTACGGCTTCATCTGAAAATTGGCTTCTAGTGGCTTTCGAGTTACCAGATACCTATAATGATTAAACCCAATAGAAATCCAAAAGAAAACCGTGTTGACTTGAGACCAAATAAATTCAATTCCAAGTTTAAACTCATGAGGCCAGAACCTGACGCCGGAGCGGCATTCAAAATCGAGGTTTGGCAAACCTCCTAAGAGTTGTATACATTTATTACAAAATGTCACAAAAGTTAGGAAGCTCCCCACGAGTTGGGAAGTGTCTCCGATTCAAATCACTGTTTCTTGGCATTGATTATGGTTGCCCAAAGTCTCTCAAAGTAATGGGCCTCCTCTGGGTTCGAGTGATCGTTCACAAAAGATATTGCTTTCTCATAGAAACTAACTGGGAACCGTCTCAGGTTTTCCCTCGAAGCAGAAATACATCCTGTTAAACATACTGGCACTCCGTCGGGTGGTTTGGTGCCAAACAAAGCTGTGTAGAACTCGCCCATAGTCAGGTTCGCTCTCCGCATCTGGCCGTTCTGAAGAGATTTCAGCCACTTGCCAAGATGGCGGATGCGCCCCCAGCCGCCGTAACGCTGCCTGATGTTGCAGTACTCGTGTTTCTTGGCTCGCTGGACGAACTCCATCGCAGTGGGAAAGCACCAACTCCTATGCTCTCCACCAGGATCCGTGCCTTGTAGGAAGACGGTTATATTGGCGAGTTTGTCGTAATTCTGTATGATATGGTATAGGTAGGTGTGGGCTTCTCGCCCCACGTTTGGTAACTTCTCCCACTTGTACACATCAAAAGGCGGTCCCTTGTCTTTCCCCTTGTGATACACGTGACTGTGATCGGCAAGGGGCTTCATCCAATCCAGTTTCTCGTTATAGTGGGAGATGACGATTTCGTAGTCCAGAGGTTCGTTACCGACGCCATCTTTGCTGGAGTGGTTGGCGGCTGTCGGGTTAGCTTGTGTTGGGACGGGACTGCCACTGGCGGTCGACGCGTTGTTAGAAGCGTTGTGTGTCCTTGTGTCATGTTGCATTTGACGGTATATCGGAACTGGTCGGAAGAAATCATCTGCAAGAAACATAATAAGAACTAAAGTTATTAAAAACAAAGTAGCACACTCTTTACCAAATACGTCCACACAAGTCATAATAGACCCTCCCGGATTCGGTCATCAGCCGACACGAGGTAGACCTACAGCTATACATACGATACAATGTTACAAGCATAAGTGAGTTATACAGAAATTGTTGGGATTGCCATTTCGTATCCCCTATGTTGTAGTATTGAACATAAATATTAATGCAATGAGGAATTTGAGTTTGATTTAAAACTAAGGCAGTTTCTTTAAAAACAAAGGTGAATAAAGTGGACGGATCATTGCAAAAAAAGTTTCCACACACATTGGACACAATTCCTGCCCAACGTTTTTTTAAAGAATAAAATTTCTCAGAAAGTTGGGAAAATTTGCTACCCAACACATGGGCAAAGTAAATGCCTGACAAAAGGTTGAATATTTATAATCGTTCTACTCGACGTGAATCAGAGGCCACATGTGCACTAATTCACATGTGCAAATTAACACATCATTTGAACGCTCCCTTTGCTCTGTCTTTTCATGATGTCTGTCACTTGGTGTTGCCATTTAGTTAATATTCACTATTGTAAATATATCTATGTATGTATTGTCAATTTGAATATATAACATTATGTATTATGCATCATTCTTATGCAGCATCGAAATAAATGTAATGCTGTGTAAGGTATCTCTTATTTAAGCCTTCCTGAAACACCAACCACTGGTCAACAAAATTGCCCTAAAATTGAGCAAATGTATACAATATAGTACCCAACATCTGAGTCTTCTTAGTACCCAACAATTGAAAAAAAACTGGCCAACAACTTGTCAAAAATTTTGACCACTATTCGGTTAATGGCTTACCAACAATTGGGTTTCTTTTTACATTTACCCAACTAACGGATGATTCAAAGTACCCAACTGTTCCGTCTGCAATTTTACCCAAGTTTCAGGTAAACGTATTTGCCCAACGGCCGTTGGGCATTTTTCGCTCAAAAGATGTGGATGTTGACTATTGTGCTAACGTTGGGTAAAAAGTTGGACAAAATTTAACCTTTTTTTTAACTGTATTTATATCCTGGCGTTTATAGAGTACTATACATTCGTTTTCTCCATTATTGTAATCTTAATTTATAAAATGCTTCAAATGTTAAAATTTAATTTTAATTTTAAGTGAGGTTTTGTTTTATTCTGATTTGTTGGGTTTTAGTCGTTATTCTTTTATTTGTCTAATTTAATTTAATTTGATTGTTGATGTTTTTATTGTGAATTATATATATGTATATATCTTGTTTTGTTTTTATTCAAATTATCTTACTGTTTTAATGTATATTTATGTAAAGGAACCAGGGCTCTCATGGAAAGCAGTTTGCTAACTGATAAGGCCACCCTGTATAAATATGACAACAAATAAATAGCCCACCCAAACGGAGCCTAAATGCTTAAACTTCCAATTTACTTGACGTTCGTCCCAACATAGCCCCATACTGGCTCAAATAGCTGGACTGCCTCCGTATTTGTGCCACGCATAATGCATGCCAAATATCCGGGGGAAATGTGTTTTCTACTTTTTAAATCTATGATTGCCTTTTCACTTGATATTCACCACAGAATCTATAGGCTCAAATAGCAGGACTTCCTCCGCATTTGTGCCACGCATAATGCATGCCAAATATCCGGTGGAAATATGTTTTCTACATTTTAAATCTACATTGCCTTTTCAATTGATATTCACCACAGAATCTAGGCTCAAATAGCTGGACTTCCTCCGTATTTGTGCCACGCATAATGCATGCCAAATATCCGGTGGAAATATGTTTTCTACATTTTAAATCTACATTGCCTTTTCAATTGATATTCACCACAAAATTTATAGGCCTTTACACCATAAACAATCATTGAAATTATCCAGGCAAAAGAGCATGACCCATGACCTCCATAAAAGAATACTTCAGTAGGCCCTAATTTGGGATGAATTCTGCCATTTTGAGGCTGACAATTACAGGTTAACTAGACATATCGGCAGATTCTAAACTCAATTTCTCTTGTTACTCACCAGCTTTGAGTAGTCATTGCAACTCTGGTTTTATTATGAATAACGCCTACAGGCAAAAACTCATAGACGAGTGATCATGCATGTATAGAGCCATTAGTCGGAGTATGAATATTGTCAATAGCCTAGGCTAGATACATGAACAAAATGACCTTGTCCACCGTTCTACCAGTGAAGATTCGCTTACCTCTACTTGTTGAAGCCGTTAGGGTGTCTTTATTTGTATACAAGACGTATCCCAAAAGAAAAATCAGGAAACAGGCGACTAAAGCGGCCAGATTTTTGCGAGGTCGAGGACAATCCGCCATGTTTGTTGATCCTGCATGAAAATGTACGTGTAGTTCACTGCGAGTTTCAACGTACGTTTGCGTGCAGCGCAGCTGCGGTATACAGTCCGTTATTGTATTTGACCCGTGGATGGCCACGCGTGGGTAGAAATCCGCTGTACCTCGCAGTGAACTATGGCGTGTGAAACGTTGCAATATTCAATGTTTTACAATATTCAATGTTTTACAATATGTTGGATGTCCCATATCGACGAATATGTCCCATATTTTCACGAAGTGACAAAAACCTGCAAACTCGAAAATTTTACGATTTTAAATTTTGCCGGCCAATTTATTGCATTTGACAAAATGAAGAATTTGGCCGAGTTTTAAAGCGAAATATTGTTTACTTTTGTAATAATCGTAAACAAACATTTGACAAAATGCCTGAAATCCGTGTTTTTCTGTTTTCAAGAAGTGACAGAAACTTACCTCGTTAGCAGGGCCAGAGGAATAATGCATTTCTCTACACACGCGTTAGGATGGGAGTGTTTTACATTGATGTGCGATTTTCATTTTATATGTGCAATGTTTGACGATATATAATGTGCGATGTTTTCTCGCCTATGGGTCATCTATACCCTGAGCTCCTTCCCCTTTGCCCCCTCACTGTGCACTGACACGCTCCAAAAGAGCTTCACCTCCCTTACAGAAATCTCCCATGTAATTCCCATGGGAATTGCATGGTGAATTGGACACCACGTAGCATGGGATTTTTTCCCAATGGAGTTTTCCCATGTGAAATTTTGTATAGGTTTTTTTCCCATGTATGGTTTCCTTTCATTTCTTAAAAAAATCATTGCTCCATGGTATTTTTCAATAACAACTTCCTATACATTTTAACCCTGTGTGTTAAGTGCTTTTCATCAAATAGGCTAAGCAATTCACAGAACTCCGATGGGGGTTGTTCCACGTAATAGGAGTGGCTTAAGCACTCTGTGTCTAAAGCCCACATTATTGCTGCAATACCACTTGTCAAGTTGTACCATATTATCACAGTGTTCCCAATTTATTTTCTCATAAATGTTTCCAACCATAATAATGAATGAATCAATATATCCAAAGTTTGAATGACACATTGTCCACATAAAAAAATACTGAATGCATCATTTAACTTCACTGATCAACAGAAACAAATCAAAAATGTGCAATTACAACACTCGTTATTGTAAGCGATTCTCACAAAAATGTCCCATGGTGTCCCATGGTGTCCCATGGTGTTCCCATGGTGTCCCATGGTGTTTATCCCATTGTGTTCAATTGGTGAACATCCACATGAGTTTCCCATGGTCAGCTTAACAAATAGAATTCTTGATAACCTCTATGGCCACAAGGGAAATATTTGTAATTGAATTCAAATTTACAGCTAGGCGAATAAGTAATTAAATCAAAGAAAGGTTTGCTTATAACTAATTGGGAGTGCAATTGGGTCTATGATGGTTTTTCATGGCACATGCATGTTCTCCAGTATAACCCGGCAGTGTCCCCGTGCTGCCTTTTAAATCTCCATGGTGTTCCCATTGTATCCATAATTTATATCACCCACATTATGGTGTTCCCATGGCGTCCGAATCCTCATGGTGTACCCATGTGTCTAAAATCCCCATATCCTCATGGTGTACCCATGTCTCTAAAATCCCCATGGTGTTCCCATGGTTTCCAGTAAATCCCCATGGTGTTCCCATGGTGACAAACAATCCCAATGGTGTTCCCATTGTGTCCATAAAATCCCCATGGTGTTCCCATGGTGTCCATAAAATCACCATGGGGTTCCCATGGTGTTCCCATGGTGTCCATAAATTCCCATGGTGTTCCCATGGTGTTCAATAATTCCACATGGTGTTCCCATGATGTCCATAAAATCCCCATGGTGTTCCCATGGTGTCCGTAAAATCCCCATGGTGTTCCCATGGAGCTCATAAAATCCCCATGGTGTTCCCATGGTGTTCCCATGAATCTCGTAAAATCCCCATGGTGTTCCCATGTTGTCCATGCAATCTCCATGGTGTTCCCATGGGTTTCCCATGATGATCATTTTAACTTACATGGTGTTCTTGATGACCCCATGGGTTTCCCATGGGGTCCCATGGGAATCCCATGGGACCCCATGTGAATCCCATGGGATGCTCATGGGACATTTCGCACCTGCGAGTCACACATCCCCCTGGATAACTCAAAAGGATTCACAAGAAGCTGGAAAAAAAATAATAATCGTGCCTGCTATATACAACGCGCTCGTGTTTAAAATAAATTTTGAAGTAGATGTATGCGATTCGTTGTTCCAGCTTAACATTGAAAGGTCACACATTGAGTGCCACTACATATGGATGTTATAACATGATTTAATTTGTGGTTGCACACCGATTTTAGCAAAGTGACACATTTTCTAACTTTTTATTAAATAAGAGGAATTTACAATTTTATAAAGAACATTTTAAATATTTCAGTAGAATATATTGCTATTCCTGTTTGGAAGTAATCGATATTATTGCAACCGGTGCTCATATCAGTATAACATAATTTCAGAAATTGTCTCATAAATTAAAATATACAATATTCTATTTGTTTCCCTATATTTTTGGTAACGGTTTGTGATTTTCCAACAAAGGGCAAATTCGGACGCTAACTACACAGTTTACCATAGTTCGACTAAATTCGCTCGAACGCAGGATGGTTGAACTCCTCTAGTTATATTGCACAGGAAGAGGACCACGAGGCACGGTTGCATCGCTGGTTACCAATATCTGCTCGCACCACAGAGCACAACAGGGAGCCGACTGTTTGTTATTTAGTGCATAGGTGTACGTTACGTCTGGAATCAACCACTTGTCGATTAATTGACGTTCCTTACCACAACTTGCTCATAGATAAATATATCTTAATGCAGTTTAAAGCGTGCAGATTCGTTCTCCATTCCTGAAAGTCAGGTTCACTAATTATTTTTGTTCAAAATTTTGGTGATTAGGCCAAAAAAAAAAATAAGTCGGTCTCTGGTCATCGCGCGCGTCGATTTTAATCATGGGCGTCAATCTTTTTTTTTTCCAAAATGTTCCGCGGTAGCTCCAACAGCGCCCTCTATTGCTGCACCTCCTCAATTTTTCTACCAAAGAGCACTAAGGGATGGGAAATTGCACCGAGGCAAATGATCGAGAGCACCAAGGCACATTATGGAGGACACCAATGTACATGAGGACACCAAAAAAGCAAAATAGTACCCCACCTTGTCTGTACAATCCAAGCTTGAAGAAAAGAAAAAAAAAAAAAAAAACGCGTCGCCGCGTCAATTCCGGAACTTTGGTCTGACCAGAGACCGATTTTTTTTTTTTTTTGGCCTCAGCCAAACTATTCATTTTTGGAATCTTCCGAGCATGGGGAATACTCAATGTTGGCATTTGTGTACACACCTACATGGCAGCCATCTTGGATTTTCAAAATGGCCGCCATGAGGGTTAATAGTATTTACCAAACTACGGCTTTATCTGGAAATTGTCTTCATTTCTGGCTTTCGAGTTACCAGACACGTATGATTAAACCCATTAAATAAGAAATCCAAAAACGTGTTGACCTTCACTGAGACCAAGTAAATTGAATTCAGAGTTCAAAATCCTGCAGCCAGATCCTGATGCCGGAGCCGCCGCGCGAAATTCGAGGTTTGGTAAACCTCCTAAGAGTTGTATACATTTATTACAACATCTCACAAAAGTTAGGAAGCTTCCCACGAGTTGGGAAGTGTCTCCCATTCAATTCACTATTTCTTGGCATTGATTATGGTTGCCCAAAGTCTCTCAAAGTAATGGGCCTCCTCTGGGTTCGAGTGATCGTTCACAAAAGATATGGCCTTCTCATAAAAAGTAACTGGGAACCGTCTCAGGTTTTCCCTCGAAGCAGAGATACATCCTGCTAAACATACTGGTACCCCGTCGGGTGGTTTGGTACCAAACAAAGCCGTGTAGAACTCGCCCATAGTCAGGTTCGCTCTCCGCATCTGGCCGTTCTGAAGAGATTTCAGCCACTTGCCAAGATGGCGGATGCGCCCCCAGCCGCCGTAACGCTGCCTGATGTTGCAGTACTGGTGTTTCTTGGCTCGCTGGACGAACTCCATCGCACTGGCAAAGCACCAATATCTATGCTCTCCACCAGGATCCGTGCCTTGCAGGAAGACGGTTATATCGGCGAGTTTGTCGTAATTGTGTATAATATGGTACAGATAGGTGTGTGCTTCTCTCCCCACGTTTGGTAACTTCTCCCACTTGTAGACATCAAAAGACGGTCCCTTGTCTTTTCCCTTGTGATAAACGTGACTGTGATCGGCAAGGGGCTTCATCCAATCCAGTTTCTCGTTATAGTGGGAGATGACGATTTCGTAGTCCAGAGCGCTCGACGCATTGTTAGAAGCGTTGTGTGTCCTTGTGAAATATTGCATTTGACGGTATATCGGAACTTGTCGGAAGAAATCATCTGCAAGAAACATAATAAGAACTATAGTCATTAAAAACAAAGTAGCATACTCTTTACCAAATACGTCCACAAAAGTCACAATAGACCCTCCCAGATTTGGTCATCAGCCAATCGATAGAGAGTGCCCTCGATCGACGCAGCATGCACATTCATAGTTATCCAGGGTATTTGAAAATTGCTCAAATGAGCAGCAATGAAGGGACCTCAATATAATCACCGAGCTATTAAGAAAACAGATTCGTGAACTGGTTTGGGAGTAGGAACGTGACATATAGTCATTTAATTAAGGTTCAGTTCGAGGGACCTTTGCGCTTCTTCCTTTTTTTCTTTAAAGGTGATTGCTTCCACTGACCCTGACATGTGTACGGTCCACTAGACCTCATAAAATCAATTTGAAATCGACGCCAGATTGAATCCGTCCATGAAACGAGAGTTACGACCGCCAGAAGGCAGTGCCGATGCAATATGAAATCGGACTCGAATGACAATCGCACTCCTTCATCCTTTTATTGCTTAAAACCCGCCCATGTGACCGGTCGTCTTTGCCTAGGCATGCGCAATGCTATCAATGAGTCCGTATTTCATAGAAACCTAAATTCACGCTACACAGCTGCTGTACCGTGTGAGCCCCGTGGAATCACGCTTTCCCAAAGTGTTCACAATTTAAGACACGTATAAAAGTATTGTCCTGTACCCTGTATACCATTGTGTATATTTATATTATATATCGATGTAGGGGGGGGGGGTCGCCCCAGCCACTGTCACGGGCCAGCCTGATGTCGGAATCCCGAAAAGGGTGTGGCGGAACAAATGCCTTAACCTTTCTACCAAGCTGAGTATTGTGTCCTCCCCGGAGACGTAGACGCTCCTAATCGAGGACGGGCGAAGGCTTCAAGCCTGAGGTGCACGGCGCATATCCTTTGTGTCCGGTGGTCCGACTTTGTCACCAACACCACTATCACAGGCGTTATTCCCTCTTCATGCCAGCCCATGCCACCCTCAAGCTTAGAAGACTCCACCTTGACATTGCCTGGAAGAGACTTAGGGCCGACCCCGCAACACCTGGGTGCAACAGTCTGCATCTGTCTGGGCAGCTCAACTCATATAGAGAACAAGCTGATTTACCCGATCATAGATCGGGTATATAGGGGGTAGTGTTGGGGATGAAAATGTGGGCAGTTAAATGTAAATGGGGGATCATTGAGGAGACATGCAGTTATAGAAAAGCAATTTTTTGTGGTGTGATCTGAGGCAATTTCTGACCACTAAAACCAATTTGAGCAAAAGATCATCTTTTAAACATCATTTTCGAGCTTGGGGTAATTGAATCAGCTGCACGGTATTCTGAGCAATAGAATTTTTATAGTAGGCTACAATTTATATTCGGGGAAGAAAAAGTGGGGGGGGGGGGACCAAACAATGTCCCCGCTTTAAAATGTTGGGGGGGGGGCCCCTGTTCCCCACCGATTTACGCACATGATAATTATGTACCCTGATAACTGTCTGTAAATGTTCCCGTTGGTTTGTTAAATTGGCATTTTGTGAGGCAGTCGCATTGACGGGAGAACGTAGTGAAAAGGTTATGTAGTACACAGGCGAAGGCTGATTGTACAGTTTTGACACGATAATGTATCAAATGTATCATCATAATGTAATCAAACGTGAAGTTGTCATTTGCAATGAAAATGTTGAGTGTTACCATAAAATTACAAACGGTGTGAATGATGGAGGAAGGTCATAATTAAGTTTCAGTATTGGACTCTTCAACAACGTAAACTTGAACTTCTTACAATTTGCGAGACCGTCTGCGAGGAAAAAGTCGATTCAACTTTTATTCAAGTTAGTCAACCATCTATATGTTTTAATCGGCCTCCGAGAAATGTTCGCTCCTGAAAGGTTCCGAGACCGCGGTCTCCCGCGACGCCAAAATGGCTCCACGTCCATTGGAAAAATACGGAGAATTTCTTCCGCCAAATCAAGCACTTCAGGTCGTCCTAATTTTTCCGTACGGACCGGCGATCCGTTTTGTCGATTTTTTGTGTGACTGCGTTCAAGATCACAATATTTGAAGCAATGCATCGACCCTTCGTTGATCCCAAACAGGCCCCCGAAATTATAACGCGACACTGACTGTGACGTGGCGGGCCGGGCAGCGAACTCACAACGCTCAGCCTTGGTGGAAGCATAGAGCTAGTGAAAGCATGGAGCTGTAAACACATTATGGAAGCAACAGCACTCTATCACGCGACGTCACATGCTTGTGCTTCAAATAGCGAGCACCGTAGACTCAACCTCGTTTCCAGGGTGTGGAGCAGGCTGCAGTACGCGTTGCCATCGACGGTTTTACGCATAGCCGGGAAGTACCACGCAGTGTAGACTTTCGATTGGTCAGACCGCGCTAGGCATACTAATGTGTAGTCCTTCTGCCAGTTCGTTGCACTCGGCGCAGGGGCGGCAAGCAAAGCACAGGAAAAAATAGGGACACTTGGTGGCCACGCACCATGGACAAAAAAATATTTTACCAAGGTCACCACATACTAACGTTTGGTGAACGCTTTTGCCGAAGGGCCGAGTAGAACACGTAAACGAAACCCCTACGTTGACCTCGCTGACCTCGCACAGTCTAGACACGCAGAAAAGCCAGCACGGGGGGCGGCCAGGCAGTCAACGTGAAAGCGCACACGACGGCAAATTCCTGTGCAAAATGCAGTCACGAAAAATCGACGAAACGGATCGCCGGTCCGTACGGGAAAATTAGGACGACCCGAAGCGTCCGACCCGGCGGAAGACACCCTCCGCATTTTTCCACGGACGTGGAGCGATTTTGGGGCCGCGGGAGCCCGCGGTCTCGGATCCTTTCAGGAGCAAACATCGTCTTGGGGGCGAGTAAACTTCTCTATTATATATATAGATGATGTGATTTACCGTGCGTGGCAAGCACCTATCATATTTTATTGGTCGTATGAATATTGTCAATAGCCTCGGCCTATGAATGAAAAAAATGACCTTGTCCACCCTTTCTACCAGTGAAGATTCGCTTACCTCTAAAGGTTGAAGCCGTTAGGGTGTCTTTATTTGTATACAAGACGTATCCGAAAAGAAAAATCAGGAAACAGGCGACTAAAGCGGCCAGATTTTTGCGAGGTCGAGGACAATCTGCCATGTTTGTTGATCCGGCATGAAAATGTACGTGTGGTTCACAGCGAGTTTCACAGTGCGCGTGCAGCGCAGCTGCGGTAAACAGTCCATGGCCACGTGTGGGTTCAAAGTCCGCTGTAACTCGTAGTGAACTATGGCGTGTGAAACGTGGCAATATTCAATGTTTTACAATATTTATGTTGGATATTCCATATCGACGATGTTTTCACGAAGTGACAAAAAAAACTGCAAAATCGAAAATTTTACGATTCCAAGTTTTGCCAGCCAATTTATTGCACTTGACAAAATAAAGAATTTGGCCGAGTTTCAAAGTGAAATATTGTTTACTTTTGTCAAACAAACATTTGACAAAATGCCTGAAATCCGTGTTTGTCTGTTTACACGAAGTGACAAAAAGTGTGTACAACTTAATGGGACAAAATAGTGAGGCCTCGGTGTTTTGCTGTTTTCACGAAATGAACAAAATCTTTATTGATCTTTATTAATGAATTGCAATTTAATTAAGAGAGACTTCTAATAAACAACTTTGAATTAGCAAAGAACAAAGCATACGTTACTTGACAATGCAAGAATTTCCTAACTCCATACCTAAAAACTAGTCGACAAATAATTAACTTCAAAGGCGATTATCTCGGAATGACTTTTTTGCATGATATTGAGGTTTTTGTCACTTCGTGAAACACCGTGTGTGTTATCTTTTACATTTATATGCGATGTTCAATAGAAGTGTGCAATGTTTTTCCATTATGTGTGCGATGTTTTAAAATATATGTGCGATGTTCAATATATGTGTGCGATGTTTTACATTTATGTACGATTTTCAATTTATATGAGCAATGTTTGACGATATATATGGTAAATGGGACGAAGTAATACTTCACTCCTTGCACTGAATATTAATCCGTAAAGTTTTAAAAGATAACATCTTTTGCCAAAAAAATCCTCAGTCTCTCTATCACCATAGACCAAGGAATCCCTCGCGTGTACTATTTATTACAGCCAACGAATTCTGTAAGTCTGCTTATCTTGTTTATACAACACTCGGTGGGCTGTTAATTCGAAAATGACGACTGCTTTGCGCATGCTCCGAAATTATCCATCACAATTCCGGTTTTTACCGTTTAGGTCTGGCTCTAATCACTTACGCGATGCCCTGACGTCTCATACACTGACCGTCTAGTAACCAGACTGCAACCCTTAACGAAACATCGCATGTAAAGTGAAACATCAAATGCATATTGCAACAGATCGAATACATATACTACGATGAAATATCAAATACAGAAATAATTAAACATCAAATATATATTAATAATAATAATAATAATAATAGCTTTATTTACAGATGGTAGCCATGTCACCTGACATATGATTTTCAATGTTCAATGGGCCATCTATCAATTAAAACATAATTAAAATTACATGACTTAATTAAGACTAAACACACATACATACAAAACACAGATCAATTCACAATGATAGTGCCACTAGAAAAATCAAAACTATAAAAATACATTAAAAGTTCACATCCAATACATTAGGTAAAATAGAGATATTTAAAAACATGTGGTAGAGGAGAACCATGAGAATGCGACACTACCCCCCCCCCCCAATCCATCCTTCTGTCAACACTCGAGGAAAACCAACCTTAGAAATAGAGTCTGCTGGGAGTAAAAAAAAAATAGACATACATGTACATTTATATACCGGTGTGTCCATCTAATAATTACAGTCAATGGGGAAAGAATCACACTTATACAGATTTTGTTTTAAACAGTGAAGTAGCCTCTGCTTAAATGTTTCGACATTCGTAACAGCCTTTAATTCCCCACTCAGCTTGTTCCAAATGGTACCACCCCTGTACCTGAATGATCTCTGACCAGTAGTTGACACATATAGGTGTATAAAAAGTGCTGGGTTGATTGCTTCTTGTATTATAAGAGTGAACTGAATTAACCGGTTTGAACATGTCCTTTAGATAAGATGGAGCATTACCATGGACAATGTTTATCACACACAATTATATCGAAAACATTGCACATTTACTGTAAAACATCGCATACATAATTGAAAATATCGCACATACATTGTAAAACATCGCACATATGAAATGAAAATCGCACATTAATGTAAAACATCGCACATATTATATTGGACATCACACGCAATATTGTAAACATCACACACACACACATTTTGAACATTGCACACATATACTGAACATCACACATAAATGTAAAGATAAGACACAAATATTGAACCCCAAACATTATATATTGTAAAACATTGAATTTTGCAACGTTTGACAAGCCATACTGAACGAGCGACGATGGTGCTCAGAAACAGCGAGTTCTGTTGATGATCCTCTGACGTATCTATAAGTCTTTAACCTATTTCTGTGACGTCACACTATTGTTAAAAGTGTAGATTATATGTACGAATGTACAGTTTACTGTAGATTATTTTAAGATTCACAGTTTTGTTGTGAATAGCCTCTGCAAACAAGCCCATGTATAAACGGGACCCGGGGGCTTACTAGATTTTTGAAAGTCACAGTCCACTTTAAAATGAAAGGAATTGACTTTTCAAAGGTACTTAAAAATGTACGAATTCCGAAAGAGTTTTTTCGAACGAATTTGACATGTACCTGATTTAAAGATTTTTAATTACACACAATGGTCTCTTTGGATTTTTTTCAATTTGCCGAGCTGGTGCTTTAACCTTTATATGGTGGCGATTATCAATTTCTACTTCAGGTCGAGTGAAAAGTATATTCTTCTTAATGACTTTTCTATTCTGTTTCTTTTTAGTCTTTTTTTACATTTTCTTTTATGTATTATCTTTAATTCTTTGTTTAAATTTTGACTGACTTTTTTATCGTTGTCTTTAAACTCGCATTAAAATAAAAGAATCAGTGGATATCTCTGAATTAAAGTTTATGTTCACATCTAGTCTTGACCCATTTAATTTTAGATTTATCATTATTTGTCAGTTTATTTATCACTGGCCAGTAAAAAAAAAGACCATTAACGAGAGGACAATCCTTAAGAGAATGGACGATAAACTAAAGAAATCAAATGGAACTTACCAAATCAATATTTCTCAGAATATATTCCACAGTAATGTATTTTCCAAACAAAGTTTATTTCCTGTGGTGAGTAAGATGGTGATATTCCGATGTGTACTCCATATAATGAATATCCAGGTATACAATGTGGTTCTCCATTGAATGGGAAATTATGACATGTGGTTCCACAAATCAAAGACCTCTGTGCACAAATGAGTTGCTTGTCAAACTTTTTCTTGTGGTTGTGTTAAAACTCCTCATAGCATATAAAATATAGCATCAAAAGCATGTAATAGTTTTCAGAATCTAGAATACATTAACCCTAAAGAGGCCGGGTGACTTTGACCATCTCTCAGCCGGGGGGGGCGGATTCCGCCCCCCCCCCAAGATCTTGGCCATCGAGTGACGAAACATGCATAGAGCAACTCTTCATGAACATACCCAAGAAATTTCATGACTAAAGGTCAAAGAGTTTTGGAATTATGGCTAATTAATTAATCATATGTATAAATGGCAATTTTGGTCTGTGTACACGACGTATACGGGGGGGGGGGAAAGATTTCACGGCGCGTAGCGCGGGAAAAATTTTCGCTGCGCGACAACCCCTTGTCCGATTTTTATGTTTTTGGTGTCAAAAGATGCGCAAGGCTAGAGGCTAAAAGGTCATAAAAGCTCGGGTCGCGAAAAAAAAAATTTAAAGGCTATCGTGGAAAAAGTCGAAGGGGGGGGGGGCGGAATCCGCCCCGGCCCTTTTAGGGTTAAAATCCCATAGCTGTAACATACATGTATAAACTCCATTTGGCTTTGGGAGTAAGGAATATAGACAAGGTGTTCGCAATTTACACCAGTAACTAGCGCTAGCTTTCTAGGACAAATGCACTGCCTGTATGTGATGAACGGAACAGAAGATGTGCGCCTATCTGAAGGGTTAACAATAGGATCTTGTCATGATGAAAGCACAGGGCCAGGCAAAGTTGAATAGATTGTATACGAATCTACACTGATTCACAGACTGTGGAGATTGTGGAAAATCAGGTGTCTTATTTGCATAAACTATTGTTGTTTTAAAGCTACAGTCCATCATTTGTAATTTGTGCATTTTGTTCGTTTGAAGCAACAAAAGAGTTCAAAATCTAATGAAGGATACTGAGCAACTAACCTGATGAAGTTTCAGCTAAGCTTCAGCTGTACATTCCGAGAAAAACAGCATTCTAAGATCTCAATTTCAAATCAAAAGTTACTGAATCATGTTTTGAATTGTTTTGAATTGCAGCTATACGCGGCGTCGCGCACTGATCCGACGAATTATAACAACCGCGCGCGCGTGTGCGTCGTTCCAATACTTGTGCGCGCTGCGCTGAATAACAAAACGAACTACTAATTTAAATTTTCCTACGGTGCTTCTTAAGAATCACCGTTGAAAATGCCTTCTTTCGTTGATTACTTCAAAATGACAGTTTCCCAGAAAGAATAATTTCACAGGGAGTTTAGTTCCCTTACTATCTTTCAACCAAGTTTGTTTTTTCAACAGTAATTACGCCAGTTACTTTTCGGATGGCTGCAAATGATGGACTATAGCTTTAAGAAATAGGTTTAAGTCGGAGAATAGACTCGGAACTGTAGATTCGTGCAAGAATGGACTCGGCGCACGAATCTACAGTTCCTCGTCCATTCTCCTTAACATAATAGACAGTAAGTCAGGTGCCCGCTGCATGTCGAATTCAGTATCTTCAGGTCTTACGTAGGGCGTACAAGTGGAAATGAGTTATTGGACTGGAAAACTTAAGCAACTGAGTGTGTGAGCATGGCATATTGTGACATGGCCATGCACCTGATTAGTCTGATTTTTAGAAGTGATCTAGCGGGATTTTGTGACAGTACCCGCTGAAGAGGAATATAATTATGAATAATATTTTGTTTCCAGCCGTCATTTCCAGGTTCTCACCACCTTCTTTATGATAAGTTGTAGCATATCCGCTGGACCGAGCCCAGTCTAATGTGGCTTATAATTTCGCCAACCCGGGATTCCCAGGTTCGTGATCATGAGCACCCCACTGAGATAATGGCTTCTCAATCAGTTAACGACCGTAAATATGTTCGCAAATACGGCGGCAGGCGTGGTTTGTCCTTGATCATACCGCGGAGCCTATTTTTATAGCTCCATGATCATCTCAGTCAGGCTATCCCCAATGTACCTGTACTCTACCTGCCTCCCATCGAAATTTGAGTGACGAGTGACGACCCAGATAAGTGCTGGAGAGCTACCTACATCTAAGAAAGCCGAAAATCATCAATACCTATACACGAAAATCATCAATAACTATTACCGTTTACCCTTGACTACACGCAGACACCTCCATGATGACCGTACGCCACACAAAATGTCCCTACATACCTGCCCACCCCTCTTTTCAACTGGTCATGTAATCGGAAGCAGAAGTATTTTTTATGCCTTAGGACTACCCTTGACTTTTCTTGCTACTTTTAGGGAGAAATCATAGACTTGTATCTTATACAAAATACATCTCTGTCTTGTTTTATTTAATTCGTGCCGCACATTTCAGTGTCTCACCATTTTAAGTGGTTTCAAAAGAGACCAAGATATCATTTTGTCCACGCACTGCACAGGATTTTTTATATTTCACTGCAAAAATGTGATGATCTAAAATCAATTTATCTTTGACTGAGTCACTCAGATTACTTAAACCTAAAACCAAAACCGGAGCCGCAGATAAAGTCCAGGGTTGGCAACCTCTTAAGAGGTAATTGTACATAAAAGTACAAACGTTTACAGGGTACCGGTTGAAATGTGTCTCCGATTCAAATGTGATTCTTCTTCTTGACATTGATTATGGTTGCCCAGAGTCTCTCAAAGTAATGGCCCTCCTCTGGGTCCGAATGATCGTTCACAAACGAAATGGCTTTCTCATAAAAACTAACTGGGAACCGTCTCAGGTTTCCCCTGGAAGCAGAGAAACATCCTGATAAACACAATGGCACTCCATGTGGAGGTTTGGTGCCAAACAAAGCCGTGTAGAACTCGCCCATAGTCAGGTTCGCTCTCCGCATCTGGCCGTTCTGAAGAGATTTCAGCCACTTGCTAATATGGCTGATGCGCCCCCAGTCGCCATATAAACTATGCCTGCTTTTGCAGTACTTGTGTTTCTTGGCTCGCTGGACGAACGCCATCGCAGTGGGAAAGCACCATTGCCTATGCTCTCCACCAGGATCCGTGCCTTGTAGGAAGACGGTTATACTGGCGAGTTTGTCGTAATTCTGTATGATATGGTATAGGTAGGTGTGGGCTTCTCTCCCCACGTTTGGTAACTTCTCCAACTTGTAGACATCAAAAGGTGGTCCCTTGTCTTTTCCCTTGTGATACACGTGACTGTGATCGGCAAGGGGCTTCATCCAATCCAGTTTCTCGTTAAAGTGGGAGATGACGATTTCGTAGTCCAGCGGTTGGTTTGCGACGCCATTTTGGCTGGAGTGGTTGGCGGCTGTGGAATTGGCTTGTGTTAGGACGAGACTGCCGCTCGACGCCTTTTTAGAAGCGTTGTGTGTCCTTGTGAAATATTCCATTTGACGGTATATCGGAACTGGTCGGAAGTAATTATCAGCAAGAAACACATTAAGAACTAAAGTGATTAAAAACAAAGTAGCGTACGCTTTACCATAAACGTCCACACAAGTCATAATGGACCCTCGCGGATTTAGTCACTCGAGTGGTTGTTATTGATTGGTTGATCGATTGAAATCATCTGCAAAAAAACATAATATAGAAATACAGTAATTAAAAAAAACTTCCCGGAAGTTTCGGAGAACAAAACTGCAAAACGAAAAGTGTTTTTTTTTTTCCGAATGGACGCCAGGACGAATTGCTTCAGTCTTTTCCTTTAGACTGAGTGTCAAGAAAACAACAATGACTGGCATTGTTGTGCTGTCAAGACACCTGACTATTCCGCACCTAATTAAAATATCCAAGATTTGGGGATATGCAAATGATAGTACCGCTGAACGCCATGGGGACGAGGTTGGTAATCACGCCTGTTTGACTCGACAAAAGCAAGCTAAAGAACAATGCATATTTATGCGTAGGATAGATGCCGTTTCCCGTTTTAGGAATATCTAATGACCACATCTACACGGCGAGTCCAAAAAAACGGAACCAAACCCCCTAGAATAATATTTCATATTTAAAAACGTATTTAGCACCAGAATCAATAATGACTGAAAAGCAATTTCATAATCTACTTTTAGATGAAAAAAAAAAAATGAAATTGCCCAATCCGTTCAAAGAATATCACATTTAAACACAACGTATTTGCATGACCCATGGCTTAGAGAAACTACTCCAGTCATTTAGGGCTGAATTTTGCAATTTTCGCCTGAAGATTACAGTATAACTAGATATCTGCAGGTACAGAATTCAATTTTTCCTCGTTAAACCTCTTCACCAGCTAAGTATTCAATTACAACTCCTGTAGTATCATGATTAAAGCAACATGGCGGAAACATTGACGCACGGTGCTGGCGTGGGACGAGTATCATTCTTGTTCTTTGATAATTTTCCATCGAATGAAAATCAACGGTGTCCACTGTTCTACCTGTGGAGATTCGCTTACCTCTACTTGAAGCCGTTAGGGTGTCTTTGTTGGCATTAAAGACGTATCCGAAAAGAAAAATCATGAAGAAAGCGATGAGTAAAACGGCCAGGTTTCTGGGTGGTCGTGTACAAACCGCCATGTGTATTGGTCGGGCTTGAAAGTGTACGTGTACTTCACTGCCAGTTTTCTTTCCTCTCGATTTCCCCGTATCAGCTGCGGTACGGTGCATGCATTGTAATTTTGATCCATTTATTCAAAGACACTGCACGTGAATCGTACTTGAACGGGGCTCTCGTCACAATACAGCGGGTTCTGCCGGGTGAAGGAACCTAGAGCTGACCTTGGATCAGTGCTCTGACGTCCTGTATTAAAAGATCCTAATTTTGTCAGATGTCAGTGTATGTAAAACGTTTTTGTAAAATGCCTTTGTGTGCGGAAGCACCAAATGCAAGGGTTATAATGGAAAGGTATATGCATGACCTATGCTCCGATTTCACTGTAGTTACGGTTGGCACGTGAATTATAATAACAAGTGCCCTTTTCCTGAACAAGTGCCCTTTTTTGAGTCGTGCCCTTTTTGTGTACCTCAGGGGGCTTAATTTGCCAAACAAAAAGGAATATAGGTCAGCGCTGACCTATAATATACCAGATTATACCGGCCATATAGCCTATCGATACCGGCAATATAGCCTACCGATACTGGCGATATAGCCTACATCAGATACCGGCGATTTAACCTACCGATACCGGCGATATAGCTTGCCGATACGGTGTAGTGTGAAATTTGGACTCTATGGAATGCCGACTTCTTGGTTGCTTTGCGCATGCCTTAGGAAAGATAAAAGGGACGTGACAGATCATGTGGGAGGGTTATAATCCATACAAGGTATTGAAAAGAAGACCAGATTTTATTGGAGTCCACATTTCATGTGACAACGGCGAAAGCTTGACAAAAGAAATAACAACTTCCTAAATTGGCCGTCACAGAAGCATCGTCTTGTTCACCAAATAAAATAAAAGTTTGTGTCCAATAATTCCAATCACTTCTTCTTGGCATTGATTATGGTTGCCCAGAGTCTCTCAAATTAAGTAATGACCCTCCTCTGGGTTCCAATGATCGTTCACAAATCGTCAACGACACCACGAAGTAAGACTCATGTATATACCGGTAAAAACGAGCAATCTGAGAAAACGGCATCTAAAGTTGAACGCCTTCTAGAACAACGCTTTGCGTCAAAACTACAGAGTATTTTCACTACGGTTTCTCGTTGTAGACACTTGGTGTATTGATGTTATTAACTTTGCTGTTTTTGACCCGTTTGTGTACTAAAACAACAAGAAATAAGAGAAAAAAGATGAGTGCTAATCCTTGAAACCCAAAAAGCTGCAAAATGTAAAATTTCGTTTTCCCGAAGCAACACTCAAGCTCCATTTACCATTGTAATGTATGGCGCGCACTCTGCTCATAATGCGAGCAAAAACGTTTTCACGAAGTAACGCTCTTCTTGTTTGAGCGCGCGCGCGCTGACCTACATTTCCACGAAGTAACACTCTTCTGGTGTTCTAATACATTGAAGCGTGCTACTTCGTGAAAACGAAATTTTACAGTTTCGTGCTACTTCGTGAAAACGAAATTGTACGGTTTCGCAGCAATGTATTACAGCACTAGAAGAGTGTTACTTCGTGGAAATGGAGGTCAGCGCGCGTGCGCTCAAACAAGAAGAGCGTTACTTCGTGAAAACTTTTTTGCTCGCATTTGAGCAGAGTACGCGCCATACATTACAATGGTAAATGGAACTTAAATGTTACTTCGTGAAAACAAAAATTGTCACTTTCGCGCAAAAGATGCCTGGAATATTTAGCGTAATTATTAAAGTAAAGCTCTTGAAGCTTTGAAACTTCGTGCAATGGTAGGCTTTGATGAATAATGTAGAGATGCATCCTCTTAATAAACACAATGGCACTCCATGTCAAGGTTTGGTGCCAAACAAAGCCGTGTAGAACTCGCCCATAGTAAGGTTCGCTCTCCGCATTTGGCCGTTCTCAAGAGATTTCAGCCACTTGCTAATAATGGCTGATGCGCCCCCAGTCGCCATATAAACTCTGCCTGCTTTTGCAGTACTTGTGTTTCTGGCTCGCTGGACGAACGCAATCGCAGTGGGAAAGCAACAATGCCTATGTGGTTTCTCAAAAAATGTGATATCCACGGGGCTGAAACTTCAACTGCTCAGGTTTTGAACATTCTTCTTTGGATTATGAGTGGTGTTGTTATCTAAAATGAACAAAATTTACGAAATGTATATGATCCTAAACCTTCATCCGATTGGACTAGAGGGTTTATTGTCATATTTTCATAGCTCATGCAATATATTCTTGTATCCCCCTCAAAGCCATCCAATAGTATATAATTATATTTTGCCAAACACAATTGTAAATGATGCTGTTGAGAAAAAAGTGTCGGTTATAATGACATTACGTTGACCAATTATTTGTACATAATTAGATGGCAAAAAAATGTTAATAATGAAATAACATAACAAAAAAATTGTAAATAATGCAGTGGCAGCGGCAAATGAATAATATTGCAAACTGACAAACGATTATAATTGTCCCACATGAAATGCATATGTACCTAATCAATTATATATAAATACATAAGTCGAAAAAAGTGAATTATAATAAATAGTGAATTATATGATAATGTTGTTAAATAATTTATTAACACATGGCGCCTCATACCTTAGCCTCGGAAGCGGATGCGCCACCTACTGGCAAAATGGTTACACTCCTATGTTCCGACACCTCTGTGTTCCGACACCGCTATGTGCCGACACCTCTATATTCCGACAACTAAACCTATGTTCCGGCATTCCTATGTTCCGAAAACTCTATGTTACGACTACTTAACAAATGCTTCGAGACCTCCATGTTCCGACATTAATGTTCCGACACCCGTATGTTCCGACTGCATTATTCTTATCCCAATCTTTTACCCTAACCCTAACCCTGACCCGGTAAACCTCACAATCTTATGTGCAGGTTGTCGGAACATAGGGATGTCGGAACATATAGGGATGTCGGAACAAGGGGTTGAGTAGTCGGAACATAGGGTCGTCGGAATATAGGGGTGTCGAAACATAAAGCAGTCACCGGCAAAACACTGGACACTTCACCCAAAATGCGACGAAGCGACAATGCGACGGCACGACGCGACTAGGCGACACCACGACGCGACTATGCGACGGCGCTATACAAACAGTACAAAACTATGCAACGGCAAGACGCGACTACGCGACGGCAGGAGGCGACTATGCTATGGCATGACACAACTGGGCAACGTCACGACGCGACTCTGCGTCAGCACGACGCGACTATGCGCCGTTCACGGCGGAAGTGGCAGAGGACCCAAGCAACAGTGCTACACATGCGCCACGTACGTGGCAGTATTGGAATTCCCTACAACAAATACTGAGATAAAGCAGTTAATCTTTGACTGAAACGATGCTTAGCTACTACAAAGTACTCAGATGACTTCAAACTAAAGCCGCTTTTGCAGAAAAAGTCGAGGTTTGGCAAACCTTTACAGGCAACACTTGGAAATTGCCTCCGATTCAAATCTTGACATTGATTATGGTTGCCCAAAGTCTCTCAAAGTAATGGGCCTCCTCTGGGTTCGAATGATCGTTCACAAATGAAATGGCTTTCTCATAGAAACTAACTGGGAACCGTCTCAAGTTTTCCCTGGAAGCAGAGATACATCCTGTAAAACATACTGGCACTAAGTCGGGAGGTTTGGTACCAAACAAAGCCGTGTAGAACTCGCCCAGAGTCAGGTTCGCTCTCCGCATCTGGCCGTTCTGAAGAGATTTCAGCCACTTGCCAAAATGGCGGATGCGCCCCCAGTTGCCGTTCTTGTAACGCTGCGTGATTTTGCAGTACTTGTGTTTCTTGGCTTGCTGAACGAACTCTATCGCAGTGGGAAAGCACGATTGACTATGCTCCCGACCAGGCCCCGTGCCTTGTAGGAAGACGGTTATATTGGCGAGTTTGTCGTAATTGTGTACGATATGGTGCAGGTAGGTGTGGGCTTCTCGACCCACGTTTGGTAACTTTTCCCACTTGTAGACATCAAAAGGCGGTCCCTTGTCTTTCCCCTTGTGATACACGTGACTATGATCAGCAGTTGGCTTCATCCAATTCAGATTCTCGTTGTACTGGGAGATGACGATTTCGTAGTCCAGTGGTTGGTTTGCGACGCCATCTTGACTGGAGTGGCTGGCTGCTGTCGAGTCAACTGGTGTTATGACGAGACTGCCGCTCGACGCTTTTTCAGAATCGCTGTGTGTTCTTACGACAGAGTCCTTTCGACCGTATATCGGAACTGGTCGGAAATCATCTGCAAACAACATCATAATGAAATGAAGCAATTCAAAACAAAGTAGCACACGCTTTACCAAAAAGTCCACATAAGCCACAGACCCTTTTGGGTTTGGGTCGGGCGGACCTCTCCGCAGGACCGCATCATGCGTTTGTATAGATGTCCAGGGCTTTAGAGAATTATCAAGATCGATAAGACAGAAAGGTATATAATTCCCCTACACAATGCAGCAGATTCGTGGACTGGTTGGAAGTAGTTGTGACTACATTCAGTTGATTCCATATCGATTCCCTGAACTTCCCCCCCCCCCCTCTTTCTCCCCTTCCTTGTTTAAAATAACGGTTACTTGAAACACATATATAAAGCATATTCTGCGACAGCAAGTAATGAATTTATGTGTCATACTTGGTAAATCTTTATTTTATTTCTATTGTTTGTTTTACTTTACATTTCATGAGTAAGATATCAAATTGGGGGATTCTGTTACGATCTGACCGGCCGTATAATGGGCTCTGTGCACAAGAACCCCTTCAACGGCCAAAAAAAGGAGAGTTTGGGGAGACCCACTTGGTTCCCGGTCCATCCGCTGCATATTTCGAATGATCCAAAGTTATTGGGGGCGGGGACTAGTCTGGGAGACCATCGCAAGTTCAAATCGAACGTGTTCGCGTGCGCGCCGACGACGCCTCAAGCCCGGTTCATACTTCACGCGAATGCGATTGCGAAGCGAATTTGACGTCAAATTCGCCCGAGTTGAAATATGTTCAACTTTTACGAATTCGCAGCGCGAATACTTGCCATGACGTCCCAAATTCGTGTTCGCTTTCGCTTTCGCGCCGAGTATGAACCGGGCTTGAAGCAAAAAAAAAATTCCCAAGAAATTAATTAATAATACAACCCCCCCCCCCCCGCTCTGACACCCCCCCAAAAAAAAAATTATACTGTATAATGTCCACCTGTTCAAAATACGGACATTACATTCTGTATTAATCTAGTGTTGATTATTGTCGAAATCGTCGAACAACGCCCCTATTAAAAAATGGTACCGCCCCCCCTTCCCCCCCCCCCCCCATCCCCCAACCACCCACCCCCAAAGTTTTTGTTTTTACGGAGGCTAAGTGTCCAGAGAAAAAAAAAAGTCTATATTTTCAGATTTTTGGCTGATAACCCCCCCCCCTGCAAAAATCCCTGGATCCGCCCCTGAAAGGGGAGAATTTTGCGTGGCAGCTGTCTCCGTGTCTGCAGTATCTTAGAACTTCCATCGGATAACTTAACAAGCGTTTGGTGCACAAGTAAGAAAACCAACTTTTGATAGGAATTTTAACCAATAACTTTACTTATTTGGACATTTATTTTGTAATTTAGTGAAGTATAGCTCTTCAACTATAATACGTGGCTAAAAAAAGTCTATTAAAATCGCAAGAATAGTGATATTATGCTTATTTGAATACAAGTCACCAAAATCACCATTGTCCACGTGTATTAAAGTCTAGTGTAGCGGTTTTGTTTTGTGTTTTTTGCTTCTTCAAATCAAGCTCGGGAGCTCAGTCAAGCTGATGGAATAAAGCCGTCCGTGGACAAACAGGTTGGGCACATGAATTTGTTTTTAAAGTACCATATCTCAGAGACAGAATATACATTTGCAATCGTTTTTCGTCACTTATGTTTAAAGATCAATATTTTAATAGCATTAAACAATTATGCTCAACAAGTATGTGAAAATTGCTATGACAAGACTAGAATGGATTTCCTTTTCGTTTTGCACCACCCTGCATATAGATCCACTTACCGCGATATATAGGAGAGAACCAAGCAACACAGACCAGCAAGAAGACCATGATGATCATGACGATGGCTGTGGTTGGAAAGCATCTGGCGTGGAGACACTCCATTATGGCCGATGTTATGAATCAGGAATCGCCATATATCAGGTGTTCTTGTTGTTTGCCCTCACGTCTACATTTAAATTAATACATTTAATTAAACCGCAAAGTCTAACATTGCTTTTTTTTTGGTTTTTCATACATTGTACATTGTATAGAACGAGACGCAATCATCTGTACTTACTGTTTACACTTAATACATGTTCATTGTACAATAATACAGCCACAGTGTTTCAATCGGGGTCCTGCGATCGAATGAAACAATAGGCTAGTCCTGAAACATCTGCTTTGTCTCCGACCTTGCAGGCAATTTGCATGTTTTTGTATGCGCTCAAACCGATGACAAGAATAAAGCGTTTCGTGTTGACTGGGGCCGTATTATTTAACACATCTTTTTGGGGCTAAGCATTTGGATCCACGTCCTTTTACAGGTGTAGTGGTTTTCCCTAACGTGGCGCACTTCGCACCGCTGTTTTCCGGGCGACATTAGATTTGTAAAGTTGACTGGGTTAATATACCCAAGAAAGGGTGAAAACTACCCAAAAATGGGTCATTCTTTACCCAATTGTTTGGGTTATAATTTATGTTAATTTCAAACAAAATGTGTGGCCTTTCAAGACCAGATTTAATTTGGTCTTATATGTGACCAAATGTTTTGGATGAATTTAACGGAAATCATAACCCAAACAGTTGGATAAAGAGTAACACATTTTTTGGCAGTTGCAGTTTTCACCCGTTCTTGGGTAAAATCAACCCAGACAATTTTATGTCGGTGCTTTAGCTTGTATCAAACGCCCTCTAGGGACCGAATTGTATCCAGTCTCGTTTTGCCTAAAAACAGCAAACCGGAGGACGTCTTTCAATCACCTTTTTATATTACAAATAGGTTTTTGATATTCGAGATAATAACAATAAATCGACAAAAAAGGGAATGAAACATTCATCTGTCACCGAATAAATGTATTTGTTCCATTGCACGAATGTGAAACATTCATTATTTGTTTTTCATTATGTGTTTTACATAACACCTGGATAAATTATTGTCATCTGATTGGTTGATTTGTGACTACATACATAAAAGTTCTACTTTTTTTCAGATGGTGATAACTGGTAGTTCACACCAATATCCGATTTATTAAAAACGGTTCGACAAGTTGAGAACTAGCAAGCACATTCAATTTATCTCGGTTTGAACTATTTCACAACAAAGTTCGGAACTTTCATATCCAACTTATGTATTTTAAAAACTGTTCTGGACAAGTTCAGAACAACCATATTCAATTTCGTCCAATCGTTTGGCGGCATATCTTATTTGCTTCTTTGTGTTGGTAGCGGCAGCATTATCGAGTGTTCTGATATATATATATATATATCTGTTTGGAGAACAAACAGAGATTCTCGCATACCGTTGAGTCCGCCAATTTGCCATTCTGTGAATCAGATTCGTGTTACAGCAAAGTTCTATTCATCGTGCAACAAAACTTTTATTTTTGTGGTGCGGCTACGCCGTGATGCGTGCGTTGGCACCGCTGTGGTTGGGATGAATAAATCAATGGCACGTGGTCAACGATCCACCAATCAGATGCGATTTTTATATACTAGTCCCAGAAGAAATGCATGATATTATGTAAATACGTTCTACAATTTATTCTAGAGCGCGTTGTTGCATAGCAACAGGAGTTGTTGGTTCACTCCGTGCTTTTATGCAGTGTTCCCGCGCCTGTGCAGGGAGCTAGTTCGTGCAATTTTTGTAAGGTTAAAGGTCGGTTTTCACGGGGCACGCGAACGATTTGCGAAGGATGCGAATGTCGAAAAAATGGCAAAGTCCAACATTCGGAGAAGTTTTTCTCTGAAAGTCTCCCGACAATGGAGTCGTAAACCATTCTTTGGTTTGTGCGAAGTTCTCACAACGTATGGTTTGTGCGAAGTTCTCACAACGTATGTGTGAGAATGTCGTGTGTACCGTGACTAAACTACGGCCAGTCCACATACACGAAGAACACGATAACGCTGGGACTCCACGGGTTCTTCTGATCGCTCCTCCTGGGAACTATGGGCCTCTTGCACACCTTCCATCTCCCCTGGCAGGGGGTTTGTCTTCCTCTTCTTGGTCAATCCGACAACGCGGTCACGACTTGTAGAAATTCGTTATACTGTCCTACTTTAACTCCGAGTTTATTACAAGTTTAATGACTCACCATGGTGAAGTATACAAACAGCCAAAACTGGGCCGAGTCCATGCACAACGCAACGCGAACGGGGCAACTGCCCGCGCCGTGAATGCGGGGCGAGTTGGTTTTAACTCACGTGGTGAATATGCACACAAAGTTCGGTCAATAAACACTCACAAAAATCCACGAGAGAAGCTTGGATTGCTCACTGGAATAGCTCTGCCGATGTTTACTAACTCATGTAAAGAATAGTGTTGATTCAAGCTTGTAACTTCCAAGCGAAAGTATAGAAAATGCACTGTAAAAATTGCGTGTGTGACAGAAAACTATAGTATAGACAAACGATAACGAAACGACACTCAATGAAAGCATGAAGGTTGACCTCTGAACTACATGTAACATATATACAAGATGCGTTAAAGGCGCAGTACAGTGAAACTTATAGTGAACACTACAGACTCTTTCTTCCCTTGGGCGGCATGTTGTTGTCATGAGTTGAAGTCAAATGAGGTAAATAAACCACCCACCGTTTAACCTATGAGGCTATAGTATAGGTCTACATAGCATACTTGCCTACAATACAAAATTCACACAGAGTAGCAAATGCGCGAAATAGTCGTGCGCTTTATATAGGTCAAACGTGGTGTGGATTTGCCGCCAAACGAGTGCACCAAACGTTCGCGACTAATGTCTCAAGAAGTACGCAAAAAGTTTGCTCAAAGGTCAAGAAATAATTGGGAGAACTTCGCTTCTAGCGCGAGACATTCTCCAAATTGTCGGGGTCTGTTTGGGGATTTACGAAGAGTTTGCGAACATCGCGCACGTCTTGAGTAGGTCCTGCGCATATGACGAAGCTTTTAAGACATTTTTTAGAACAAATCACGAGCAAAACACGACCCGGGATGCTGGAAACGTTCGCAAGAAATTTCAAAAAAATTTGAAACTCCCGCCGAACTAAAAACGACGCCCGCGAATAATTGACGATGCTTCCGAACCCCCGCGATGGTTTGGCGATCCTTTGCAGCATAAAATACGAATGTTGGACTTTGCCATTTTTTCGACATTCACATCCTCCGCAAATCGTTCGCGTGACCCGTGAAAACCGACCTTAACGACGCGACTATGGGACAGTACAACACGACTGTGCGACAGCACGATGCGACTGTGCGTTAGCACGATGCGCCTATGGATGGCACGTCACAACTCACTGTATGATGGTCTTACTCATATTAATTCAACCAAATCCCGCAGCTGCAGAAAAAAATCGAGGTTTGGCAAACATTTTAAGGGTATACTACACAAGAACAAGCGTTAACACGCAACACTAAGAAAGTGTCTCCGATGCAAATCACTTTTCCTCGGCATTGATTATGGTGGCCCAAAGTCTCTCAAAGTAATGGCCCTCCTCTGGGTTCGAATGATCGTTCACAAACGATATGGCTTTCTCAAAAAACTAATTGGGAACCGTCTCAGGTTTTCCCTGGAAGCAGAGATACATCCTGTATAACATACTGGCACCCAGTCGGGAGGTTTGGTACCAAACAAGGCCGTGTAGAACTCGCCAACAGTCAGGTTCGCTCTCCGCATCTGGCCATTCTCAAGAGATTTCAGCCACTTGCCAATATGGCGGACGCGCCCCCAGTCGCCGTAACGCTGCCTGATGTTGCAGTACTTGTGTTTCTTGGCTCGCTGGACGAACTCCATCGCTCTGGAAAAGCACCATTGCCTATGCTCTCCACCAGGATCCGTGCCTTGTAGGACGGTTATATCGGCGAGTTAGTCGGAATTGTGTATGATACGGTGCAGGTAGGTGGGCGTCTCGCCCCACGTGTGGTAACTTCTTCCACCTGTAGACATCAAAAGGCGGTCCTTGTCTTTCCCCTTGTGATACACGTAACTGTGATCGACAAATATAACATCATTTCTGATAACCAATATGGGTTTCGAACTAATTTCTCCACTTCAATGGCACTTATTGACCTAGCAGATAAAGTAGTCCAAACGTTTGAGGAGAATGCTTTTTCAATCGGTGTATTCTTAGATTTATCAAAATCATTTGATAGTATAAACCAAGATATTCTTCTTCATAAATTAAATTATATGGTATCCGTGGGGTTGCCCATGATTGGTTTGCGAGTTATTTGAATAATCGTAAACAGTGTACAGCTTTTAATAATTGCCTCTCTGATTTAAAAGGCATCTCATGCGGAGTACTAGTACCCCAGGGCTCTCTGTTGGGACCTTTGTTATTTCTACTCTATATTAATGACATTTTAAAGACATCTAACTTATTATCCTTTATATTATATGCTGATGACACTAGTTTATTCTATTGTAATAAAGATCTTATTTCCCTGTATAATATTGTCAATAATGAACTGGTCAGTATCTGTGATTGGTTAAAAGCTAACCGCTTAACTCTTAATTCATCTAAATGTAATTATATGATCTTCAGTAACAGGAAAAAAAAACAGAATAACTCATCAAACTTAAATATTTTAATGGATAGCAAAACTATCAAGAAAGTAGACAAGTTTAGATTTTTAGGTGTAATCATCGATGAAAAATTGACTTGGAAATATCACATCGATGAGATTGTATGTGAAGTTTCTAAGAGTATTGGAGTTATCAACAGACTAAAACATACTGTTCCCTTTGAGGTATTAAATACTCTCTATAGTTCATTAATACTTCCTTATTTTTCTTACTGTAACATTGTTTGGGGGAATACATTCCGTACGAATTTGGATAAACTAATACAATTTCAGAAAAGAGTTGTTCGAATTATTACAAATTCACCATATAGGGCCCATAGTCAACCTCTCTTGCGTGAACTAAAATATTTAGGAATAACAAACCTAAATAAATACCAACAAGCTTTATGTACAAGTTTAAAAACAATTTACTGCACATTTCCTATTCAAACATGTTTGTACTAAACTGCAATTTGCATAACTATAATACTCGTGTGTCTACTAACTTACACATTTCCACACATTTCCACATACCACAACATAGAACATCTGCCTTTCAACATAACATCAAATACTCCGGACCTAAAATATGGAATAATGTACCATTGTCTCTCAGATGTTTAAGGTCTTATAATATTTTCAAACGCAAACTTAAATTGTACCTTATGTAATGTGATATATTTTATATGTTATATGCCTCTGCCATAATTGGACTCTGTATCCACGACGATCCCACTCGTAGCCCATTATTAATTATTAATATTATTTTTTATAACTTTTTCACAACTTTGCTAACTGCTTAGAATTATACATGTGTATAATTGGTCTTTGTTTTAATTGACGTTCGTCCCAACATAGCCCCATATACTGGCTCAAATAGCTGGACTTCCTCCGTATTTGTGCCATGCATAATGCATGCCAAATATCCGGGGAAAACTGTTTTCTACATTTTAAATCTACTTGCCTTTTCACTTGATACTCACCACAGAATCTATACACACCATAAACATTGAACAATAAAAAGAGCATGACCCATGACCTCCATTAAACAAACACTTCAGTAATTTTGGATGAATTCTGCAATTTGTGCCTGAAAATTACAGGTTAACTAGACATATCGGCAGATACTGAATTCAATTTCTCTTAAAGGGAAGATACAACATTTGCAAGCATCAAAAAACAAAATAATCAAATTATCACGGAATACCTTACTGGATTGTTAGGGACTGACAGTCTAAAGCATCCTTTAAAATCATGGCTCCTGGTGTGCAGACATTTTCAAGAAAAACTGTATAACGCCGACCAGCGTTGGAGAAAAATGTTGTTGTTTTTTTTTCAAAAACTGTTGCCATTTTTTTATATTTAGTTATTCTGACTTTTCTTTACAATTGATCACACACCTGCGAAGGGGTACAAGTCAGTGCTAGACTAATTCTATGACCTTGCAATTCCCCAATGTATTTTAATTGCTCCATTTCATCTTAAGTGGGGTCAGGGAACCAGACTACAAGAAAATTGGTTTTCTTGGTTTTTCCAGCATCTACAAGCCCAAAACGTGAGACAAGTCAGTTTAATAATATTTTCTATACCATACTTATCCTCCAAATCCATTTATTTCTGAAAATTGCAGCAAAAGCAAATGTACATTCCCTTTAATTGTTACTCAACAGCTATAAAAAGTCATTGCAACTCTGGTATTATTATATGAACAGTGCCTATACGTACAGGGCAAAAGACCCAAAGATGAGCGATCATGCATGGAGCAGGAAGTCGGAGTATCGTTCTCGTCCCAATTTTAGAATTGTCAATAGTCTGAGGCCCATAAATGACAAATGACCTTCACCACCATGTTTGTTGATCGGGCATAAAAGTGCATGTGTAGTTCATTGCGAGTTTCAGTGCGTGCTGCAGTTAGTACACAAGCTGATTTACCCGACCACAGATCGGGTAGGCAGCGTAGTGTTGGGATGAAAATGTGGGGAATTTAATGTAAATGGGGATTTCGTTGAGTACGCAAGCAGTTATAGAATTAGAAAAGCAATTTCTGTGATGCCATCTGAGGCAATTTCTGACCACTAAAACCATTTTTCATAGCAAAAGATCATCTTGTATACATCATTTTCGAGCTTTGAGTCATTGAATCAGCTATTCTGAGCAATGGAATCATATATTTTAGTAGGCTACAATTTTCATTCAGGGAAGAAAAAGTGTGTAAGGGGACCAAACAATTTGTCCCCGCTTCAAAATGTGTGTGTGTGTGGGGGGGGGGGGGGGATCCCGTCCCCCACCAGCATTTTACTACAGACATATATATTATGCAAGTGTTTAGTAAAAAAATGCAAGTCACAAAAAACAGTGAATTAAATTGAATTCTATCATTTGATCTATGTCGTATATCTTTGTAGCCCAAATAACGATACCATAACAATTAGTGTTAACCTTTTGCTTCCAAATACTAGTGACGTCATGAAACCGGAAGTTAGGTGTTACAAATACATACAGTTATATTTTCCATATTTTGCGTACGTCATTTAACTTCACAATAATACATTTATCCACTCCGGACTAAATCAGTATTCACTTCCCGTTTTTTTCATAATGACGTCATTCAGCCAGAAATAACTCGTATGTGTACAAAAATGTTTACAGAAATTTAGTACACCGTTAAAGATGCATTTTTCAACAAAATAATGTATTGTGATGGAAAAGATTTAATTTCGTGATCCTTTGTTGTTACATAAACATATTCATAACTTAACTCGGTAGTATTTCATGAACAAGATGCCTGCCCGACCACTCTGCGTTTGTAACAACAAACGCGAACCTCTAGTTATGAATACAATTTTGTTTCCAGCCGTCATTTCCGGGTTTTCACTATTCCTCCTTTGGCAGTTATAGCATAAATTCACTACTATATACGCTCAGATGATGAAATCTCAATTTTGTATCCGATAATTCGGGCAGGAAATGTCGGTCTGAGAACCACAAGATGGATTCTCATTCTCCGTCTTGTTTTATTGAATTCGTGCCACACAATTCAGTGTTTCACACATTAATTCACACATACCAGTTTGTCCACGCACTGCACAGGATTATTTTTCTTACATTGCAAAAATGTGATCTAAAAACAGTTAATCTTTGACCGAGTCCCACAGATTACTTAAAACTAAAACCGGAGCCGCAGACAAAGTCGAGAGTTGGCAACCTCTTAAGAGTTTAATATGAAGGTACAAACGTTAACAGGCACCAGTTGGGAGTGTCTCCGGTTTGAATGTGTCTCCGATTCAAATGTGTCTCTTCTTCTTCTTCTTTTTGGCATTGATTATGGTTGCCCAAAGTCTCTCAAGGTAATGGCCCTCCTCTGGGTCCGAGTGATCGTTCACAAACGAAATGGCTTTCTCATAGAAACTAACTGGGAACCGTATCAGGTTTTTCCTGGAAGCAGAGACACATCCTGTCATACAGGATCGCACTGTGACGGGTGGTTTGGTACCAAACAAAGCCGTGTAGAACTCGCCCATAGTCAGGTTCGCTCTCCGCATCTGGCCGTTCTCAAGAGATTTCAGCCACTTGCCATACTGGTGGATGCGCCCCCAGTTGCCGTAGCTGCCCATGATCTTGCAGTACTTGTGTTTCTTGGCTCTCTCGACGAACGCCATCGCAGTGGGAAAGCATGTTTGACTATGGTCTGTAGGCCCCGTGCCTTGTAGGAAGACGGTTATATTGGCGAGTTTGTCGTAATTCTGTATGATATGGTGCAGGTAGGTGTGGGATTCTCTCCCCACGTTTGGTAACTTCTCCCACTTGTAGACATCAAAAGGCGGTCCCTTGTCTTTCCCCTTGTGATACACGTGACTGTGATCGGCAAGGGGCTTCATCCAATCCAGTTTCTCGTTATAGTGGGAGATGACGATTTCGTAGTCCAGCGGTTGGTTTGTGACGCCATCTTGACTGGAGTGGCTGGCTGCTGTCGAGTTAACTGGTGTAAGGACGAGACTGCCGTTCGACGCGTTTTTAGAAATGTTGTGTGTCCTTGTGACATATTCCAATTGACGGTATATCGGAACTGGTCGAAAGAAATTATCTGCAAGAAACACATTAAGAACTTAAGTAATTAAAAAACAAAGTAGCGTACGCTTTACCAAAACGTCCACACAAATCATAATGGACCCTCACAGATTTAGTCATCACTCGAGTGGTTGGTTGTTATTGATTGGTTGATTGATTGAAATCATCTGCAAAAAACATAATCATTAAATGAAGTAATTAAAGTGCATATGCTTTGCCAAAATGTCCACATGAGTCATAATCCACCCTGCCGGATGTGGTCATCAGCCGATCAAAACGGAGCGCCCTCTCCGCCGCATGCATAATTATTCATAGATACCGGGATTTAGATAATTAGTAATATGATCAAGTTATATGAATATAAATCCCCAACACAAGGCAGCAGAATCGTGGAATGGTTGGTACATGTAACCGTGACTTGAAGTTTCGGAGAACAAAACTGCAAAACGAAAATTGTTTTTTTTTTCCGAATTGACGCCAGGACCAATTGCTTCAGTCTTTACCTATAGACTGAGTGTCAAGAAAACAACAATGACTGGTATTGTTGAGCTGTCAAGACCCTGACTATTCCGCACCTATTTGAAATATCCCAGATTTGGGGATATGCAAATGATAGTACCACTGGACACCATGGGAACGAGGTTGGTAATCACGCCTGTTTCACTCGACAAAAGCTAGCTAAAGTATAATGTTCATTTATGCCTAGGATAAATGCCGTTTCCCGTTTTAGGAATATCTAATGACCATATCTACACGGCGAGTCCCAAAAAAGCGGAACCAAAACTCCTAAAATAATATTTCATATTTAAAAAAAAAAAATGTATTTAGCACCAAAAATAATAATGACTAGAAAGCAATTTCATTATCTACTTTTAGATGAAAAATAATGAAACTGCTCAATCCCTTCGAAGAATATCACATTTAAACAGAACGTGTTGGCATGACCCATGGCTTAGAGAAACTTCTCCAGTAATTTTGGGGTGAATTTTGTAATTTCTGCCTGAAGATTACAGGATAAATAGACATCTGCAGATACAGAATTCAATGTTTCCTTGTTAAACTTCTTCACCAGCCCAGTAGTCATTATAACTCCTGTAGTATCATGATTAAAGCTAGTCCGAACATTTGGGACTCTCAATGCTGTGTATGAGAGTCCCAAAACTTAAGGTATTGAAAACATGCAAAAACCAGAAAATAGACTGGCACCTAAAACAACCAGCCCAACAGAGCTTCAGTACGGCATGAATCAACCATGCCAAAAGAATTTTAAGAAACACGTGTCATAAAGCGGGAACTAGTCTCAATTTACTACACATTTCTCCATAGTCCAGCCACCAGACTATTGACACTGTATGGAGAGGTCAGTCTTTTCAAATAGTTGGACCATGGTTGGACATGTACCAGTCTAGTATTTAACCCCATTTTGAAATCACTTGACTTCCCTCTCATGTGCAAAATATTGAAGAAAAGTCTCCTTTAAAAATGAATTGAGTCTGCAAACTTTGTTGGTGGAATACTGAGGACATTTTCTTTACCCCAGTGGAATGATTGGAGACATTTGCTGGCTAAACTGTGAGTAAAGTGGGCCTGATTAGTGGGCTTACCTTTACTTGAAGCCGTTAGGGTGTCTTTGTGGGCATGAAAGACGTATCTGAAAAGAAAAATCATGAGTAAAGCGATGAGTAAAACGGCCAGATTTCTGCGTGGTCGCTGACAATGCGCCATGTGTATCGATAAGGCTTGATAGTGTACGTGTATACTTCACTGCTAACACTTTCTTTCCTTTCGATTTTCAATTCAGTTTCTGTTCAGTGCATGCATTGTAATTTGATCAATAGGCGCCACTGGACAGCACTAGTTGACATAATGAAAAGTTGGCCTCCAAAATGCACAAGCGCTCTATGGGTGCACACTGGTCAAGGGCGGATCCAGGGGGGGGGGCAAAGGGGGCCATGTCCCCCCCCCCCAAAAAAAAAAAACGAAACCGATTTTTTTTTTTTTATGTGACATCGAAATAAAGGCAGGCAATGAGTACACCACCATCTTTTCCTCAAAAAAACATTGGTAAAAGTAGTCAGAAATTGCCTCAGATCGCACCACAGAGCATCTAGAATCCAAAAGTTTTTCGGGGCCCTTAAGCGGGCCCCGAACCCCACGCCGGATTTTTTTTGACCCACTTTTTGGGGGGATCAATTTTTTTTTGGGCCCCCCCCAGAAAAAATTGTGTACTGGATCCGCCCTTGACACCGGTGAATAGGCCTAAACCCATCCACCGAGCTCATGAATAAAAGTTTTACCCTCAAAATATGCTATATTAGAGAGTTCTGAGAGCCACAACATTGGGGAATTGCTGGAAGAGATATGGCAATGAACCTCTGGACCGAAATTGGGGCTTCCAATTCTGAGCATTTTCAATTTGGATGTTGGGCTTGAAAGTGGCGCTATTTTGCCATGCTGTGGAGGGGTCGTTTTTCAAGATGGCTACTTTTCCGCTTTGGGGAAAATAGGGGTCGTCTTCTTTGGGTGAGAATTTCTCAAGAAGTCAGTGGTCAACCCACCAAAAAATTAAAAGCAAATGAAAGATGACATGTTGATCATCATGTTTCTGTGCAACTTAAAAGAGAATGTACAACATTTGCTTTGCTGCAATTTTCAGATGGATTTGGAGGATTAGTATGTTACAGCAAATATTGTTGAACTGACTTGTTTCAAGTTCGGGCTTGTGTAGATGCTGGAAAACCAATCAAACCAATCGTGTTCTTGTGTAGTCTGGTTCCCTGACCCACTGAAGATGAAAACGGGAGAATTGTATAGACTTTGTGAAATTGTAAGGTCGGATAATCAGTCTAGTACCCCTTCACAGGAATGCAATCAGTTGCAAAGAAAATGGGAAATAAAATTAATATGAATTTAGGAGCACTTTTGAAAAAGCCAGTGTTCTCCAATTCACGCTGGTCGTTGGAAAAATGCAATATTTTTTTTTTTAAATGTCAGCGCAACAGGAGCCACGAGTTTACAGGATGCTTAAGACTGACAATTCCCTAATAATAATAATAATAATAATAAACATAATAATAAATAATAATGGAAATTTATACCACGCCAGCATCCGCCATAAATGATGCTCATGGCGCAAAACAAAATTATATCAAATCAGAAAACAACAAAACAATTAAATTTAACTAAACAAGGATATTCTGAGTGGTCTGAAACAATAGGTCTTCAGGGCCACTATACATTCAAAAAGCGATGAGATATTGCGAATGGCGAGGGGTAGTTTGTTCCAAAGATGAGGACCTGCGTAAGAAAATGATCGATCACCCGAAGATTTGTGTGTGTGAGGGACAACCAGCAAAGAAGCATCAGAAGATCTCAATCGCCTGGATGGATTATATGGAGTTATAGGTCTATGTTGTATTCAGGAGCTAAATCATGCAGACAATAAAAAACAATCAGTAACAGTTTTTACTTAATCTGGTCAGCAACAGGAAGCCAATGCAGAGACTGCAAAATCCGGGTGATATAAGTTCTAGAGGGTGTCAGGGTCACAATTCGAGCGGCAGAATTTTGGAGTCTTTGTAGGCGAGCAAGTTGGTTACGGGGTAGCTGATACAACAGGGAATTACAAAAATCCAACTGAGATGAAATAAGGGCGTGAACAAGTTTCTCTGTTGCTGAGTGAGTTAGATACTTCCAAATTAAACCCAAGTTGCGAAGTTGAAATCTTAGAGATGTACATGTGTTAGAAACATGATGAGAGTGCATTGACATAGGTGAATCAAAAGCAGGCGCGGTTCTACAGGGGGGGGGGGGCTGTAGCCCCCCCCCCCCAACAAAAAAAAATTGTCTAGCCCCCCCCCCAAATTAATTCCGTAAAAAAAGATTGCATTAGCAAAAAGAAGGATTGTGATGTACATGCGAACGGTCTCCCCCTAAAGAAGAAATAGCCGTGACAAGGGTGCATTAGTTAATATAGTGTGAATGATTTTAGGATTTTATTGGCGCTCCCCATTGAAAATATGGCATGATATAATATCCAAAAAAACATTTGCTAAAAAAGTCATATGAAAGTTGCCAGGAATCGCCTCAGATTGCACCACAAAGCATCCATATTCCAAATATTATTGATATTTTTTTTTGTACCTCAAGGACAGGGTATACCGCATTGGGCCAAACACCCTGCAGGAACTTCGCCAACAATTGACCTTTCGCCGTTTGCGAGTTAGCCACGCTCCTTAGGAAACACACGGAATTCTTGTACTCCCAGTTTTGTTTGTCTCAGATTCTGCGCGTTCCGCGTCCATTTTGCATATCATGTAATTGGACAAAGTATTTCACAAGCTGCGTTGACGCTATTCTACCGCAATAGGTCAACTAAATTATGGGACCCATGGGGAACCCATGGGAATCAAAGGGATACATATGGTGGTCTCCTAAAACACCATGGCGATCTCTTAAAACACCATGGTGTCGCATGGGAACACCATGGACAGCTACAGAAACGCCATGGTGCCTCATGGGAACACCATGAACAGCTACTGTAAACCCATGGCACCACCTGTGGTCTCATGGTGGTCTCTTTAAATACCATGGTGGTCTTTTAAAACACCATGGTGGCCCATCTGAACGTCATGTCTAGTCAAAGTAACGCCATGATGTCCCATGGAAACACCATGGACAGCTGTTGTAATGCCATGGCACCACCATGAGGTTTCAAGCCACCAAAAAAGCACCACCATGAAATGTTGGGGTGACCACCATGGGGGCCATGGTGACCAATGGCATCGCTACGGAAATGCTTTTCTACTCAACGCATATGCGCGCATGGGGAAATACCATGGGGATAAACACCATGGGGATGAACACCATGGGGATGAACAACATGGGGATGAACACTATGGAGATGAAAACCATGGGGATGAACACCATGGGGATGAACACCATGGGAACACCATGAGACCTTTTTTGAAAAAAAAATGTGTCAATTATGAGTGTTCTATTTGCATTTTTTTGAATTTTGCTATTAATAATTCAAGTCAAATGAAGAATGCAGTCTATTTTTATGTTGAGATTTGGCACATAAAATACTGTGGATAATTTATATTCATTTATTATTATTGAAAACAATTTATTATCAAAAACATTTAGGGTACTGTGATTTATGGTACAACTTTTAGAGTGGTATGGAAGCCGGAAGAAAACATTACTTTGTCATAGAGCGCTTCGACACTCCCCTACCTGCTGTACTTGGGGCAATCACCTTCGGAGTCACTCCACAATGTGTGAATCTAATTGACATGAGGTAAAACCATAATGCAGATATTGGATGCTGCTATGGAAAGGTATACTGAGGAACTATAATAAGGTTTATATTCTGAAACAGGCCATGGGGAAAATCTCATGGTGAACATTCCATGGGAAAAGTCCTATGTGGTACATGGGGTTAATTCGATGGAAAAAATCTCATGATGAAAATTCCATGGGAAAAGTCCCATGTGGTACATGGGGTAAATTCCATGGGAAAAATCCCTTGTGATACATGGGGTTAATTCCATGGAAAAAAATCCCATGTGATACATGGGATTAATTCCATGGGAAAAATCCCATGTGGTACATGGAGTCCAAAACCCCATGTACCACATGGAAAAATGCCATGGAAAATCGCCATGGCGATCCCATGGGAAATCGCCATGGGACATTTTTGTAAGGGTATATTGCACACATGAGAACAGGGACAAAACTATGCATTGATCTTATTGGCAGACAGGTGAAATATCGAGAAACAGGACAGTGAAAATGTAAAACTTATCTGTAATTCAAATTCAAGATCAAAATAATAGTGTACAATTACATTTAATTAATATTCAGTTTTGTTATTCCTTGTATTTATTTCATCGTCCATAACTGTAGAGGCCCATTGTTGCCGTTGCGGTGATAGCAAGAGACCTATTCTGAACATTGTATTGTATTTGTCTTTTAAGGTAGTCACGAAGAAAAGACATGACTGTATTCTTTTCAGGCATGGCCGCTATCAGTGAAACTCGTACGAAATGTGGCCAATACCCAGATACAGACCGAATGTTGGCTGAAAAAAAAACTGGTAGCCTTTCCCGTTATTGTGGGAGACAAGGACTTATCCAAAGGGACGTTTTGTTTTACTGGCCCTGCACAACAGAGTGAACAACTTTTATACAATGTAAAACATTTAACCCGCCCCGGTGTCTGACCACACCCCTCCCGCATAACTGAACGAAAGAAACCAATAAAGAAGTCGATATGTAAAGTACCCATTTTCGTGGCGAGGGCTTTTTGCAAGACATAAAGGAGTGTAGGTCAGCGCATCTGCATTCAAATCACTATTTCTTGGCATTGATTATGGTTGCCCAAAGTCTCTCAAAGTAATGGCCCTCCTCTGGGTTCCAATGATCGTTCACAAATGAAATGGCTTTCTCATAGAAACTAACTGGGAACCGTCTCAGGTTTTTCCTGGAAGCAGAGACACATCCTGCATAACATACTGGCACCCTTTTGGGAGGTTTGGTACCAAACAAGGCCGTGTAGAACTCGCCCATAGTCAGGTTCGCTCTCCGCATCTGGCCGTTCTCAAGAGATTTCAGCCACTTGCTAAGATGGCGGACGCGCCCCCAGCCGCCGTAGCGCTGCCTGATGTTGCAGTACTGGTGTTTCTTGGCTCGCTGAACGAACTCCATCGCACTGGAAAAGCACCATCGCCTATGCTCTCTACCAGGATCCGTGCCTTGCAGGAAGACGGTTATATCGGCGAGTTTGTCGTAATTGTGTATGATATGGTGCAGGTAGGTGTGGGCTTCTCGCCCCACGTTTAGTAACTTTTCCCACTTGTAGACATCAAAAGGTGGTCCTTTGTCTTTCCCCTTGTGATACACGTGACTGTGATTGGCAAGGGGCTTCATCCAATCCAGTTTCTCGTTATAGTGGGAGATGACGATTTCGTAGTCCAGAGGTTCGTTACCGACGCCATCTTTGCTGGGGTGGTTGGCGGCTGTCGGGTTAGCTTGTGTTGGGACGGGACTGCCACTGGCGCTCGACGCGTTGTTAGAAGCGTTGTGTGTCCTTGTGACATGTTGCATTTGACGGTATATCGGAACTGGTCGGAAGAAATTATCTGCAAGAAACATAATAAGAACTAAAGTTATTAAAAACAAAGTAGCATACTCTTTACCAAATACGTCCACACAAGTCATAATAGAGCCTCCCGGATTCGGTCATCAGCCGACACGAGGTAGACCTACAGCTATGCATACGATACAATGTTACAAGCATAAGTGAGTTATACAGAAATTGTTGGGATTGCCATTTCGTGTCCCCTATGTTGCAGTATTGAACATAAATATTAATGCAATGAGGAATGTGAGTTTGATTTAAAACTACGGCAGTTTCTTTAAAAACAAAGGTGAATAAAGTGAACGTATCATTGCAAAAAAAGTTTCCACAAACACTGGACACAATTCCTGCCCAACGGTTTTTAAAGAATAAAATTTCTCAGAAAGTTGGGAAAATTTGCTACCCAACACATGGGCAAAGTAAATGCCTGACAAAAGAATGAATCTTTATAACCTTTCTACTCGACGTGAATCAAAGGCCACATGTGCTCTTATTCACCTGTGCAAACACATCGTTGGAACGCTCCCTTTGCTCTGTCTTTTCATGTATGTCTGTCACTTGATGTTGCCATTTAGTTCATGTTCACTTTTGTAAATATATCTATGCATGTATTGTCAATTTTATTATATAACATGTATATATAATCCTTATGCAAGTCGAAATAAATGTAATGTTGTGTAATGTTGTGTAAGGTATAAGCATTCCTGAAACACTGCTAAACAAAATTGCCCTAAAATTGAGCAAATGTATACAATATAGTACCCAACATCTGAGTCTTCTTAGTACCCAACAATTGAGAAAAAACTGACCAACAACTTTCGGTTAATGGCTTACCAACAACTATTTTTTCCCCATTTACCCAACTAATGGATGATTTAAAATACCCAACTGTTCTGTCTGCAATTTTAACCAAGTTTCAGGTAAACGTATTTGCCCAACGGCCGTTGGGCATTTTTTGCTCGAAAGAGTGGATGTTGACTATTGTGCTAACGTTGGGTAAAAAGTTGGGCAAAATTTAACCTTTTTTTAACGGTACTTATATCCTGGCGTTTATAGAGTACTATACATTCGTTTTCTTCATTATTGCATTTATTAATTTATAAACTGCTTCAAATCGTAAATTTTAATTTTGATTTTAAGTGAGGATTTGTTTTATTCTGATTTGTTGGGTTTTAGTCGTTATTCTTTTATAGTTTAATTTAATTTGATTGATTTTTTTTCTTGTTCGACGCGTTTTTAGAAGCGTTGTGTGTCCTTGTGACATATTCCCATTGACGGTATATCGGAACTGGTCGGAAATCATCTGCAAACAACGTCATAATGAAATGAAGCAATTAAAACAAAGTAGCATACGCTTTACCAAAAACGTCCACACAAGTCACATACACATATAGACCATCATCATGATCGATAAAACAGAAAGGTATACTACAGCAGAATGCTTTTGCTTCACGAGCACAAATATCAGCCGGTGGCCTTTTTTCATCAATAACACGTCCCTGACTATGCATGTACCATATTTAAATCGAATCGGGCCTACGGTTCTAGATATATATTTTGTTTTAAATATATCCCTTTAAGACTACATCACAAGACCCGTGATCACCTGCCGTCAGAGCGCGCTCGAATAATACATGACGTCACTAGAATTTTGAAAAGCCCACCCTTTCCACAGAATAACATCGTTGAAGGCATCTCTTACATCTTTTACCAATTGAAAATAACAAGGCACTTCCGGTTTCAACCGGAAAGAAGGGTCGTGCGACTTTGCACGTTATATCACAAATGAAGATCATGGATTATTCTAGCAAATCCCGTAAAAAAAAAGCAAAATCTGATCTCTCACGGTTGATTTTAGATTGATTTCCAAATACTACATCTAGAAATCTTTGGTTGCTTGAAATCTGATACTTGATGGCGTCATCGTGTCAAGCTAACCAGAGAGCTCGAGAGCTACGTCAACTGTGTTATCTGTAGCAAAAGTGTGGATTATATCTCTCGCAGTTGATTTTTCCGCAATTTTGTTTCAAGTTTAACGGTCTTTTTATTTTAACTTTCGATCTACTGCTTATCAGGAATGGGAAAAAGATTTGGAAATGGAAGATAACCTTGCGAAAGTATCGCACTAAAAAAAACCCAGTCATTATTGACCTTAATATTGGCTGAGATATTGGCTAGAAATCAAGTTTCCGAGAAACCGGCACTTTAGAATTTTCATATTTGCATGCCAAGGACACACATGACACACATAGTTACTTCAGGAATGGTCTAAGAATGATGTTTGGCCCTCAAAACATGCCTTACTTGTGTAGTGATGTGCAATATTGGCCGATCCCAGCCAGCTGAAAAACTTGGTTGTAATGGCGGCACTAATGTAACATATAGCTTTGGATATATAGTCTTTGGGATGTTTGACTATACTCTATATATTAGGATAGGGTAGCTGTGGCTAAGAGCAAGATGAACGATGACTACGAAGAATACAAAGACACCCTGGTATGAACTCAGCTGTATGGAGAAAGTATTTTATTCTCAAGAACTCAATTAAAAACTGGTCTTGTATAATTACAGAAGTAGGAGACGGAAGACAGAATATCGTAGATGAAGACTGGCCAGAGCATAGGGCTGAATCAGCGTATGGCCATGCCTCTGGTTTCCCAGGGAGAAGAAGGAGAACTCCATGAAAGTGGGAAAATGTGGACATTTTATACAATTTCTGAGGGGCAACTTTGGGTGAAAATAGGAGATGATGTCATATAAGGAAAACATAACTTATATGACATCATTTCTGAGTAAAGGTAGACTGACCATGGACTGACGTAATGGAGAGTACCCTTATGAGGTCACTTACCCCTGTACAAGGGTGAAATCACAGTCTTGGTATGCTGTAGGGGTACTGCTTGGAAAACAGTGACGTGAAGACCTTGGGTGTAATGTGGAACACCTTAGTGAGGTACCTTAGTGAAAAAATCGTGACACAGTGGACAAAAGCTCAATTTTTCCACCAAAGCATCTCCATGGTATACCTTTTCGACAAAAAGACGGACGCAAAAATTTGGATGATGGGAAGGGCATGTATGACGTCATTATGACGTCATCAGCTAATTATTACATGAAAAAAATATAAATTGATAATAATCTTCAGAACTACAAGCATTACAACAACAAATGTGGTATCAAATTAAAGGGGACAGCAAGCTCTTTCATTTGAGTGGTATGTCATGGGGATGGAATATAGTAAAGGGTGATTTTGTGGGTCAAAAAAACTTTTTTGGTCAAAAGACATGTTTTTTTAGGCTAAAATCATGGATTTTGGGTAGTCACATTGGCACTTTGTTTTAACATGCAAACCGTATGTGGTATTGTGAGATGTTGTTTTTAAGTTCGAGAGAAAAGTTCAAATTCTATGCCAAAAGAGTTTTTGTAATTGATTATTAGTATCATAAATATGTTTAAACTTGTTCCAAAGATAAGCGGAAAAGTGAGGCATCTTATAGCGAGCTACATTAGTAACAAAAATACTAAGGATCGTTACATGGTATTTAAAAGCACCTTTTTTCACCAAAGCTTTGCCAATGTGTTACGATCACAAATAGGGTAGGATGCAAAAAAATCAGATGACAGGAAGGGTACTTTATGATGTAATAATGACGTCACAATATACTACCGAGCTCGTACAGTAATTAATTGTAGAAAATAAGGTCGTCAAGCGTTGTGATGAGATTCCAAGTAATTAATTTGACATTTTGAGGGTCATTGAATTGAAGAGTGATATAATCAGTGACATTGAAGTAACAATTAGCTGATTTGCTGTTGCAGTGACGTCACTATTTTCAAATTTTCTTGAAAAATCTAAGCATTTTTTATTATGGACAAAAGTGCTACAATAACGGTATTTGTCACGCAGAAAAAAAATAATGTGAAATTGTGCGGCTCCTTGAATTTGGTCTTTACCACATCCATTTGTTTTGACCATTTAGTATGGCTGGAAGACGTAACATTCTTATATGTGTTGTATATTACGGGTGATGTGGTATGGGTTAGGAGCCAGACAGAAAGGAACCGACGTGGTATTAAACCTGAAATAGATTAGCAGGGTGGCCGGCATGGTGATGGTACGTCTTTTAACAATGTATTACAAACGGGGGGCCGCCCGATAGTCCGAAGGTCCAATAGTCCGAAGGTTCTTTATTCCGAAGGTTCGATAGTTCAAATGCTCAAAATTTCCATAATAGGGGGTTCGTTAGTCCGAAAATGAAATAAGGTTCGTTAATCCGAACATTTGATGCAATAGTTCGAAGGTTCATTAATCCGAAGGTTCATCAGTCTGAAGGTTTATTATCCGAAGGTTCGATAGTCAGAATTTAGAATAAGGTTAATCAGTCCAAAGGTTCAATAGTCCGAAACGACAATAACAAGCCCGCGGGAATGGGGGGTGCTGTGGGTGCTGCAGCAACCCCAACTTTTTGGATTGGGGTGCTGAAATATGCTTCAGCACCCCCTAGCCAGCAGTGTTCTACGACGTTGAATTTGCGCCGCTGCGCTATACATTATGCTTGCTATAAAAAATATCTCCTTCGTTTTGTTCGTTTCTAGTTTTGCCGCGGCTAAGCGCGGCGCTTCGAACGTCTAGCACAAAGAAACACTGTAAAATATCAGGAGGAGGTATTTTCTAAATTTTCAGGCAGTGCAGAATCGATATTTCTCTCAATGTATCTAAAAATCATGACATGTCTAGGATATGATGGAAGCTTTGACCCGAAAAAAATAACCTCGGCCATGACAATGGTGGCAAAGTTGATTATGCTTGCCACGATTTTTTTCATTCGATCTTTCAATAGGGGCAAAGTTCATACCTTTCCCCTGAAGGTTTTTCTTTTCATTTAAAACTTTCATTGACGTTGCTAGCATTCTGTACTCAACAGTTACAAATAGCAAGGTTAACACACATCCCAAGCTAATAGGAGTGGGACGGGCTTCCATTGAAACTAGTTCCAGTGTAGTTTCGTTTTAATAAAAAAGCTATTGTCACCCTTTGCAAGTTTTTTCTCATAAAAACTCAGTAGACCGATAAATCCTTGCCTAGCCCCATACTTGCCACCTACCGATCATAAATATAAATATAAATGCATTTGGTCTGTTAGTCTTTTATATTTGCCATACCCTGTAACAAACAAATAACACTGCAAATATATCAAGAGCTACATCGTTTAGGCCTATGTGAATATTTTTATGAACAGAAATTCACCCGCTTCCAGTGGAACCATTTTGTTTTAACTTGAACCAAAAAACATCCTTTCGGGTTTTATAAGTTTAAGTATATACTTCAGTATATTTCATCACAGTGCATCCAGAATCCAACATTTTCAGGGGCCTTAAAGCAGGCCCCTGGCCCTGTGGCCCCACGCCATAAGGGCTCGGAAAATAAAACAAAACATACACGACGGAATTTACTAAATGTAAGAAAGCAGCCTAGCAACAATAATATTTACATGCGATGTCATGCATAATGGTACAATTCTTTGTCCATAATTAAATGGAACAAAGAATGGAGATACAAATACAGGGTTTTCGACTTTTCAGTACAGTAGAAACGTTATAAGAGCAACAGTATATTCTAAACAAAATAGTGAAATAAATTGTCTTTATAATCTCAAAAAACGTTCGCTAAAAAAGTCATATGAAAGTGGTCAGGAATCGCCTCATATTGCACCACAGAGCATCCATATTCCAAAGCTTTTAGGGGCCCTTTAAGCCACGCCGTAAGGGCTTTGTGCTCCGCGTTCGCATTAATTTTGTCCGTCCTTTAGAAATTCCAGCACCCCTGGCAAAAGTTTGTTCCAGCGGGCTTGAAAATAAGGTTCAATAGTCCGAAGGTTCGATAGTCCGAATTGACAATAAGGTTCGATAGTCCGAAAAGACTCTATGATGGTCCGATGGTCCGAATCGACAGTAAATAAGGTCCGATAGTCCGAATCGACAATAAGGTCCGATAGTCCAAATCAACAGTAAGGTCAGATAGTCCGAAGAGTCATACTGACGAACCGTAGGCCCATTCGGACAATCGAACCTTATTCTCAATTCGGGCTATTGAACCTTTTCCTCAATTCGGACTATCGAACCCTATCGTCTATTCGGACTATCGAACCTTCGGATTAATTAACCGTATTCTATTTTCGGACTAATGGGACCTTTGGACTATCGAACCTTCGGTTTATCGAACCTTCGGACTATTGAACCTTCGTACTAACGAACCTTTGGACTAATGACCCTTCGGACTAGAGAACATTCGTACTATCGGGCTGTAACCATTACAAACACAATACCAGTGCAGCAAGTCATGTCCTGCAGTTTGTAAAGGTTTTTAGTTTGGGACGTGAAAAAGACAAACAATTATCCATGATGCACAGGCACAAGTGTGTTTTTCGATTAAATTCACCATTCTTGTCGTTGATGGACCGTCTATCCTATTGAAATATCTATCAGACATCATCTTCTGTGTGACACGAGCAGAGCATTTCTGAAGGTCCGCTGTGTGAGTAGTTTATCCTTTCTTGTTATTTTCCACAAAGCTGGATTGCGACTGAGATCGTGCAAATAAATAATCTTTAAAAAAGCTTCATCTGTCGTCTTGTTTATTAATTATTAGAGATTTTGGTAAAAATGAACAGAAGTCTTTGTAGAAATTGTAGATATAATTCATCTTGCGTAAAATATACCTTTGCAAGTTTACAAACTTCCACAAAACGTATTATTTTGCAACATTGGAACGTATAATTGGTTTGAGCATTCTACCTTTTTATTGCTTATGTGAACTGTTACTATCGTATTTCAGGACAGTCATCATGGATTGGACTGCTTGCATTATCTGCATGCAAACTACACCAGAAAAACTACGTTGTCCACAAAAAGGTTTAAATTGTAACGCCGGAGAAGTATATGCTCAATTCCTGGCTAATGTTGAAGGGTTTAGGGCAATAAATGCATTGCCAGTTGATGTAGAATACGGAGCCGAAGAGACAGTAGAAACTTTTGTGGAAAATAATGCCTCGTGGCATCATTCCTGAGGTAATCATTTGTGAGATAATCATGACGTAAGACATTGCATTTTAACGAATCATTGATCACAACAGGGGATAGGAGCGAGGGTCAAATGTACATGTACATACATGTTTAATTAATACATTAAATTAGAAAACATGCCTCATTTTATCAAACTATTTGTATTTAAATATTTTAAAGAACTTAGAACAAAATTGGCTACTGCACTGATTTCCTTGATCTCAGAAACGTATATTAAATGTAAAAAAAAACGATCCATGGCTTATTCTTAACTAATATCTCAATTTTAATGTATAAGTGTGTAATAATTAGCCGATGACGTCATAATGATGTAATAAATGGCCCTTCCCATCATCCAATTTTTGCATCCTACCTTGTTTTCGAAAAGGTAAACAATGGAGATGCTTTGGTGTGAAAATGGTGCTTTTGTCCACCCGTGTCACGATTTTATCACTAAGGTACCTCACTTTTCCGCTTATCTTTGGAACAAGTTTAAACAATTAAGATACTAATAATCAATTACAAAAACTCTTTTGGCATAGAATTTGAGCCTTTCTCTCTGACTTAAAAACAACATCTCACAATACCCGAAATCCATGATTTTAGCCGGAAAAAACAGGTCTTTTGACCAAAAAAGGTTTTTTTAACCCACAAAATCACCCTCAACTATATTTAATCCCAATGACATACCACTTAAATGAAAGATCTTGTTGTCCCCTTTAATTTGATACCAAATTTGTTGTTGAGATGCTTGCAGTTCTGAAGATTATTATTAATTATATTTTGTCATGTTTTTCGAAAAGGTATACCATGGAGATGCTTAGGTGAAACAATGGTGCTTTTGTCCACTGTGTAACGATCCTTAGCATTTTGGTTACTAATGTACCTCACTACCTGTTGTGAGAGTGGTATCAGGGATTGTCCAAATTTCGGTCTTTCACTAAGTTGCAGAAATTTTGCTGCAGGAAAATGGAACGCTATTTTCTTGCTGGCAGCAAAATTTCCGGAAAAAGTTTTTTTTCATTCCGTAAAATAAACAGACCCTTAACAGGAGTTTGGACATGTGTACACGGTTGTGGGTGAAATAATATATGTACTTAGATGTACTATATTATGTGTAGGTGTATGGGCTGATGTGGTTGATTGTAATCACGCTAATTAGCATAATTAATATTTGCATTTACGGAAAGTCCGTTAAATTACGGAGAAAATACGGAATATATCACTTTACGGAGTCCGTAAATTTACGGGCATTTTTAACAGTGTAGTGTAGTGTTTTTTTAATCTTCAAACCAAGCTCCGGAGCTCAGTCAAGCGGATGGAATACAGCCATCCGTGGACAACAGGTGTGGCTCATGAATTTGTTTAACTACAGGGCGAGTCAAAAAAGCGGGGGAAAAAAAAATCACATTTCATAATATAATAAACATAGGCCTATGTAGCACCAAAATAATAATGACTGGAAAGCCAATGTCATCAGCTACTTTTAGATGAAAACAATTACTGAAGTTGCTCAATCCGTTCAAAGAATATCACCATTTAAACACAAATGTCCCTAACACCTTTCGTCCAAAATTGCGATTTTAAGAATCGTTGTCAGAATTGTCGTTAAACATCACCAGCGATAAAACCTCAGTTTAAAAGTTAAAAAATATTCAACGAAGTCCTTTTGAAGGCCTGGTGGTCTTTTAAAAAAAGTGGATTTTATAAATCAGATTGTTTGCCTAACCAGGGTTGTTTGTTATAAATAATTTTTGACGAAACATGTTTAGGGTCATTGCGTTATATGGTGATTTTGTTTGAACGCCATTGAGCAATTTCAGTATTTTTTTCCGTCTGATAGTAGCTCATGACATTGGCTTTCCAGTCATTATTTTTAATATGAAATATATTTTTGGGGGGTTGGGGTCTTCTTTTTGGACTCACCAGATACCATAAACTCAAAGGCAAAATGCATTTGCAAATCATTTTTCGTCACTTATGTAAAGATCCATATTTTCATATCATTAAGGTGAATTTTCAACAAGTAGATGAACATGATTGCTGTCAAAAGTGGGTTTCCTCTTTTTGCCCCAGCCTGTCGACCCACTTACCGCGATATATAAGAGAGAACCAAGCAACACAGTTCAGCAAGAAGACCATGATGATCAGGACGATGGCTGTGGTTGGAAAGCATCTGGCGTGGCGACACTGCATTATGGCCGATGTTATGAATCAGGAATAGGCATATATCAGGTGTTCTTGTTGTTTTGCCAAACGCCGCACTTAACACATGTTCCATGAAAAATACAGTAACAATACACGGGCTCCTGCGATAAAGACCAAAAGGCTCTGATCCTGCAGATAATTTGCATTTTTTTTGGTGCTCAAACACGCGGAACGTATGTATCAATTGCGCGGACACGGGCTATGAATAGGCATTTGGATCCCCGTCCGTTCACCGGCACATCCTATGAAACGCATGAGTGACACTCATTGCAACATCGTCCCCAGTGCTTACTTTATTTCCAACCTCGTTTCCAATAGTAAACCCTGGATAGGAAACTTTCTTCCTGTATACTGATTCGATACCTCAATTGGCTAGTAATGGATTATTATCGTGTACTTGGTGCTATTATTCACAACGTGCAGTACGTGTTTTCGCAATCATTCGTCCACGCCTTCTTGAAAATACTAATTTCCTTTCCAATTTGCTCATATTAATATGAAATATGATACTGCATGTTGTCTCGATAAGATCGTAACAGTTTGATTTCAAAAATCGTGTTTTCGTAACTCACGCCGTGCTCGCGCTGCTACGAATTGACTCTGTTTTTACCCCAGACACCGCATACAAAAACAAACGCTAATGTGCAACGCATATCCAGGCACCAGACTGTTCCTCATTTGCATACGTGTTCAAAAATCTTGCTCATGCAAATGATCCAATATCAGGGTGAGAGAGCAGGTAGTGGTGGGCGCGTACTGCTCGACACCCTAGGGACGAGGTTGCACTCATTGACACTGAATAGTCGTGTTCCCAAACGTGGCGCACTTCGAAGCTTACCCATCTTTCCTCGTGTACGGTGTTGCCAAATGACCTCTTTGTTGACAAACCTCAAATTCATGCAGTGAAATACTGATCCTTTTACCTTATTAAATGCTTGCTATTTAACCTCTGTGAACAATTTCGGTTTCATAAAATTAAATCCAAAATTCGAAAACGGTGGCGATCGGAAATTGGGCACAAATTGGTAGAGTGTTCCCTAACGAGGCGCACTTGTAATAAATCTCGGAAAATTCCAAATTAACATTTAAAAATTTCTGTAAACTTGATAAATTCTGACAAATCATTATTATCTCTACTTACTTACCCAGCCAGATGTTTGTCAGAAAAAAAAATCTTATTTTTCGGGACATTTTCAAAGGGTTCACTTTGCACTTGAAAATAAAATCCGAAAATCACGCCAAAATAAATTGTTCTTCTACCTTAATAACGGGTAAGTAAACTCGCGATGTATGGACGGGAGTGCTTAGAACTTGAGGCAATTTCACTTTCTGTGAAATTTCAGTTCAAACTTTTGCTCCATGCATGCAGATAGGCGCTAGTACAGGCGAAAAATCAAAGTGAGCCACGTTGGGGGCCGCGCCACGTTAATTAGGGTACATCAACAATATACATGTACCGCACAAAATCAGTGGCTGTGTGAGTGGTTGTTACGCAAGAGGCAGGTGGGGCGGCGGAACTGGGGGGGGGGGGGACATGCACCCCTCAAACACACATGTGTAAGCATATAATCGAGCTACAAATAATAATTGTTTCCTCTCAACTGCCCCTCAAAAACACAAGTGCCCCTCTCGCAATAACAAGATTGTGCACCTTCTCCACATGGAAAACTGCCCCCAGCACAATTTTAGTAGTGCCCCGCTCGCAACATTACAATTGTGCCCCATCTCATAGAAAACTGGCCTTTAAAGATAATAGTGCTCCTCCTCACGCGATTGCGAATAAAATGGTCACCGAGCTGGCCATCAAAAGCAACAGTGCCCCTCTCGCGATAAAAAAAAATGGTATCTCTACACATGCTGTACATGACTACATGTACATATAGTCAAATTCATGGGCGGATCCAGAGAGTTTATACTGGCGAGGGCGGAGGGTGTACATACACGCGTGGTGTGTCGAATGTGCAAGGGCGGATCCGAGGGGGGGGGGGCAACGGGGCCATGGTTCCCCCCCCCCAAAAAAAAAAGCCCAATGTGTTATTTTTTAAGTGACGTCAGGCAGCCACTACGTACACCACCATCTTTTTCTGAAACAAAATTAGTTAAAGTGGTCAGAAATTGCCTCAGATCGCACCACAGAGCATCTAGAATCCTTTTTTTTCTTCGGGCCCTTAAGCGGGCCCCGAACACCACGCTGTGAATTTGTGGACCCACTTTTTGGGGACCAATTTTGTTTGGCCCTTCACCCCCCCCCCCCAAAAAAAATTTGTTCTGGATCCGCCATTGCGGAGGCCGAAGGGTTCTCACTTTCACACCGACGGAAGGTGCTCCTTTTTCTGAGCAAGTGCCCCTTTTTGGTGCCCACCCCCCACCCCTCCCCCAAGTTTGAAAAGTGTTCCGCCACCCGTGGCAAGAGGTCAATCACAAACATCATTGAGGAATAATTTGATCATTTGCAGTTGTTCAAAAAGTAACTACCGAATTATTATCAACAAACTTAAGTTGGATTAAATTTAAGATCGTATAATAGTGGTACTATTACTACCCCTTGCAATGATTCCGGCTGGCTTGCTGTCAGTTAGAAGAAATCTAGAATGTAGATTTCCAACGAACAGTTAAAAAAGGTTGTCTGATTTTTGAAAATAAAAAAGTGCTATGGACGAAATCGTGGTTGGCCATCAAAAGCTTTTGCGTGATGGATTGTTGCACTGTTTTCTCGAAAAGTTTCATATGCACTTAGCTGAAACTTCAACGGGTGAGGTTTTGAGCATTCTTCTTTGGATTTTGAGTGGAGTAGGCCTAGTTGGAAACGAAAATGCAAGAAAAGCAAGTGATCCTGTACCTTCGATCGATCATTGGACTAAAGCTTTTTTCAGACTAGAAATTGGTCATTCTTTGTTTCTATCTCTGTTACCGTACATCCGACTCAAGACTGCGTCTACGTTTTCAGAGAAGATTATTCAAGATAATAAAGACTGTCCTTATTTTTTTTTTTTTTTTACAGCAGGCCTATATGGAACAAAAATGCCTACTGTTTTATTTACCCCATTAAAATGCCACTCATTCCGAAGGTAGAAAATAAATCTTGAAAGGGATTACATGAAGAGGGGCGAGAACCAGTCCACCCTGCGACAAATGAATCATTGCCTAGCCGCAAAAAAAAACAATGAAATTGTAACAAATAAAAAAATTAACAAAACAATCGTAACTTAATGTTGCCCAGAAGTCCTAATTCCAAATTTGATAATCTTTGTATTTCTGGGGAAAAATGCAATTCGAAAAAAAAAAATTACAGCACAGACACTACATCTTTAAGGTATAAACAAAGACGGGCACGTACATGTACATGATCAATGTGCACACACGGGGCCTACTTCCATGGCGAAAGGACCGCCATGACACAAGCTGCTGGTCATTCATCCCACCAATATAATGCATGTATTTATAATGAAAATGATTTGCTAACAAGGGCGTGGCATTGATTGCTGGAGAAAGGGACGCATAATCAATGTCCCATTGATTTTCGTTTGACGTTTGTCCTGAAGTAACCCTCGAAATAAAATTGAGATCTTCATAGATAAAATACCATCTTAATTATCATCATAGTTATTTCCAAGGTTTTTGTTTTAATGAAATGTCGAGGTTGTTTTTATAACAGTGATGAAAATCGATATGAATGATGGGTGCAAATGCGCTATGGTGCTTCTTGCGGAGATGTCTAATCGTTAGCTATAAGTGGGAGTTACATGCAGTTGTAACTGACATCGATGAGGCTGTCATATTTGAGCTTCGAATATTGTCAGTAATAGCGTCTTAGTGCATGTAGTCGAAAATCTTAAGAATTTAGAAACCACGGCCATTCGCTTAATGTCGGTGAAGGATTGAATTTGAATTTGCTTCAAAAATCATTTTGCGACTGTTAATTGCATGTTGAATGACTGTACACAACTTTCTGCAGAGATGGACGGTAAAATAGGCAGGTGTTTTGCTCTAATCATAGGCATTCTCGTGACTTGTAGTTTCTCGATCGGCGGGAGACAGCACCGGCAACACCTGTTTACGACGCAGGAGAGCACCAGGCTGGCGGGCAGCGCTTTCAGCGAGAAATCGGCCGTCGGTTCGGCCGTGCGGTGCTCGGCTCTCTGTGCCAAGCATTCCCGCTGCGTCTCGTTCAACTACGCAAAGGTCCTGGGCCTATGCGAGCTGAACCGGAACACGAGCCGCAGCCTCCCGGGGAATTTGGAGGCAGATGCCCGCTTCAAGTACTACGAAATCATGGTGAGTTTAAATTTGGAGGGAAAAAACCCGAACCATATAAGCCCACAGTTTGAAAAAGAGGCTCATAGGAAAAAAATAATAATAAACAACCAACAATTAAAAAAAGTTATTTACGTTTGACTTAAAAATAAACAATCTATATTTTCTAGCAATGTTTTTTTTTATTAATTTATTTATTTATGGTAATAAAACCAAAGTAATAAAATCAAAAGCGCCCTAGCTTACAAGACTGAAGAAACCTGTAGAGAGGAGACAATGAGAAGAAGTAACTGTTTTAGATGTGGGAGGAAAACCCCAGAAGAATATTCTTGGGAAAGGCACGGAATCACTGAAAACCTAATCCACATGTTGGCCCAGGCAGGATTCGAACCTGGGTCACAGCGGTGGAAGGCGAGGAAAGTACCGCTACGCCAACCTAACTCATGAAATTATAATTAAGATTTAGTCCTTTTTTGTTTTCGTTAATTACATGAAGAACCAAGTAAGTGAAATTCGGCCAACCGAAGGAACACAGACTACTACCACACAGGAACCTACTACTGAGGAACCGACTACTACACAAGAACCAACTACTGATGAGGAACCGACTACTACTACACAGGAACCAATTACTGATGAGGAACCGACTGCTACCACACAAGAACTAACTACTGATGAGGAACCGACTACTACCACAGAAGAAACAACTACTGATGAGGAACCGACTACTACTACTACACAAGAAACAACTACTGATGAGGAACCGACTACTAAACTAGAACCAACTACAACGGAACCTACCACTGCGGTTACTACTTCACAGGGACTAACTACTCTGAAACCTTCTACAACTACTACACAGGAAGTAACGCCTACCAATGAACCTACTACTATGGTACCTACTACACAAGAACAAACTACCAAGGAACCTACCACGGTTGTTACTTCTTCACAGGAATCAGCTACTCTAGAACCGACTACTACTACACAGGAACCAATGCCTACAAAGGAACCTACTATGATGTATACTGCGCAAGAACCAACTACTAAGGAACCGATTACTACGATGCCCACCACCCAGGAACCATCTTCTAAAAAACTAACTACTGAAGTACCAACTACTCAGTCGCTCACCACAGCAATTGTTACAGGTAAACAGTAACTGAGTTTACAAACATTGCAACAGACAACAAATGAATATGAGTTAATTAAGCGGCAAGTTATATAAGACGAAGATGAAACTGATTTCTATTTGCATGACGTATCCTTATTTAGATAAAGCACGAGTAGCTTCCGCGTGAGTGATCGACAGTTATTCCGTGATTGTTTTAAAAGCAGTCATGTCAAATGTACTTCCTTGCAGATCCGATTTTGTGGTCCTGTTCGGCACTCAGAGATAACGGGTACATATTCGACGGCTATTACATGATTGATCCCGACGGGGCAGACGGTGAAGAGGCGTTCCAGGTATTCTGCTCAGAAATGACAAGTAAGTTTGATTCTTAAACATGTAACAGTCTCGAAGAATCCCGAATTGTAACCATTGCCCAAGAAAGCGTCTTTAGCACGCGAGTATTAAAAGTAATTTTCAAGTTGCTGCATATTCGACACAAAATTAATGTATTACAGTTGAAAAGCCAATGATTTTGTTTCTTTAGAACATCAATTATTTCAACCCCCACTTGGAGTGATTTTCTGTCGTTGTTTTTCAGCGGTTGGGTGGACCACGGTTGACCATCCTGACTCCAATTTGGATATTGCCGTGACCTCTGACCCCTTCGATGTGACAATTGCTTACTACGCTAATAAAGACCAGGTAAGTTGATTCTAAAAGGATCACTTCACTCTGGATTTGTGTGGATCTAAAATCCGTCTCGAAAAATATTTAAAAAAATAATAATTAGAAAGATGTTGGACCTGACATCCAATATACAGGGTGAGTAAAAAAAAAAAAGCGGAACCCATTCAACAGCTATTTCACTGGTTGGGCAGTTCAACTGATGGCTGCTGCGTCGACTGATATAAACAACATTGATAGATTAGTTGTTGGTTTTCTTTAAGTTGTCTCCTTAACTTAGAGACGGTATGTCCGGAAAAAAAATGTTGCCACCTGACGCTACTTCAGCTGTTGTGTAGAAAGTCTATGGAGAGTTAAGACTCAGTCACAGATTAATGTCTTATCATCATTTGTTTGCAATGACAGCCTTCGTTGAGATGATGAAGAAAAAAACCCTGTCATGTTGCAACATTTTTTTCCCGATTGTCCGTAGACGTACGTATGACATGTTAAAACGACTGTACTTTACGATCATTCAACCGCCAGATTCAAGCACTTATTGGCGTATCCACGACCTGCCGTCAGTATCTCAGCGCCGACTGCAGGAACGCCCATTTGTGGATGGGCAAGACGCGGCTGGCGTGGTGGGTGGCTGAAGACGGTGCCAAGATGGACAATTGGGCCGGGGCAGCAACTGGGACAAAAGGGTGTAGCTGCTCCGGATGTAAGTGCGCAAGCGTCAGTTTAGTCACGAGTTTATGTAAACATTGGGCCTGCGCGGCCTGCAAGAATTCCAGTTTCGAAGGGGATTTTAGTTAGTCTTTGTGAGACATTTGGATAAAGTTTCAACCGAAATCGCTCTGAAGTGGAACGGACTCTTTTTTTATGACAGTTCATATGATTCAAATGCTACTTAATTTGCAGTGGGAGTGGTTAAACCGAAGTAACGTCACATTTACGAACCGGATACCGAGGCTGGAACCGCTCTTGTGTGCAGTAGTTCTTAGTACTTTCCCTTATTTTAGGGTGAGGTTACTTTAGTCATTGATGCCTATGACATTTTTTTTGTTCACTTGACTGTTCTAAAATAAAAAGATTTATTATTGATCGTTTGGTTTTCAGCTTGTGCCGGCGGTAATTCGGAACACCGATGTAACTGCGGTGCAGTAGCTGATCAGTGGTACTCTGACGGTGGATTCATCGTGGACGAAGCCCGGTTACCAGTAAAGGCCCTTCACTTCGACAACGCAGCTCCCCCGAACCACCAGCTCTACTACAACCTCGGGGGGCTGCAGTGCGCAAAGATGAGCCTTTCTAGTAATGGTTAATAGTTAACTTTTGAGCACATGAGGGTGCAAGAAACATTACGGAGCTTTAAGCAGTACATGAGCTTCAATTATTAACAAAGATTGAAACAAAGAAGAAATATTGTAAATATATAAAAATGTCGCTTCGACGCCCTTTATTACAAGTGAAATGCACTCAATTGCACGGTTGCGCACTTTTTGAGTCGAAGAGTGCACGTGCGCTATAGTCATTTACCACACCATTTTCTAGTTAAATCACGAATACAAAATTGCATACTTCCTGAAGCAGTTGCTGTCATCAACCTCACTTCAGTCTCAAAATACAAGTTTGTAAAAATGTAGGCCTAACGTTTCATTAAAGGAAAATGTGAACTCACGCCAATTACCCAGGATTCACGCCCGCCTGTAACCCAAAATGACGTCGTTACAGTGCGCCCTCATTCGCTCAAAAACGGTCTACAATCTCCATTGAAATATTCAATAGACCATTAGGCCAAACAAAAGTCTCCGGTTTCTGGTATGGAGCTTGCCCAAAAAGTGGTGCGGCGACGCGGCTTTTTTTTTTTTTACCTGATTTTTTTGCTTCAAATGTCGGCTGACTGGAAATGGTGCCCGACTAAACTTAGTGCAAATATATGGGAGTCCAGAGAGGCCACATAAAGCTTATTCTCGACCATAACCCAATCTAAAAACACGTTAAAATTGTGCAGCAGCAGGATTCCAGTCAAACCAGTGAGTTTGGCGGTTTTGAGACATCATCTTTCATTGAAAAAAAAACTTTTTCATTTTGCCGACGCGCATGGCTACGGCGACGCGCGCGCATACCAGAAACCGGATACTTTTTTTTTGGCCTTATCATGTTGCAGCCATCTTTATTGTTTCCCATTCAAATCAACGTAACCAAAGCGAGGCTGGAAGGGAAAAAATAGTCTGGTTCCTTTTTGCGCAAAAACATTATCATTCACAGTACTGTTATTGGATACAGGGAACATGGCTGAAAATGGTGGCAGCATGATAAAGGTACAGGCTATATTAACAAGACATGTACAAGAAGACACAGGCCTACACTTGGTGACAACTAATATCCAGTTACTATCTTAGCTCGCCTAATTAGACAATTTAATATAAGAAAGTGAACCTGTAGCTTTTGCGGGTTATTTTTATTTAGAAAAAGGCAATATTGATCCTCGCATAGGCGCAGTCAACAGGTTAATTGCAACAGGTTTGCGGGTTCTATAAACCTTAACCCCACTCCCCCTCAAAAAAAAGGTCTAAATACGAGTTTTATTGGAAAACCAATTTTCTTTTATAATCAACCCTCAAGTCCAGGGCGCAAGTCTAGTGACCTTTAGGGTTGCTTGTTCGACCTCTTTGCTAGCAACCGTCAGGGACAATGGTGATTGAAATCGATTGAGGTATTGCAATCAAAGGCCAATGTCGTCAAATTATCTCCAAATTAGTGAACGGACACGTGTTGAACTGATGCCTGTTTCACTCGTCTACGCACTTTGACCATTATACTGACCTAATAACAAACTGCAGACAAGCATCATGTATACATTTGAAAAGTTGAAAAGTTGAACACAAAAAATGACCGGAGCGGGGCTTGAACCTGCGACCTCCGGATTGCTGTTCCGCGCCGGTATACATTTGTCAGCAATCTTCTTCCCGACATCTTTTTCTGCATATTTCAAATCTGTCCGACAAAATTATATGATCACGCATTGACGTGTTCCTTCTCTTTACTTGCACCCTATACGCAAGCCTCATCCTTAAGTTCGATGGTCCACGTCCATGGAACTCCATTCCCGATGATATCAGGGCAATGCCGTCCGTGGGTCGATTTAAATTTTCATATAAAATAGTTCTCCTCTGCCAGTATGTAGCATAGACTTCCTTCTTTTACTATATAAAGGGAAAATACAACATTTGCAAACATCAAAAAATAAAACTACCAAATCATTTTGAAATACCTTGCTGGACTGTTAGTGAATGACAGTGTAAAGCATCCTGTAAAATCATGGCACCTGGTATTTTTCAAGAAAAGTGGTATTTTTGTATCAATTTCCAACGCTGGTCGGCCGACCAGCGTTGGAAAAAAACTGGCTTTTTTCAAATAGTGGCCCCAATTGACCATCGCACTTGTTTGCAATCGATAACACACCTATGAACGGGTACAAGCCAGCTAGACTGGTTCCCTGACCTTACAATTCCCCAATGTATGTAAAGTGCTCTGTTTCTTCTTATATGGAGTCAGGGAACCAGACTACAGGAAAATGATTGTTTTTCTTGATATTTATAGCATTTTCGAACCCAAAACCTCAAAAAAGTTAGTGTAACTATATTTGCTATATATTTCCAACCCCCCAATTCCATCCATTTCTGAAAATTACAGCAAAAGCAAACAAGGGCGGATCCAGAACACAATTTTTTTGGGGGGGGCCAAAAAAAAATGTGGTGCCCCAAAAAATTGGGTCCAAAAAATTACGGCGTGGGGTTCGGGGCCCGCTTAAGGGCCCCGAAATTTTTTTGGATTCTAGATGCTCTATGGTGCGATCTGAGGCAATTTCTGACCACTTTAACCAATGTTTTTTTGAGGAAAAGATGGTGGTGTACTCATTGCCTGCCTTTATTGCGATGTCACATAAAAAAAAAAAAAATTGGTTTCGTTTTTGGGGGGGCCATGGCCCCCTTTGCCCCCCCCCCCTGGATCCGCCCTTGAAAGCAAATGATGTATATTCCCTTTAATTGTTTGTCTTTCAATATCCGATATTTAGTTTCCCCCTCGTTTTCATTGTTATACGTTTTCGTTGTTTCCATCTTACATCAGCTTGGTATGTAATATGACTTAAAAGTTGGTTTCGTTGTCTTTTGTTTGTGTGTCCGACTGTGTCTTGTTTTTTTGTTCTTGTGATTCCGTTGTACGTGTCCAGGCTGCTCCACCTACAAGTCTTGGCTTATGTGAACAGCCATGTGCTCTCCTTAAGTACTCTTCTGTTAACATTTCCCAATCTATTAACCTTAATTTCATTATCTAGCTTCAAAGTATTATGTTGTTACTGGTGGTATTTACCTTCGTGTTTTCTTTACCGTAATATCAATGTATTATACTTTATATTATCCCACTTTGTATTGGTTTATTGGATAGTTCAAAATAAATGTCGACTGGATTGAATTGAATTGCTGTTCGCTGTTTCCCGTGCTGTCGAAAAAATTATCATAGTCCTGAGGAAAATGGCTACACAGACCAACATTACTTGGATTAAACACCCCCCCCCCCCCCCATCGAATGGCAGCAAATAGAAACCGCTTTATTCTAAGGGTTTACAAATAAAATGTACATACTATTCTTGTGTTCTTATTTCAAAACTCTGTAGTATTCCATTGCGATAGAAAAATTACAAATCACTTAAAATGAAAGTTACAATGGATATGCTGAATTGCTGAAATTGGTCATCCAAATTTGAGTGAATTAATATGTTTGTGGGTTTTGTTTTACAAAAAAATATTAACAAAAAATAACTATTTCTTCAAAGTTCTGCGGACAAAGGGCCGAGTTGTAGATTAACTAAAACATCTATTGCGACTAATGTTGTTTAAACAAATAGCACTAATTAAACTTACACTAGCAAAATAAAATGAAGCTTACAATCGATCTTATGGACATACATTTATAACTTAGTAAAACGATTTCAAAGCCGGTCGTGGTGAAATCGCAACGAAAGGAAGCTAATGTTTTGTACGTGTGCAAAATTGATCAAATAATAGCAGTTCGCAGTTGCCCTGCACGGTTCCACATCGTTGTGCTCAGGTTTGATATCATAACTTATGGAATCCATTTGACACGTGCAGCCTCTTTGTCGGCCCTATCTTGCAAAGGACCCATAGACCTCTGTTCCTTGCTCTATGCATAGACTACTGCCGTGCATCAAACGTGGACACACTAGAACTAGAACGCTCCAGGGTTTAGAAATTTAAAATTCGGAAAGATTTCCATATAGGAAGTTCACTCAACACCCGCTGTGTACAAACCCTATGAGATTGGACTGAAAAATTCTAAGTGTTTTCTAAGCAAATGCTTGTATTTTCTCACTGCTCAAATTGACTTTGATGACATGAAATTGCTATCTGGGGGCTTGTTAGTCAATACAGAGGAAAATTAGTGAACTTCGTATATGGAAATCTTTCCTAAAACTCTTGTATTTACCCCAATTTACCCAAACTGAACAGCGCCCTCAACTTGTGTCCACCACATCTCAAAAAGGCCATGCTGTACTGTGTGGCCAAAAGTCAAGCCCCAACTCAACCTTGCCAGTACATTTTACTTAGTTGAGAGGTTGCAAGTCAGTCCATGCATCTTTAGTTCTCTTTACCTTAATTGAAGATTATAACCAATCTTGCTAGATCAGATATATTATTGATGCCCAAAGTCTCTCCATGTAGTGGCTCTCTTCAGGATTGGAGTGGTTATCAACGAAAAAAATGGCCCTTTGGTACAAACTGACCGGGTGCTGCCGGATCATTTCCCTGGTAGCCGAAAAGCAGCCTGCCAGACACTTGGGCGCCGTTTCGGGATGCTTGGCACCGAACACGGCCTCGTAGAACTCGCCCAAGGTGAAGCGAGCTTTGCGCATCTTGCCCTTCCGAAGGGCCGAGAGCCACTTGCCGAAGTGATTCAGCCTGCCCCAAGTGCGAATGGGAGGCTTTTCTATACAGAACAAATTATTCTTGGCGTTGGTTAGGAAGTATGTGGGTTTGGGAAAACAGTAGCCTTTGTCGACGTAAGTCCCGTGCCCATGTAGGAACACAGTAAGATCCGCTAAGTTGTCATAGTTTGCGATTATATGGTACAAGAACGTATGGGGTTCTCTCCCCACGTTTGGTAACTCCTCCCACTTGTAGACATCAAAAGGCGGTCTCTTGTCTTTCCCCTTGTGGTACACGTGACTGCGGTTGGCGATGGGTTTCAGCCAATCGAGTTTCTCGTTATAGTGAGCCACGACAAACTCATAGGCTAATGTCGAGGCGTTTCGGGGACCTTCTGTGGAGTTGTTGGCGGCCGCGGGTGCGTGTGATGTCACGAAACGGCCAGATGAGGGCGCACTCTGGGAAAATTTGCGTCTTCCGTCACGCGACGATGAGACGGGAATGCGGCTGTCCATTTCGTCGAGATTATGTTTTTTTGCTGTGAAAAAAAGTGAAAACAATAATAACAATAATCACAAAGTTCAAAGATCGGCCAGCATTATTAAAAAAAAAAAACAATCTTAAAAATAGTGCTTTGAAAAGTCACAATCTTCTTCCTTGATGAGTGATGCACCCAGACATGTTGTATAGTTTGGAGGAAATTATACTTGATTTTGTTGGATCCCTCGTGTATATTGGTCGAACTTTCAATTTTAGATTAAACAATCACACCCGTGGTATAACCTCCAAATACTAGGACTCTCAATACAATGTTGGCCAAGTTGAGAGTGAAAACTAAAGATTGAAAGAATAGATGCTGACCGTATATGATTGCGTGCACATACTAAAATTGTCCCAAGTATTATTTGTAGCACATTATGGAAACGTGTCTCGGTCCCAATATTCCTTTTATTTTTTCCTCATGTTAAAAACGACTGACAGTCATTGTGATGAAAATGGCGTCAATAACTCCATTCTACTACCCGCAAGTGGGACTTTAAGTATCAGTGATGATGACCCTGGAACTCATCTCTGCCTATTGGGAAATTACAGAATTTGGCGGAATGTAGCTAGGATGATCCTTAGCGTTATGTTTAGGCGGAATGATAAGTAAAAAATAAAGCCTGTTTTTGTTCCCCTTCCGATTGCATGATGTCTCTAACCGGCAGCGTATACGGTTGCAACTTCTAAGGGGTACAAGGGGGCAATGAAGGCAACTGACATTGCTTGGATGCATTTTTTTTTAGGGGAACGGGGGGATGGGGCGGGGGTGGGGATGGGACGGACCTCTGCTGGGGAGGGGGCGTGCCCAAGTAGTTACGTCACTGACACCACTGCTAAAACCAATCACTGTATGTGCACGTATACTCACCTATTTTAGTGGCAACAGCGGTGTCTGATCCGATCTGCTGTATGACTGCATGCAAACCAAAAGAAAGCGTTCCCAAGATGAAAATCAACGTCAGCCCAATCCAGCGCACTCGACTCCAAAGAAATCTGGTCCTCATAATGACCACCGGTATTGCCTCACTTTGTTGTGCCAACCCGACGCTGTGCGGTTTTTTTTAACAATTAAACACGCAATATCATATCCAATGACACTGTTTTGTGAATACATGTAGGCCCTATGTAAAGTCGAAGGCTGGGCATTCGGCTCATACTCGTAGACATCATAAATCACTCTCAATGCAAAGTGAATCATCTCAGGAAAGCAAGCATATAACAGCCTAGCTAACTCTGTTAGTTTCTTCCTCCACTTACTGTGAATAATTATAGGCTTATTGGTCAGGCTCCATTTTCCCAGATAACCTTGTTTTCACCGATACATAAAAACCTCGGCATGCAATTATGAAAGAGCTATCCACTTCAGTGCATCTCTATTATGCACTATACCGCAGTAAAAGTCTTTGCTATAGCGCCTTCCATTGTTCAGATGGCAATCTCCTTATGTAACAATCACAATAGCCTCGTTCGTCCCCCAAACCATTCGAGAAATCGTGGCCATGTTTCGGCTGTGCCCCTATAAGCATTTCAGAAATCGTGGCCATGGTTTTGGTTTATCCCCAAAGCCACATCGTGGTCTTCGGTTTTGTTCGTTTCCCTAACCGTTTGAGAAATAATGGCCAATGTTTCGGCTCCGGCTTTGAATCGCATATCGGTTTACAAATCTTTGCTGTGCGCTCCAGTCCACCCTGTCAATATCCAATCCTTTTATTAAAGGCTTAAAAAAAGTAGACATTTTTTTTTCTATTTTATGTGGATACTGGTAGGTTTCTGATTATGAGGCCAGAGATAACGCCGAGGCCCAAAGGAAGCCACAGTTTTGGAAATTGACAAAAAGAAATAAGCTAAGTTTTCCGACAACAAGATATACAAAGGTCTTTTCAAGTTGAATTGCTACTTTTTTATGGGGTGGGGGAGTGGGGACAGCATTGTTCACCTTGTAAAATGACACACCACACACAAATGATATTCCATCTGGTATAAATGTTTCTTCCGCACAATGCAAGAATGACAATGCAATAACAATATAATAAGTTCAAGACATGTCCAAGTGTTGCAACTAGCAAATTTAAATAATTGTTGGAAAAAGGGGGAAAATGTGTTGGGTTAGTTGAAATTCCCCAAATATGCAGCAACATAATTGTTATCTAAAAATAAATACGCCTTCAAAAAACATAACTGGCTTTTCTTAATTCATAATTTTATACTCCAGAAAAAAAAAAAAACTCATGTATTGAAGAAAACTTCGAGAAAATCTTCCAAACCGAAATGTTATTGCTTTTCAAAATTAAACACAGAAGTATAGCACGCAATATGTCAAATACTTAACACAACAAATGAATGTTAAAGGGAATATACATCATTTGCTTTTGCTGTAATTTTCAGAAATGGATGGAATTGGGGGATTGGAAATATAAAGCAAATATAGTTACACTGACTTTTTGGAGGTTTTGGGTTCGAAAATGCTATAAAAACCAAGAAAAACGATCATTTACCTGTAGTCTGGTTCCCTGACTCCATATAAGAAGAAACAGAGCAGTTTACATACATTGGGGAATTGTAAGGTCAGGGAACCAGTCTAGCTGGCTCGTACCCGTTCATAGGTTTGTAATCGATTGCAAACAAGTGCAATAGTCAATTGGGGCCAGTATTTGAAAAAAAGCCAGTTGTTTCCAACGCTGATCGGCCGATCAGCGTTGGAAATTGATACAAAAATACCACTTTTCTTGAAAATGACAGTATACCAGGTGCCATAATTTTACAGGATGCTTTAGACTGTCATTTACCAACGTCCTATTAAGGTATTTCGCAATAACTTGGTAGTTTTATTTTTCGATGTTTGCAAATGTTGTATATTCCCTTTAATGAGTGCAATGGTAAGAACAATTTCATGAGCTGACAGATGGAAAGTTCACTGAGTGGCATGGAACATTCCATCTGTCACCGAAAGAAATTATTCTTTCCATTGCACGAATGTTAAACATTCATTATTTGTTTTATACAACACCGTGAATAAATCCTTGTCATCTGATTGGTCAGAGCCACCAATAGTGTGTGACCATGCAACGGAACTTCTATTTACTGTGGAACAAAACTTCTATTGTTGTGGTGCGGCCGGGCCGTGGGTTGGGACGAATAATTCAATGACATGTGATCAACGACCCACCAATCAGAAGACAGGGATTTATAGCGGCGTTGTATAATATCCGTTATTTAACACTGACCTAAAAAGAAAAAAAAACAAATCTTTGTGGAAACTGGTAGACTTGGATTGGGAAAAAGTTCTTTTTTTTTTCTTTTCCTTTTTTTTTTTTTTTTAAACTGACAATCACGATTTAGGAAATGCAACAAACACTGGTTATCGGAATTTGAATAAATCGTGAAATGAATAAGTTTGGGGAAAGACGAAAAAGTTAAATAAATGCCGGATTGAAATTAGACACAAAGAAGGAGCATAATTTAGAAATCAAGCGTACTTTGGGATTTAATCTTAACGCAATTATTACAATGTCAATTTTAAACTTTCCCTTCCCAGTCAACAAAAATAGAACACTTCTGAATGTAAATATCGACATTTTCAGCACAAAAATGGAAGCAATTTTCATCGTTTATATGGCCACTGGCTTGTTGTGATTATATTAACATAGCTTCCTGGCCAACATCAACCACTGGCCTCTAAACACTAGTGGCCAATTAATAAAAAAAAAAAATGCAAGGTGCAGAAATATTGTACAGTTAATTGTGAAATGGGCACAACATTTCAATGAACAAATAGGAGCGGCGAGTTCGAAGCCGGAGTGGCCTGCAAAGTCTGGTGGCCACCCTGATTTGGTGGCCTGCACGTTTTGTGGCCATAAGTGGCATTGCGACTGCAACACAGCTTGCCCGACCCAAAGGTGGCCAAAATGAACTGGTTCTCCAGATGTATAGTTTCACAGCATTTTGATGAACAGTCGGCGGCTGGCAACTACAAACAAGTGGCCTCTAAAAGTAGGTGGCCACAATGCTTGGATGGCCTGTGAATGTGATTGTACATGGTTATTGACGGCCGACTAATTGTAACAAAGATGGCACCATGCATCCTGAAGACGGGATAAAAACGCCATTTCCTACAACATGGCAGTCAATACTGTAAATGTGTTTTACTCCGTCCCAGCTCCATTTTGAAATTGTTCCCCAAATTATCCCAAGTGTAACTGGAATATTTCACGGGGTATATTACAACAAAACGGCTCGTGTTAAAGGTTGATTTTCTTGGACAACGATATGGCGTCGCCAGTGTTGAGTCTGGGCCTTGGCAAGTCGCCAAACATCTCGGTTCCGTCTTGGACGCTGAGCGACAGGGCCTTCATACTTGCGACCATGTGATCTGGCTCGGGCATGGGGACCTGATGAAATGGAAAAAAAAACACATTAATTTCGTTTAGGTTATTCAGAAAAGAAAAATTGTGAACAAAAACGAAAAAAATTCACAGAACATTACAAATATTTGTGGTGAGTACTTTGAGCCATGCATGCTGCCCTTCCCCACACCCACCCCCAAAAACCTGCTGTTGTCAGAAAAGGGTTTTTTTTGGAGGGGGGGGGGGGGGGGTGGGAGTAGTCTATGTAATACACCCTGGCCCTGGCGAAGCGACCATGGTCTATGATACGTAAACAGATTCGGCGATTAATTACGCAACTAGACGACGTATGACCTCAAGAAACTGACCAATCAGCATTCGCCTTCTATACGCATTTTATTTGAGCTCCCTGCATGCGCAAACATCACGCCCACGATGAGTAGCATTTTTGTTCAGGTTGTTGTATTACAAAAACGCGGCATCGAAATTGACCAATCACAATCTTAGTCCTGATTTTGGAATGAAATGAGGTCACGCATGCTTAGATATATCAGACGTTAGACAGGAGACTGGGCTCTGTGGATAACGGGTGACACTCAGACTAGGAGGGAAGTGGGGCACAGGGAAATTTTTTCTTTCTCAAAATTGTGTAAACGCAACAAGACTTCAATATTGTATAGACCTTTAGGCCAAAAAAAAAAAGTCTCCGGTTTCTGGTATGCGCGCGCGTCGCCGTAGCCATGCGCGTCGGCAAAATGAAAAAGGTTTTTTTTCAATGAAAGATGATGTCTCAAAACCGCCAAACTCACTGGTTTGACTGGAATCCTGCTGCTGCACAATTTTAACATGTTTTTAGATGGGGTTATGATCGAGAACAAGCTTTATGTGGCCTCTCTGGACTCCCGTATATTTGCACTAAGTTTAGTCGGGCACCATTTACAGTCATCAGCCGACATTTGAAGCAAAAAAGTCGGGTTAAAAAAAAAAAAAAAGCCGCGTCGCCGCACCACTTTTTGGACAAGCTCCATACCAGAAACCGGAGACTTTTTTGGGGGGCCTTATCATGCTGCCACCATTTCAGTCATGTTCCCTGTACCCAATAACAGAACTGAATGATAACGTTTTTGTGCAAAAAGGAGCCAGACTATTTTTCCTTCCAGCCTCGCTTTGGTTACGTTGATTTGAATGGACAAACAAAATCAAGATGGCCGCAACATGATAATGGTCTATATCTAATGTATTCATCATTTTTTGTTTTTAACCATTTGTCATAGTCTAAAGATTTACATTGTATATATTAGTCAAAACAACACACTCTATTTCAAGTGGCACTTTTCTAGGATACCGTATTCTTAAAAAAATCTCTAAGAAGGGAATTCTATGGGCTCCGTGTACAAGTACCCCCTCAACGGTAAGTAAGGGAGAGTTGGGGGAGACGACTGGGAAGGACATTCAAACGCATCGCCGACAACGTCTGACGCTCAAGCGAAGACGCTACGGCTTTGTGAACATTCAGAATAATATTAACCATGCGTACTTCGCGCTTTACTTGTGCGAACCAGAACCTGTATCTGTGTGCCCCATCCACTGGGTTCTTGAAAGAGGTAAAAAAATACTGGCGTGATCCCCCTGGCATCCTGCCATTTTGTAAACATGTACAGGTACAGGCAGTTAGTAAGGACACTTTTCAGTGACGGCCTTGATTGTCCACCCGGCAGGTACCAGTTCTCAGTTGAATGGGGAGTTTGGGTCGAATGGAGAGTTTCAGTGAGACACCGGACTAACATATGTCAGAGTCATTAGTATCTCTCCAGAGACCTCGTAAATATCCATATAGGAAAGGATTTTTTTTTTACGGCAGCCTTCTCTCCACAGACCATTTTTCAAGTTTGGTTGAGATTGATAAATGAACTTAACAGTGAAATGGAACACACACACACCCACACACCCAGGTTTACGTTACATACCTTGTGTGGACATTCCTTTGTTTTCGTGTAGTTAAGAAAACTCGGTACAAAAAATAACTTTACTTAAACTGTGAAAATTCTTTTAACCCAATTTTTTTTCTATGATTCCCTATAGTGTTTCTCTTCATTCTGCTACAAATAAACCTAACCCAAAAATGCCTCTAAACCTGTTTTCCAGAAAGGGCAAAACGTTATGTGGACACGGCTTAGTCCACATAACGTTAACACAACCTGCATTATGTGGACCTCTTTTGTTCACAAGTCCACATAGGTATGTAACACAAACTCACGTGTGTAAATGCCGGCTATCGTGGACGCCCCATTGTCCCTAATCCTCTTTCCTTTGTTTGTACTTTCCTGTGTTTGTAGCGACAGCTCTCATTGGTTTTGTACACGATTTGAGATCGTGGACGTTAGGTCAATCGTGGACGTATTGTTTGCGCCCCAATTCTTTTGTCCTACGTCCACGATTGCCGGTGTTTACATACTCACACAGACACACCGAAGGAATTCACGATCGCAATATCCCCCTATCTGGCTGGAAAGCCAGGGGGATAAAAAACACCATTGCTTGTTCGTACACGGAGGACATACCTTATCATCATCATCATCCTCGTCTTCTAGCGAGAGTTTAGCCTCGCGGTTCCAGACGGGCATGGAGATGGGTACCGAGGTGGCAAAGTTCTGCGCCGCCCTGGACGACGTCCCCCGGCCGGACATAGTGCGGGTCAGGTGGTCGTCGTTCAGCGAGTTATCTGCGGGGAGAGAGGGGGTAGGATTCAGGTGAGCTGCGTCTTGACGTACGTAGGGGGGGAGTGTAAAGGAGCAAAAAAAGAAGATGAGGTGGAGGGGAAAAGGAGAAGAGAAGAGAGATTTAGGTCCAAAAAAAAATGAAGTAAAACAAAAACAATAAAGGATGTAGGACAGAATCGAGAACAAAGAGGGTGGTGAGGGATTTTGAGAAGACAGATCTGGACTACAAAAATCATGCCAATATGTGATGAATTTGGGCAAAATGAGACCGAACTGGGCACATGCCTTAGTACAGAAAAATGCAAAAACCAAATGGGTGTGATTATTTTTTCGATTTTCAGATTTATTGATATTTGTAATCTTTAGAAGAAATAGTATAACAATCGTGGAATAAAAATTGTTGCAAGGAAAAACAATTGCATCTTTCATTTTCATGAATACAAAACTTGATACTTTAACCCTAACAGAACTCAACCCATCAAACCCAAACGGCATGTTTTGTTGGAATCTGTCAGGATGGGTACAGTACCCCTAAACCGACAGTCGTTTACATTTGGTTGTTTACATTGGGTTGGCACACCTCCAGAAACAAAGTCAGAAATATCTGTGCGCAGTTTCCAATATGGTGTTGGAATTTGCCAGGATGGGTATGGTTCCTAGTAAATCATGCCAGGGTGTTAGGGGGTTAAAGGCCTTTTTCTGAATATTTTCCTTTTTTTGGCATGTTGATTAATGTGAAATATAGACAGCCATAACTTGTCAGTGGAATGTCTGACTGAAGTGCAGCAGGGGAACATACAGTGCGGCATTTAGGAATTTCACAGGTAGCTTTAGGGAGACGCAGTTAGTGGGACTCATTGTGAAATCTGGACCTGCCCGTTGACCAACATCCCCTCTATTCTGATTGGCTACTCACCATCAGTGCTACTCTCGTCGTCCGATTCGAAAAACGGATCGCAGTCGTCGTTGAAGCCGTCCAAGTCAAACATGGCTGTGGGGGAAAAAAGGATAAAAATGGTACATTTCCTTCACTTGTAAGTTATCATTAGTTTGCCTTTTTTAGAAAAGAAAATAGCAAGCTCACCATTTCTTGACACAAGAGGGCAAGGATACGAACACAGCACATATCCTCATTCAAGGGCGTATTCAAAACCCCGTTCTCGTTTTGTATGAACAAAAGAACGGGGTTTCAAATGACGCAGACCGACACATGAACAGTGTTTTCGAACAGGATTTTTATTTCCCACTTAGTGGGGAGTAGGTGCACGTCAAAAACAAAGATGGCGGCCTTCGCCCCATTCGTGTTTGTGCATAAAATTGAAAGCGCTCATTCAGTGCAGGAGCATTATATACTTTTAAATGACAAAACAAAAAGAAATTGTATGTGGTCAGAGAGTGGGCTTGTTTTTGCAAATTTCCATAGCTGTTACGGGATTTAAATTACTTTTGTACGATCATTAGTTTTTTCTTCTTTTCATTTGGCATTTTAATATGGCGGCTGCCATCTTATATTTTCGCCCTGCCAGCTGCACTCCACATGCACTTGGGCATTCGCAATCGGCAACCGAAGAACACTGTACGTGGGTCACTCCAGAACATGGTTTCAAATAAGCCCACTGAGTGTACACCAAGAGTAATCTAAATGTTTCACGTACTGTCAGCATCATTGCTTCTGTGTCTTGTTTTGGCGACCCCTCTCGGAGTGGCACCCGACCTCTGCGGTCCTCCGTACGCCTGTAATAGCAACAAAGATAAAAAGGTATCTGACTATGGGGAGCAAACAGACTACAGCCATTTTTGAAACCTCGGCTTCATCATAAGCTTTGGCTTTTGAGAGATTTAAAGATATAGTCCATCATTTGTAATTTGTGCATTTTGTTCGTTTGAAGCAACAAAAGTGTTCAAAATCTAATGAAGGATACTGAACAACTAACCTGATGAAGTTTGAGCTCAGCTTCAGCTGTATATTCCGAGAAAAACAGCATTCTAGGATCTCAATTTCAAATCAAAATTTGCTGAATCATGTTTTGAATTGTTTTGAATTGCAGCTATACGCGATGTCGCACACTGATCCGACGAATTATAGCAACCGTGCGCGCCTGTGCGTCGTGCCAATGCTTGCGCGCGATGCGCCGAATAACAAAACGAACTACTAATTTCAAATTTCCTATGGTACCGTTGGAAAGGCCTTCTTTCGTTGATTACTTCAAAATGATAGCTTGCCAGAAATATTAATTTCACAGGGAGTTTAGTCCACTTACTATCTTTCAACCAAGTATGTTTTTCAACAATAATACGCCAGTTACTTTTTCGAATGGCTGCAAATGATGGACTATAGCTTTAAAGACCCCTGTCATCGGGGATCCAGTCAAACGTAGGTGGACATCCAATGCTGCAATTCAAACCAACGACTGTAGTTCTTGTATTTGGTATGGATAGCGTCGTGGTCCAATGGTTAAGGTGTTCGCCTCATGTGCCGTGGTACGTGGGTTCAAACCCTGACGGGGAATGTGGTGCTTGTGTTCTTGGGCAAGACACTATACTACAATTGCCCCTCTCCACCCAGGAGTATAAATGGGTGCCTGTGAAGGTAGAGACCAGAAGGCACTGATCTTGAGCTGCTGCAGAAGACTGGTCTCATTGCCTGATGAACAGGGATAATAATTGTGAAGTGCTTGGAGACCTCTGGTATAAAGTGCTATGTAAGCACCACATTATTATCTACTTTCATTTATTTTACTTATAGTCCGGTTCACAATGTACTTAATCCAACTTTCCTTGGGATTTTTTGAGGATTAGGCAAACTATACATTTTTGGAAACCTTAGGGTCTACTGAATCCAAAAACCAATGCTTCAATTTTTTTCAAGGTCATCTTGGCCACCATCTTGGAATTTCAATAAGTATTTATTATTAAATACTTATTCAATTCTTAGTTTAACAGGGTAGCGCATTCAGTGGAATCCACTGGTCTCCCATGGGGCCCAGTAAACAGAAGACAATAAGAAGAAATTACGGAAGAATGTTCTGAGGAAAACCCATGGAATCAGGCTAGGACTGAAATAATCCCAATCCACATAATGGCCTGGGCAGGATTCGAACCCGGGTCACAGCGGTGGAAGGCGAGGAAAGTACCGCTACGCCAACCTGTCTCCCCAATCATTGACAGCATAGACATTGGAATGATTCTAAATATGGTCACATCTGATTTGACTTGGGGCTATGGCAGCGGCTAACACCACTTCCCATAGACATTGTGTTACAGCGAGCCATAGCCGCAGCCATCATAAGTCAGGTGTACACTCACCTTGACTGGCACTTCTCTGGGTTTTTCTTTCGCCGTCGCAATTTCACCATGAAATGTCCTTGGGTAACTCATGCTAATAGGGGGAAGGCTAGAATTTACTGCAGACAGGAAGAGAGAGAACAACAAAATGATATTTTATCATCGACAAAATGCGACCGGCTTCCCAAAAAAGGGTATTGTCGCAAAAAAGTGAAATGAGTTATATACATGGTTGGAAAGCCCACAACGTAAGCTTTCATTTGGTATATAAAAGAGCTCCACAGCCCCTCACGTTCTGGAGACATGACATATTTGCATATTAATTACTTCCTTGGAGTTCGAATTACACAACTGAGAAAACAGGCTTTCAAATACAAAAAAAAACAAAACATGTAGCTGGCTTTCTTGTTGAACAACAGAATGATGCACACAAAATGGTTGTTTTTACAACTTCGTTTAATAAAAATCAACATTTCTGTGAAATAAACCTGAAACTGTAGGTATTAGATATGTCATTCATGACAAAAAATGAAAATCACATTTTGACGAAATTTTAACTCTTTCAATGATAAACAAGACGCACAAAATCGGTTACTCACGTTACGAAAATGTAACGTGAGTAACCAATTTTGTGCGTCTTGTTTATCATACATAACACATTTTTCTGGACGTCATCTTTGGTGCTTAGGTAGGTCTAGGTCTACTCTATCTACCATGGGGATAACAGTTATTAAACCTTTTCAGTAAGGTAATTACAGCCCAAGGAAACTCAAAAGTACATCACAAATGTAACGTGAGTAACCGTGGAATTGCCCAACTGGTTCTTATCAGTCCCAACTCACAAAGAGATATCATTCACATGGTGTTACCGCTAAACTCCCATTCACTGATCATGTCCACCATGCAAACTCTTTAAGTCTCATTCAAAATACTTCTATTGTCAATGAATTTCTGCAAACTCCCTCCCCTTTTTATGCTAACTCCACCCTCTCCAAAGGTTTTTTTAAGGAGTCAATGACCTTACCTCTATTCTTACTAAGGCTGACTGGGGTGTGCGGTGGGGTGAGGGTTGTTTCTAGCATGGCTTCCGAGATGGAATCTTCTAGGCTCTTCTCGTCAGCTTCAACCATCAATCTGTGGACAGTAAATTGGGAAAATTGACTGTGGCGGGATTCGAATCCTAAACATACAAGTTACTGCTTCAGTCGTTGATCCAGAGAGAAATTTAGTCTCATGTTATACAATCGACTTTTATTATAAAGAGCACTTTTATAAAGAGGTTCTGCTTATAAAGAGCAAATGCTGAGGTCCCAAATCTCAGGTTCTCTTTGTGTTTCTTTGTTTCGCTGTCCTTTTATAACAACATTCATGCTTTAAAGAGGTAATTTGGCTAGTCCCATCGACCTTGTTATAACGACAGTCGACTGTAGCTTGCAAATATTTTCGGTCGTTCCACGCTAGGGCTGTGCATTTTGGTTAATTTAATATTTGATTATTCCAACTTTGACTTTGATCGAATATCCAAATATACGATTGCAAAATGTACTGATCGCAGGCACGCAACAGGGAATTTAGAAAAAAAATGAGGCAATCCAAACAACACAAGACTTTGTACAGTATTTTTCAATTTGTAATGGCATTCATGAGAAGAAAACTCGAGGAAATCAGTCTTGAGAAGTAAAAATCGAGGAAATCAGCGGATTCGAGAAAAAGTTCCATGCCCTACTTAAACATCAGCCTGAAGTGGCCACCGATCTGGATTTGTGTGCTCTGGCCTTGTCGAAAATTAACAAAAACCTTATTAAAATAATTTAAATAAAGGTAGCGGTGGCTGACATTTGACAATCAAAAGAAGAAATTTGGGCTAATATTCTACTTAAAAGCTCTCAAAACATGCGCGATAACGACTTTAAATAAAAGTGTGGCATTTGACACAAAATAAAACTACACAACTTACACATTTTTCAGCATCTCCTCGAGACTGCTCACATTTTTCAAATGTTTAAAGCTATAGTCCATCATTTGCAGCTATCCGAAAAGTAGCTGGCGTAATTATTGTTGAAAAACAGACTTGGTTGAAAAATAGTAAGGGAACTAAACTCCCTGTGAAATTATTCTTTCTGGCAAGCTGTCATTTTGGAGTAATCAACGAAAGAAGGCTTTTCCAACGGTGCTTCTTATGACGCACCGTGGGAAAATTTAAATTAGTAGTTCGTTTTGTTATTCGGCGAAGCGCGCGCAATCATTGGCACGACGCACACGCGCGCGCGGCTGCTATAATTCGTCGGATCGCTGCGCAACATCGCGTAGCTGCAATCGGCTCAGCGAGAACGTGTCTCGGACGCTGAATCCAGGCGCAATTCAAAACATGATTCAGCAACTTTTGATTTGAAATTGAGATCCTAGAATGCTGTTTTTCTCGGAATATACAGCTGAAGCTGAGCTGAAACTTCATTAGGTTAGTTGTTCAGTACCCGTCTTTAGATTTTGAGCACTTTTGTTGCTTCAAACGAACAAAATGCACAAATTACAAATGATGGACTATAGCTTTAAATCGAAAATAAAAATGCTATTCAGATATCCGATTGATGATCGAAAACTCAAGTATTTTTTTTTCAAATGAACCACAACAAAGAAATTGACTGGAGCGGGGTTTGAACCTGTGACCTTCGGATTGCCGTTGCGGTGCTCTACCAACTGAGCTATCCAGCCCTATGTTGGCTGTTCCCCTTTGTTCAAAGGGCGCTAGTAAACTGAAGGCCAACGCTGGCATGATGAGCTATACTGGCACGGGAGAGATTTTACAACATGAAAGTTTTTTTCAGAAAACCAATTTCTCCTTGAAGTTCTTCTCATAAGCAAAGAATAATGAAGCACTTACCCAACCATGAGGTTCTTGTCCCTGTACGCTTTCTTCTGTAGTGAATTATAAGCTGCCTGCTGATCTTCTGTAAACTTCCTGAGGAGAAAATTGACACGTTTGTCACATTAGTCTATTACAGTGCTGGGAGAAATCGGAGATTTCCAAATCCGGTTCTCCTGGTTTTTTTTTTTCAATCCGAATAACGGTTATCTGATTCCCCCGGAAGTTCCAATTCAGCTTACAGTCATGCCAAAGTCACGCCAGGCAAAAACCTGCAACCCTGGTTTGAAAAATGAATACGGTTTCATGGTGCCTTCAAGTGGATGACCACTGTTTCCCACTACGTTCTGGGTAATGCAGGATTTACACCTGCAACAGCAGCTTTTTTTGTATTGTATTCACTCTAATTGAAGTAAAGGCTCCTGCTTAGGAACAAGCTTACTTGATTCTCTCCTCCATAGACGCCTTCTCTTTAGTCAGGTACCGCGATAGCTGGTCCTGCAAGTCACCCACCGTCTTCTTGAGAGCGTCTTGGTTACTCGTTGTTGGATGCCCTGAAGAAAAAAAAAGGAGACAAAAAAATCATATCAACTTCGGAGTGTCCCAGTAATGCTCAAAGCCACCGCAAGTGACCACACAAGGTGGGCGACCGAAATTTAAAAAAAATGTAGTTGCCCTTCGGGCATGGAATTTTGAAATCTGGTTGCCCAAATTTTATTTTCAGTTGCCCAATAAAGAACTTGTAATATTACCGAAAGCTGAAGGCCAAATCCTAATAATATACATGGCTGCTCTACCCGATGTGGCTCAGGGCTAGCAAAATTGGCTGTCAGACATCCCGGGACAACCAAAATATTTTGTACTCTGCTGCTGCGCTATCACCATTTTGCAAGCGTGCGTGGCCGGCCCGGCAGTGGTCGACCGTGGCTGCGTGCATGTGTACAGCAGGGGTGTGATTGGACAAAAATGAAAAATCCACGAGCTTCGGTTGACATGTAATATACATGTACATGTACATGTACATGTATTATTGTACATGTACTTGTATAGATGTACATATATGTATACATATGCATGCACGTATGTCCATATATAGGCCTAGGGCATGTACATTTTATGTACTGTAATTTCTGTAATGTTAGCAAATTTTGTCGCTTCAGTAAAGAAAACAAATGGGGGAAAAATTAAGAAAAAACGTCTGGTCATTAAATAATATAATCCATATGTGATTGATTCATAAAGGCTTTTTCTGTGTGTGATGTTATTACTTGTGCATGTTGCAGAGAGAAACGATTCACACAAAACAATATGAACGGTGCTGAAAAAGTTTCATCTTACTTTAAACTCCAGTCCCAGGCTTCCAAAACATTTTTGAAAATTTGTGTTGGTGGTGGCTATTTTTCGAAGCACTACTGCAGCTCAAACTGATTTCCATCCACAGTGACACTTTATTTCCAGTTCTTCCAGCCATACTCTTGAATTCCTTGACAAAATCGCGGCAATATTGACACCAAATGTGTTTGCGAATTGCTAGCACACGATCGTCACTGCACAATACATGCACAATACACACACACCCATCCACACGCGATATACAAACACGAGGTGCATGCTGCAAACCCATTGAAAATTATTTTTAGTCTGGTCCTCAAGTACTCCACTGCGCATACTGCATTAATGTCTATTAGGTTCTTGACCGCACTGCATTAGACTTGTCACCAGTCCATCCATTATCGTAAATTAGAGCCTATATTTCGCAAGAAGGTTTTGGGCAATATTATTACGGAAACAGAAAACGTTAAAAATCCGGAATCCGCAAAAAAAATCCGCAGACGTTAGATTAAAAATCCGGAAATCCGGAAAAATCCGGAAAAATCACACCCCTGGTACAGTATCTGCGTTCGTGGGTACAGTATCCGCGCTCTGCGCCACGCTGGTACATAGTGCACAGTGGTCCGGTCATAATATTATTGGAAACACACGTACACACAGGATTGCCTTTGCTGCCAGCACATATTACATACGCGAAATGTTACTGCATGATGTAGCCGGACCGTACGTGCAGATTGAGATTGACCGCTGTTCTGTTTTGGCTGGTACCCGTTATTACTTTATCAAATGGCGTTAGCGCAGCAGCTGTGTCAAAATGTCGATATTATCATGATTACTGTTCGACGCTGAGCACATGTATGGCATTATGGAACTTTCGAAAATCCAATGGACTAAAATAAAGTGTAAAAATGAGTGAGTATTGGTGAAAAAGTGGTTGCTCGTCAGGCTGGCAACCTGCAACTTTTGGTTGTCCGACAAAATATTTTGGTTGTCCTGGGACGTCGGGCAGCCGATTTCTATAAATCTTAATCATTGTTGAGGCGGCAGTTGTACAGGGAGTCCTTTGGATTGAGAAGTGACTGTCTTCGCTTTTCAAGCTAGAGACTTACCCAACGTTGGACTTTTTGTCTTGCTGATTTCGTGGAGGATGACGTGGAAAAGCGGGGAGAAGCTCGGAGATCTGCGTAACTCTTCTTGCTTCTCTGTGTCACTCTGCAGTCAAGGAAGGGGGGGAAAGCAGTAAAATAACAAAAGAAGGTCGGCTGGAAAGGGATTCCATATTTTCACTGGACCCTTCTACAGCATGGAATAAGTAATCCATTTAATTAACAAACAAAACAACACACACATACTGGAATTTGTATCCTTGTCATGCTCGTGAACTCATTTCTTTGTTCTCGTGTACTGAAGTTTTTGAGTTTGAAAGTGTACTTTCAAAATGGTCCTATTTTAACCAGAATTGATTTCTTGGGCTGAAATTCAGACTTAATATCCAAAATACTTCAGTTTGCGACGGACCAACACACCTGGGAAATTCCTAGTTTTTGAGTAAAATCCATATATCTATTTCGTGATAACCTTGTGGAGATGTATTCACCTTTTGTTCCCTATTGTGCACATGTCTCTACAGGGTACCATGTACCAGATCACACACACAAACAAATCTGAAGAATGCATAAGACTTAACAAACTAGTGCAACAGAAATGCCCCTCTACACTTTATAGATCTGTCATATTGGAGCCTTCTTTAGGCCTTTTCACACTCGACAAATCTCGGGGTCGACGCAGGGTGGAAAACTTGCAAATTTTCAACCGCCCCGACAATCCTGCATGAACCCCGAGATGGATTTTGCCCCGGGTTGAACTCAACCCTGCTCCAGACCAGGGTTGAGATTTTCGACCCCGGTTGAAACTCTCACCAGGGTTCAAAACAGCAGCGACCGAACAAAATAAGCTTGGTTTGCATAAAAAAGTTTTGGGATGGATTGCAGGATTGAAAAATCAAAAACTCAACCTGTGGCGGCACTCGGTTAGCCCAGGGTCAAGTTCAACTCGGGTTGCACAGGATTACACATGCATAGACATCTTGGGCATTCATTTTAAAAATGTTTTTTTTACTGCAAATTATCAGGTGGGTTTAGTTGACGTCCGTTGGCTGTGAAAGGAAGGCTGGGGTAGTGGGAAGGTGGGGGAGGGAGAGGAGGAGAATTAGCAGAAGACACTTACCACCAGACTTAGACTGACCAATACCCTGTTCATTCCCTTAGTGGCGTGTGTCGCGTAGCAGTCTGTCTCACAGTTGGTGCAGGTCCTAACGACCCACTCCCCGACGCTGCTTCGTCTGATTAAACACTTCTGCTCCTGAACAAATAAAATTAGGAAACAAACAAAATAAACATTAACCCTAACTTGCTACTCTTAACTTTTTTACTGAGTACTGGACCAAGTCCGCCACAATCTATCAATCACACTGCTTCCAATGCATGCTTTGCTTTAGGCCTCCAGGCCCAAGTCCATCATACTCCATCAATATTTAGTCAAACCAGGCCTGCAGGCCCAAATCCATCATACTCCATCAATATTTAGTCAAACCAGTCCTCCATGACCAAGTCCATCATACTCCATCAATATTTAGTCAAACCAGGCCTCCAGGCCCAAGTCCATCATACTCCATCAATATTTAGTCAAACCAGTCCTGCAGGCCCAAGTCCATCATACTCCACCAATATTTAGTCAAACCAGGCCTGCAGGACCAAGTCCCCCAAAATCCACCAAAATAGGGGGATGGATTTTGATGGAGCTGGGGAGGTTAGAGTTAATAAACCAACTGAAACAACAATCCAACATTACATGTTTCTAAAACCAAGGAATCAGTTGACCCATCCTAGCTCTATGGTTGACCAAATTGTCAGATTATTTGAGCTTGCCTATTTTTGTTTCTCCATTCTTCAATTCACAAGGCTTGGCATACAATGTACAGATGCAGGCAACTACATGTATCAGTAGCTGTGAAATTCATTTGAGGAATAACAGGCCTTGGCAAAAACACACTGGGTGCTGGAAAAGGAAAATTTGGTGAACTTTCCAAGAAAGCCTACCAGGTAATTAGTTGATCAAATCTACAGATAATCTGCTCAGCACTGGAGTGACTGCACAGTACAAGCAACTCTTTGCATGAATTAACCTCTCAGTGTGTACATAACTGAATAGAGTTTGTTTTTAAACTGGACCTGTTTTCAGCATATACATATTGACATTTCAGGCTAGATGACCACAGTTTGATCAGGTCAAGCTATTGGTTTGTTTACCCACACTGCCAGGAGACCTGGGGCTTGTGATTAGTGACAGATAATCCTGTGGGTTTTAGCAGGAAATGGCAACAGTAAACAGAATTTTGTGGTGGGGGGTGGGACATTCTAGGGAAGGGGGTAGGGATGGGGCTTTGTTCAAAGGGGGGGGGGGGATTTCTGTTCAGTTTAAAGGGGAAATGGGGAGGGATTAGCCATGTCTTTCACGGAAATTTCTTGAACATATTGAATGTACAATGTACATGTACACGTGCATGTCAAATGTACATGTACATGTACAGTAAGCAGTTTTCTTGAAAAAGAGATAATACTGGTACTGTTAATAGAAATTTCCAATGGGACTTAGTCTAAAGATAGAATACTGGTGCAATGAGAGTACATGTGTGTAAACGAATGCACAGTGTTCACAGTTGTAAGAAAACCCAAGTAAGGAAATGCTTTTACAGAGGCAGTGAATTGCTTGTGTAAAGTTCTGTGAGGCAAAGAAAAAAAAAAAAAGGAAGCAGTCTCCAACTGCTTCCTTTTTTTCCAGCCGGCCTTTCCTTTTTGAAAATCATAAATAAGATATGAACAGTATTTTGTCTTGTGTATTTGTTTCCAGCCAAATTGTAGCTACATGTACATGTACAATACCATGTACATTTTGTAACACGACTAGGCCCTATACTACAATGTATGCAAGTTCCCAACTGGTAGAAATTCCTCTGGAAACAAGTATCGCCAGCAAAAGATCGAGACAATAGAAGAATCCATCACCATCTTGGAAAATTCACCATCTGGTTGCCTCTGTCTTTTTTTTCTCAAATACCCTGGATGAGAAAGTATTTTTTTTTAACTTTGTCTTATAAAATTTCAAACTCTTATCCCTTACTCCCCAGCATGATTTACTAGGAACCATACCCATCCTGGCAAATTCCAACACCATATGGGAAACTGCACACACATATTTCTGACTTTGATTCTGGAGGTGTGCCAACCCAATGTAAAAGACTGTCAGTTTAGGGGTACTGTACCCATCCTGACAGATTCCAACAAAACATGCCATTGGGGTCCAAGTTGATGGGTTGAGTTCTGTTAGGATTTATTGTGAATTTCCAGAAAGTAGGCCTATACAGTTTGTACACCTCTGGTTCTTGTCAGTACAACATGTACATTGTACATGTACGTGTACATGTACGTATACATGTACATGTACGTGTACATGTACGTACATTGTAGCAGTGTATTACACTGCACAAACAACACAGACGTGAATCGAAGTTTCAGCTCAGTGGATATTACACTTATTGAGAAAACAGTGAAAAACCTTGCACTTTATGATCACAAAAAACGATTTTGTTAATACAGTCAAATCGTTGGAAATCACAAACATTTCTTGATTTCTTCTAATGGACAGCAAGCAAATGAAAGAATTTCAAAGGGTATTTAGTGCCAGTACCATATTAAAAAAAACCTAACGTCCTAGCCATTACTTTGGGCTATAGAACTGAGTACTACAAAAATTATGTATGCAGGCACCAAATACCAACAAATACTATGAGTGCTGTGCCCACTTATATACTTAAGCACTGCATACATGTACATGTACTTCAGTTTACTTCAACCAGTAGTAGTATTTTGTAGCTTTAGATGCAGTTCTGGTTAAAACAAGTAAGAATTTTTTGAAAATAATTTGCTACTGTAGGTTTCTATTGGTATAAATGCAAACGATGCCTTTTAGGAATCTTAGAATGCCATTTTACCTTGTATTTGATCCCCGCACATTCAAATTCTCCACAAAGCACGCTCACTTCTGTCCTAGTTTCAAAACCACGCCACTTTGTGAGAGTCGCGTGCATGTCACAAGAGCTGCACGTGCCCCGACCGTTTGCAAAACACAACACGCCATTTCACAGAAAAAAGCTCGCACTGCTATTAGGCGTGGACTTTGGATGATGTAAACATTGTGTGTGTTTCGTCACGTCGTTTCTGGATTGCGGGCACTTTACCCTCACCGGTTGGACACAGAATGAATCATTAACAAGAAATCGATAACTCCCTTGACTTCTCAGTATTTGCAAAATGTCTAGACTATGAGGTGCACGTGTACATTTTGCAATCGCTATGCACGCGTTACAACCCTTGGGGTCAAAACTAAAAAAGAAAAAAATATTCTCGATCACATGTTCAATTTGCACAATATCCCAAAGACTGGACTACATATCGTACATGTACATGTACCGTACACGGTACATGTATGTGTACATTTGTACATGTCTGAGCTGATGTGCACATAACTGTATTTTCAAATGGCATGTAATTGGAAGCAGAACTAATTTTTTGTTTGGCCTTAAGTGACTTTCAAACAAGGTGCAGTCAGAGTGTTGAATCTCAGACTCTCGGTCTGGGCACGATTGTCACCCCCACCCCCACCTTCCACACCCTCCATCCCCCCCCCCCCCCAAAAGATATTAGTCTTCGTACTTAAAGGGAATATACATCATTTGCTTTTGCTGTAATTTTCAGAAATGGATGGAATTGGGGGGTTGGAAATATATGGGCAATTCTCCATGGGAGAGCAAAAAATGTCAAAAATAAATATTTACATATTAAACCTTTTTTGTACTTTTTCCAGACCTCAATTAAATGGGGAATTCAGTTCAAAAAACGAAATTAAAAAAAAATACATATTTCTGGTAAAAACAGTGATTTTTGCAATTTATGATTAAAAACGTTCAGATTTGGTAAAAAAATAAAATTTTGTGTATGTATTACTTTCTGAATTATAGGGAAAAGATTTGATTTATTTTATGATGTTACAAGTTACTAACATTACTCAGGGTCATTAAAAAAAAATCTAAAAATATAAATATAAATATATATATAGTGTAGGCCTTCATTTAAAAATGTCAAAATTAGCACGTAATTCCGTTACCGAAAAAATGGCAAAAGTTACTTATTTCACAAATTTTCTTGTTTTTTTTCTACAAATCATGTATGTTGAGAAAAGACCCTACTATAAACATAAATGAAAAATAAAAACTTTAAAATAGTAATTTCTTGGCATTTTTCCAAGTGGTAACGGAATTACGAAACGGTAACGGAATTACGGTAACGGAATTACGCATGCACAAAGTATGCACACTTCCCCCAGATTATGTACATTAAATAGGAGATTTACATGTAAACCTTGGACAATAACTTTAAATACTAAATTACTTGTTAAATCATTTCCCTCTTTAATTTGCTATTATACAATTAAAAATAATCAGGTGTTCCATTGATATTTTTTACTTTTACTTTTTTTTTTTTACTATTTAAAAAATGCTAATAGTTGTTTGGATGCTTAAAGGGAACATATATTTGCAAACATCAGAAAATAAAACTACCAAGTTTTTACGAAATACCTTACTAGGATGTTGGTAAATGACAGTCTAAAGCATCCTGTAAAATTATGGCACCTGGTGTGAAGTAATTTTCAAAAAAAAAGGATATTTTTGTATACATTTCCAACGGTGGTCGGCCAACCACCGTTGGAAAAACCTAACTATTTTTCAACTACTGCTCCAACTTTACACTCTTTCCAGTCCAAATTTTGTTTGCTACCGGGTATTTGTTACATGTTCATGAACGGGTGCAGGCCAGCTAGTCTGGTTCCCTTACCCTCCACTTTTCCAGCATCTATAAATTGATCCATTTTACCTTTAGTGGAGTCAAGGAACCAGACTACTTGAACAGTTTTGTTTTTCTTGGTTTTCCAGCATTTTCGAACGCAAAACTTCAAACATGTCAGTGTAACAATATTTGATCTATTATACTAACCCCTCAAATAGTTCATTTCTGAAAATTACAGCAAAAGCCAATGATGTACATGTACATTCCCTTTAAATATGTTGCCAAAGCCGTTGTCTGGTACCAAGAGAAAATATATTCCACAACAAGTATATGAAAGTTGAGTACCAGACTGTACTTGTACTTCTACTTGGCATAACTTAACATCTTCCCTTGCTCAGAGATGCCAACCAGTACAGTTTTATTGTATTTTCCACGATAAACTAGTGAAATACGATAATACAGTTGTTCATAGTAAAATTTGATTTTCGTTAAAAAATAAATATACATTGCTAACAGCCAATGCAGGCATCACCAGACTGCTTTCATTTGACCTTGACCTTTGACCTAAAAAGTGAAGCCCAGACATGTATAGGCCTACATTTACATTTTGATCTGCTAATTTTCACTGAGCTTTCCCCTTGTGGCATTTTATATACTTCTAAAATTTGTATTGTGATGAGTTTATGTTGAATTCAATGTTAATGTATTGCATTTACCTATTACATGTAAACCTATGGCGTAATTCCGTTACCGCCCAGACGTAATTCCGTTACCGTGATTAAAATGCAAATTATGAAAAGAGTGATTATTTTTTCAACTTTGTTCTGCATTGTAGTTAACAACACCCCTGAACTCTACAAATAACAGGTAGTGTCCAATTTTAAAATTTCAAAACTTCAGAGAGTTTTATTAATTTATGCGAGAACTCTAATATGCTTGTCCTCCGTCCGTAATTCCGTTACCGATATTAAGCTCCGCCCCTTAAAGGGTAATCTTGTGGGATTTTTTTTTTTTTAGCGGTCAATCAATTCTACTGGGTCTTGGCTCCCTTTCCATGTTTAGATTAGTTGCCTAGCATTGAACATATTTTCTTGGGAAAGAATAATCCTTGACAAAGTGACAAAATTCCGTAATTCCGTTACCAAAGAATTGCCCATATAGCAAATATAGTTACGCTGACTTTTTTGAGGTTTTGGGTTCGAAAATGCTATAAAAACCAAGAAAAACAATCAATTTCTTGTAGTCTGGTTCCCTGACTCCATTTAAGAAGAAACGGAGCAGTTTACATTGTATTGGGGAATTGTAAGGTCAGGGAACCAGTCTAGCTGGCTTGTACCTGTTCATAGGTGTGTAATCAATTGCAAACAAGTGCGATGGTCAACTGGGGCCAGTATTTGAGAAAAAAAAACAGTTTTTCCCAACGCTGATCGGCTGATCAGCGTTGGAAATTGATACAAAAATAGCACTTTTTTTTGAAAATGACAGTATACCTGGTGCCATGATTTTACAGGATGCTTTACACTGTCATTCACTAACAGTCCAGCAAGGTATTTCAAAATGATTCGGTAGTTTTATTTTCTGATGTTTGCAAATGTTGTATTTTCCCTTTAAGTGAAAAAAAGGTATCAGCTGGAAGTTTGAACTAAATGCACTGTCATTTTTGAGACGGACATTAGTACATTACCCCTCCAACATGGCATGGTGTGTCAAGAGTGTCTCATACTCTTCATGGCTTCGACACAAGGGTACGTCAAGTCATGATTTGGTGTGTCTAACAATTTATAGGGTGCGTCACTTTTCCTCAGTAGATGCATTACAAATCTGTTAAAGGTGGGTCAAAAATGTTGCTTAATAGCGTCAATTGTGTACATTTGGTGCGTCACTCCTCTGACGCAGGGTGTGTGTACAACTTGGTAGATTTCACAAAAGGATGACGCTATTATTTGGACAATGACACACCATTCCCACGGTCATGGGGTGTATCATATAATTGACAGCCCTGTACATTACCTCGGATATGCCGCCCAGGTCCAGCTGTATTTCGGCCACCTGACCCTTGAAGAAATCCACGTCCCGTTCCCCGGCTGGTAATCTCAGAGCGGAAGGGTCCAGCGGCTCAGGCTTGGCTTTGGTGTGGACGCTGATGTTGAGACACTTGCACGTTAATCTGCCCATGGTGTTGATTGGTTAAATACCTGGAAGAGAGGAGGAGTTTTATAAGCAGGGATGCGAGTGTTAATGGAATAAAGGAATACATTGCATGAGGATGCTTACATCATGTTGCAAATAGGCCAAAAAATAAAATAGTTCTGCTTCCGGTTTCCCTACCTAACCAATTCTGACAGTCCCTACCCTAATTTTTTTATTGGAAAAATGAGAAAAAAAACACCCAAAACCATCAATTTCTACCTCTTACATGTACCCTTGAATACACGCAGACGCCTCCATATGATCGTACACAAACAATATTTGCAAAAAAAAAAATAATAATTCCCTACCTACCTACAATGTACATGTACCCTATTTTCAAATGCCATGTAATCGGAAGCAGAAGTATTTTTTTTTTTGGCCTTATCGTTTGTTCGACTCATGTGCCGTATGGTACGTGGGTTCGAACCCCGACGGAAACATGGTGCGTGTGTTCTTGGGCAAGACACTTTACTACAATTGCCTCTCTCAACCGAGGAGTATAAATGGGTACCTGTGAGGATAGAGACCAGAATAATATACATGTACAACCATCAGTGCTTTTTGTACTTAAACACGATTTCGAAATACATTGTACAGTCACGTACATCATTTTCAACATGTGCGGCTGTTGCGAAATCACAATCACTCCACACCATGCACACTATGGTGTGACATTTAGCCATCAGCCGTCTCAAATTAAACTGCCCATTCCATCAAATTTTAACTATTTTACCAGACCTGATATGTTACTCTGTGCACGTGGTCCACATTTTCTACAAAAGTTCAAAGTTCATGTTGATTGACTTCCATTCAAATCAACGTTAAGAAAAGAGCTGAAACACAACAATGGGTTACGGAAGGCGTCAAAGTGCCCGCAGAATCCATTTCACAGAATCTGGCATTTACTAACACATTGTCGTAAAGGTTGGTATCTTAAAATTTCTATGCAAATAAGCCCCCTACACCGGGGGTTTGTGTGGAAAATGTCAGACGATTAAATGTATTATGCCCCATCACGCTCAATTAACTTCGGCAGCGACCGCAAGCCTCATTTTAAAGAATAAGTTAAGACAGGATCAAGGTACCGGTACCAACTTTTACAACAACATAATTACAACATTACTAGTAATTACTACATGTACATGTAGTAATGAGATCAATCTGAAGCCTCAAATGTATTGTATTTATTGCCGAATTTATTGCTCGCATACCGGTACCATAGACAATTGCTATGCAAAGAGATATTCAATAGAGTTGGGATCAAATGTGGTGGGAAGGGGAAAAAAGGTAATGGAACTTCTGTTATTTGGAACTTTTTTTATTTTACAGTAAATGGCCATCATCAGACATTGCCCCATACCCATGCAGCCAAAATACCTGGTACCCTTGCAGACTACACATCTATTGTTCCTGATAACCAGGTCAGGCCTTGACCTGTCTGACCTAGGGGCTGACTATCAGTGTGAGAAACCCAATTACAATGAGGATTACATGTCCAGGTCAACTGTCTGGTTTTTGAGAGTGTAATTTGAATCAGTCCGAGACCCCATGAGTGGGGATAAAAATGCCAAACAAGATTGGGCAAATTTTTCACACCCTTGCTACGAAATTAATTCAGCAAAATTCTCTTGGACAAAGCTGAGGACTTTAAAGTATTTCGCTAGCTTTGTACATGTAGGAGTGCCAAGTTAAACAATAAAGGGAGCTTTTGTCAACCTTGTGCGCCAGTGAATCAAGCCGACTGAAGTATTTTTAAGAATAAAAAAATCCTGCTACATTTGTAGTCCCATCATGATCTTTGAAATGTAAAAGTTGGTGGGAACCGTATGTTCAGACCAGTCCTGGTCCCGATCCCTCCACTGTTGTTCAAAATAAATAGATTAATCATGATGCAGCAGGGAACAGTCTTGGGGAGCCAGGTTGGCGTAGCGGTACTTTCCTCGCCTTCCACCGCTGTGACCCGGGTTCGAATCCCGCCTGGGCCAATATGTGGATTGGGTTTTCAGTCCCTGCCTGATTCCGTGGGTTTTCCTCAGAATATTCTTCTGGGCTTTTCCTCCCACCTCTAAAACTGTAATTTCTTCTCATTGTCTTCTCTCCACAGGTTTCTTCAGGCTTGCGAGCTATGTACAGTGCCTAGGGCGTTTTTGAGGAATCCTTGGTTTCATTACCAAAATGATTAATAATAATAATAATAAGTCTTGATCATCTATACCGGTAAGCACATACCTTGTGCAAGACTGGATCAGTTAATGATTCTCCAGCATGCAGCACTGGCATGACTGGGAAAGTTTCATGTGATACAGTATGTGTGTGTGTTTTCTGTCATTCAAAAACCAGGAATGGGAAGAATTCCATACATGGACATCACTAATTTTTCCCTGCAGCGTTCTATCAGCCATCAGACAGCAGTAACGTGTCCAAAAAAGTCCCATTTAGCAGGTAATTGAAGCATTTACTGAGAAGCATTACAGAACCAAGCCCAATCTAATGTATTTTTGGGGTAATTAGCGCCTCTGTGCTCTTATCTGAGATAAAGTAGGTATCCGTTACACTGGGTGGAGCCCAGGACTAGCCGACATTATTGCCACTTCACTGCATCTGTCAATCTGTGAGGAGTGGTTATTATTAGTTACGCAACACACAATACACCGCACACAGACCCTTTACACCCCCCCCCCCCCTGGTCAGCATTATGCCCTTGTGAAGCAATTATTAAGATGTTTATCTCAACTTGAAGGTTCAACAGCATGCCAGCTCTACGTTATTTACTTCGTACACGACTGATGACTAAGATTTGATGTATCATTGTCACCGTTAGGTATACAATTTCCTTAAAACAAATGGATACAACAAAATTGATAAGAAACATTTAAAAAGATACACGAAAAGTTCATTTCAGCTAGCTGCTGTCGTAGATTCTTTTGTATTTTGCACTGAATCACACACTCAATGCATTTATCGACAACTTCCTATAATGTGATTTATTGAGGTACTGATAGTGATATGCCAATGAACATTAGAAGTGTGAAATACAAACTTGCATTGCCGCTGGAACAAACTTTTGCCATGGGGTGCTGGAATAAAGGACGGACAAAATTAATGCGAAAGCGGAGCGCAAAGCCCTTACGTCGTGGCTTAATTTGGAATATACATGTAGGCCTAGATGCTCTGTGGTGCAATCATGGGGCGATTCCTGGCTACTTTCATTTGACTTTTTTAGCAAGGGGCCGCTTTAGTTCTATCTCACCAAACGATGTAGCGCTCGATGTACGGTATTTGCAGTGTTATTTCATTTGTTTGTTACAGAGAATGGCGCATATAAAAGACTTAAAGACCAAATGCATCTTTATGTTTAAGCTCGGTAGATAACAAGTTTTGGGGCTAGACAAGGATTAATCGGTCTACTGAGATTTTATGAGGAAAAAGTTGCAGAGGGTATTTTAGGGAGGAGATCAAAAGGATTTTCCCGCTCCGACGCGAGCGCCCACGTTCCTCCCGTTCTGATCGGGGATTAACCAACTAAACCCAACAATAGGCCCGTTCTCCCGGGGTAGAACGCACGGCTTACCAGGCGCCCAGCGAAGTACCCGAGCTCATTAAAAATCTCATTGTGTGCGTCCTTTGTGATGTTAATGTCCCGTTCTCCCGCGTGCACGGCCGCCAGCAACGGCAGAGGTATGTGAAATACGGCGATGTAAACACATGAAAAGAAACAAGTTTTAAAGGAAATATTCTTACAATAAGGGAAATGGGGCTGTAATATTCATCTTGATGAAACTTCATTGCCACTACGCAAAACCTTTCCACGAATTCGTTTTCTTGTTTAGGAATTTAATTTTAATGTGATTGTTTTCTTTCCAGTTACAGGGAAGTGAAAGTTGACGGTGTAATTCTTCGCGGCGGATGTACATGTACGTGTACGTCGAAACAATATTTTAGATGGCCCAATAATAAAGGCTCAAGAATGCAAACAAATGTGGAATATTATTAACTTCTTTGTTGGGTAGTCGATAATTTTACTGTTGGGGCTATTGGTTTATACCTGCTCAATGCGTTTCACGATTTACACCGAAGAATGGTTTTAAGACATCCAACGAAAAAATGCCCACAAACGATTCACGATTGTTACAATAAAATTGTAAATGTAGCCAGCCTCGCTGATCTGACAGTAGATAATCAGTGGCCAGCTGTGCGTGACATAGTTTAGCAGTGCGTCTTTCGTGAGATCAGCCTGGGGACATTATTTAGTCCATGGGTTAGTTGGCGGGTCTGGCTGGGATCGTAATAATTCAGGAATATTTCCTTCAGTCACTCCATCAGACGTCACTATTGTAAAATGTTGCACATTTCCATTCAAATACACAAAACTATAAAACATGAAAATGTAACTCTACTTTCCGAGACGCCTTCTCAATTCGTTGAGCATTTTAACAGGTTAAATCACTATCCATCTTCAACTATACATCGCCTGCAAGAGATGAGAAATCAACAGACATTATTTTATCGTAACCATTATTTCCAAAGTCTCCTTGTCAATTTCAGTGTGGCCGATGTTTCTTCGGATATTATTTGAGCAGTTGCCATTATCCACCGTCGTCACCGCACAGGTCTATTGTACTACCATGCTGTGGGCACCCAGCGTGACCATTTCATTGTGCTATTGTTAGGCAATTTCGGGCGGGATCCCGCGGTCGGAACGGGGCCCGGGCGAACGCAGGCGCCCGGGGGGATTAGGAACAATAGGCCCGTTCCTCTCGTGCGCTCGCGTCGGAACGGGAAAAATCCGTTTGATCTCCTCCCTAAAACATGAATAGCTGTTTTTATGGCAAGGATTTATCAGTCTACTGAGATATTATGAGAAAAAACTTGCAGAGGTAAAACATGAATAGCGGATTAGGAACAATAGGCCCGTTCCTCCCGTGCGCTCGCGTCGGAACGGGAAAAAAACGTTTGATCTCCTCCCTAAAACACAAATAGCTTTTTTATGGCAAGGATTTATCAG